AGGACCAAGGGAAGTGTGTGCGGTGTGCTGCTTGCCATTCTGCCATTCTGCCCTTGACCCAGCCAGCTGGGGCCGTCGAACGAGGCCCGACATGGTCCGCCATCATCTCTCGCGTGCAGATTCCACTTGTTCTGCCCCGTACCTGATGTCCGGTAGTGACAGACTGGCACGGGGCTGCATTTCTCCATCCCTGGTATTTTCTCTCCTCTACAGCTGGATTGTAGGGCCGAATCATCTTTGAACCCGTTGTCGATGTCGCCTCCGAGAGTATTTTCCCGATCAGACTCTCCGAAATGCCTCCGCCCTCCGTGCGCCTGCATGAACAGTCAAACCGTCAAGGAGGAGTTGCCTGGCGCGGATGGGCCCACCTGGCCACGTTGGAGAGAGCATGATCTGCTCTGTATGCAGGTCTACTGCGTCCACTGTGGCCACTGTGGCCACTGCGTGCTGCCATGTTAAGCTGTAGTCCCTGGGGGCTGATGAGCTACTTTGTCCACGGCGGAAGATTCACCTTCGCTGACCACCGACCGATCTGCGGTACTCTCCGACCATGGTGCAACCCGAGATAGGCACTGAGGGGCTTGCCAAGTTCTGCACTAACGCTGCTCTGGGCATGGCCTCTTGAGGCTCGCGACTAGTGACATCGAACAAACGAACGGATGGTGCGTGCGTGTGTGCTTTTGGCATCTTGGTATTTGACTTGATCAGAAGCCCTCCAAGCGAATCTGAAGAGTACCGCCATCGACGCTCGCCTTTCTCCGCGGGAGCAGACTGACTGCGGGTAAAAGAACAGCAGCATCATGATGACTTGAACAAGCCTGCCTGCCTGCCTGATGCCTCCCCCCCACAGTGCTGACGACAAGCAGCATGTACAAATAAAACACTGGAGCAGAGAGTTACCTCTGCGTGTAGGTACCAGGAACTTTACGGGATGAGGTGGACTTCCAATCGTAACAAAAGGAAGGAACGCCGAAAGAGGAGGGCGTGGCCGACCCGCTGAGACAGACTTTACCCAATGTCGGAGCAAGAGCCCGCGGCCGCTCTTGCTGATTCCAGTCTCGCCGGCAGGGATCTGGCATCGAGAAAGAAAGAAAAAAAAGGACGACAGGCAATGATCGATGCATTCATCCATCCATCCATCCATCCACCCATCCATCTGCCATGCCACCCCGAACACAACAGAATTGCTTCGTACTTTGCGCGCAAAGAACACCACCCCCTCAACTTGACCCCGTTTCTTCATTGGCTGCGATACAATTCCACGAGCGAGGTTCTCCTCAGTGGAACCTCTGGTCGAAGACGCATTGCATGCTCACTAGGCCCGTTGGGCTTAGCCCGACTCTCCAACTACCCCCCACACTGTGAGAAGATCATGGCCAGACTGAGCGGAGCGAACACCCATGCAAAGTCACTCCCTCTAGGAGCACTCCCCCTGCAACTAGTGCCTTGAGCTAGAAGAGCACTAGGCCCCTTAGCCGGCTGCGAGGAAGACCCTAGAAAATCGAACGCTTGCGAGCGGTTGCCGGCTGTTTTAACTTGGCCTGTACACAGACAGGCGCTGGACCTAGCAGATAGCTTCCGGCATCTGGAGCGACTCTGCTTGGTTGCCGTCGACGATGCTTACGCCGTCGCTGAACCGGTTCCTCCAAGGCGCGTGCTTGGTTCCGGGGATCTTTGCTGCTTAACCCGTAAGGCACAAGCTGACCAGCTGGTGCCTGCCCCAGGAGCGACCAGCTATGGGGAAACAAGCGCGCATTTCCATCTGCCCTGCGCAACTCCATTCGAACGTTCTACAAGTACAGACTGCCGCCTGTGTCTTCCTCTGCCTATGCCGGATGGCCAACAGGGCACCCGGAGAATAGAAGAGGGCGAGACCTTCAGATGAAGCGAAGAGACTTGGAAAAAATCCGAATCCAAGTTCGGGGGTTCCGAGTCAGTCGAGTCGGCAGACGGGGTACTTACCGACAACCGTCGGCATCGTGCTAGGCTCACACCCAAACTGCAAAGACCTCGAAGCGCGGAAACGCGGGTGGTGAGCGGCGAGAATGGGAGTGGAGGAAGGGAGAATGGGATGGATGGACTGTCCGTCTAGGTACGTACGTCTCTTCAGCAGGCCCAGGGTTCATCATGTGGCAAGCAGAACCGATGCCTTCATACATCGTTACAAGTACAGTCAGCAGGGCACACAGGAACGCAACCCAATGCATTTACGGCCCCAGTTGCCCAGGGTTTCACAAGATCTAGATGTCGTCGATATGTCGTCGACATTAGCTCCACCAAGTCCAGACCACGCCAATGGCCTTGGACACGTTCAATATCGCACAAAAAAAAACAAAGCTGTGCTATTAATCGCTGCTAGCGTGTGCCCACGCGCGCGAGGGCGGGCTTGAGGAGAGGCATCGCCCATGCTTGCCATGCTGTCTGTGCCTTGGATCCCAACCACACTTGCGGGGGATGGTTCGCTCGTCGAACCATTTGGATCTGCGACTAGGAGGACCCTTGCCATCACAAATCATATTCTTGCGTGAGAAGCCAAGACTTGTAATCTGTACGAGGGAACTATCCACCCAGGCCACCCACCCTATCGATCAATTTTACAGGTGTTGTGTTGCATTGACAGCAGCTGGTCCCAACCTTTGCTGGGCCGGGCCATACAAAGTGACGAGTTTGGATACGCGATCCGACTCGTTGAGGAAGGAATAGGGAAAAATCCACATACACCGGCGCAGAGGTACCGAGCGCCGGGTGGGAGATTGCAGACTGAAACCACAGACTCGACTCTGCTTCCTGACCACAACAACAAGGGCCTCCGTCCTGAGAATCAAGGCCTTTTCGCGCGCTCTCGGCTTACCTTTACAGGGCTCCGCACAACCAACCTCTTCTCGAGCCGGACCCTTACCCAATTGCGCTATTCGCCGCGCCATCGACGTCATGGCCGGGGCCCGTCCTCCGGTAAAATGGCATTCTAACGTTCTATCCATGGAGGCTCAGTCGAAGGTACCCATCAACTCAGCAAAGTACTTTGCAGTGGTTATTGGCTTGGACAATCGAGGTTTGAAACCAGGTGTTGCGCCTTTTGACTTATCCCTATCGATACACGCCCTCTTGAACCTTGAACAGAGTCAATCAAGACACTCGGAAAGAGGGGTGAAATGATCTTCATGCCTACGTACAAGAGTCCCTTCCGTGACAAATTCCTGAGCCCAGGTCTCCGTCGAGCCCCTGCAGAGTACTTTTGTGTGGAAGGAAACATTGAATCGGAAGATCATTACCGCAGGTGCAGCATACCCTGAGAAGAAACCAAAGAGTCGAATTGGGTTTGCTCATGTTCTTTGACCTTGGATTTTTCTACTCGGCGATCGATTCGTCACCAAATCGGAACACCTGCCAGGTTGTCGAGGGACCGTGGCGGTTCGACCTGCCTCAAATTAAAGTGACAAGCGGGGATGCAATCAATACAAGTACTTGCTTCGAGGACAGGTGTGGCTGGGTTTCTGGTTGTAGTTTGTGTCTGGGTACGTACCCGAGGTGCGTCTCCCTTAGGCCTCTTTGCTCGCATGCACATCGACAAATCAAGAAAGAAGCGATTGGCATCGAGGACCCCCGGCTCGTCTCACCCACGGACGACCGTTTTGACAAGGGACAAGAGCAAACATTCACTGTCGGGTGGCTGGGTTGGCAACCCATCGGATCGGGACTTTCCCCGACGGCTCACACGGATTTCGTCGGACGTCGGCCGATGTGCTTCTTCCTTGTTCCATCCTGCATCCGTGCCTGCGGGATTACATTTCTCTTTGGAGTATCCTTGTCGAAAGCTGGGTGTGGTCGGGGTTGATTGGCCTCGGCTCTCACGATCCCAGTATGCACTGTCGCGCTCATCGGGAAATTTGGGGTGTGGTGGATATTGGGGGTTCAGGAAGAAGAGTCGAATTGGCAATTTCAAGCAAAGATTAGCGAGCTGAGCTTGGGAAAACGGTGTGTGCTGGTGCATCCTCTCGGGGGTCGGGATCCTGTCTCCAACCATTTGCCCACTCTGCCCTCTGGGATTGGATCCCTGCACACAAACAGCACCAACGCGACCAGAGTTGAGGGACAGCCTGGGCAGGAGAGGACGTCAACCGACCCTCCCCGGCGGCCAAACACCAACCCCCAATGTAACCCTGACAGCACGCGTCCTGGTTCTCGTTGTCTCTGATCAGAGTTGACACCGTTTATCTGGTCTGATCTTTTCATATATGCGGAGAAGCAAGGAGATGGGTCCCAAGTCTCACCTCTCCCTTGCTCTCATGGCTGTTTCCCTGCTTTGGGGAGAGCGCCGAGTCTGCCGGCCCTGACGGCCACCATGGTCCGGCGGACCAAGTCCGCATCGACGGCATGCGAATGCCGTGTGCGAGCTGTCAGCACTCCTTGTCAGTCTAGTTGTGAGCCTGATGTCTTAACCTTGCTTCGTACTTGTTGGAGTGCCTCACTACCTGTACACTACTGCTCAGCTTGGTGGAGCGATCAGGCGGGCGCTACTTCTACGACCCGACTGATCTTCATAGCCTCTCCGTGCTGAATTGATGGATTGGCGCTCGTGTCTCTGGGCAAACACGATCTTCTTGCGGTTATTGCTCCTTCAGGTTTACCTTGATGGGGTCTCAAATTTCTGCTGAGTGCCCGACCCCGCGACGCCTTAACCACAGTCAGCCTAGGCGGGCCAGGCGAGAAACAGAGAGCGGACCATCGCCAATCTCTCGTCTCGAAGTGATGCAAGACGACACCAAGACAAGATGAGGAGTCGATGCCACGAGACAGGCACGCAAATCACACGCATTCACACGCCTGTGTGTACACGATTGGCACCCTCTTTGGCAGGGCTGATCTGATGCCTGTTCCGCACACGCATCTCCGCTCACTGTATCCTCCATGTCTGGTTTCCTAGTGCAACGCGCGTGCTGCATGTCTCTGATCATCTATCACCCGCAGTACATGTTTGCTTCTTCCTCCTCCACTTCGCAATGATAGTGGCAGACCGGCGATCCCAGGTGCGGCTGGGAGAACAAACAGCCCCTAAAGTACTAAACCCATCCGAGGAGCAAGCTCGCGATTGGCTAACTCGACGACGCGGCTCCAGTCCATCTCACTTTCAACGTCTTGTCATCGTTCTCCCTCTTGTCCGGCTCCGTCTAAAGGTGATCAACATTGGCGATGCGGGAAGCCGCCAGGACGAGATGACGAGACAAGAAGGAGAGAGAGAGGAGATGGAGGTAGCGGAAGACTGTTTGCCGACGGGACAGGGATCTGTGTGGATGGACAAGACCAGTCATTTGAACTGTCAGAAAGCTCCCATCGAACCAAAGGCCAAGCACGCCCTTGCGCATGCGCCTGCAGCGCAGGGTGCAGTCGCAGGGGCGCCCTGCTGTTACCTACTGTTTGCCGAGGACGCAGGAATGCGTGTGTTCCTCGGGTTCTGGCCCCAGCCAGCAGATGATACCTACCTACCCTTTTGCCTACATGACCCTACTCCGCACCTTTTCACCTTCTTTTTTGATGCATTGTGCCTTGGGTTTATCGGCTCGACACCGGGTTGGGACGGGAGTCTCGGTGTTGGGTCACGAACACGAATGAGACTCTCCAGCTCCCCGTAAGCGGGCTTCCTCCGTGCGTCCAGGACATAGACATCGCATCTCTCGAGGTTTCTGCTCCATCCCACACAGACACAGATACAACACACACATACACCCGTGACCCCGACCTCCCCCCCGCCCCCTTTCAGTGATGCAAGGGACTTGTTTGTTGGTCGGGTCCTGGGCCAGTGAGACCAGGGGAGATGATTCGGTGCTCCGTCACGACTTCTTGTGTTGCGGTGAGCCGAACGATCTGGACTGTACACGTTCAGGAAGTGGGCGCAAGGGGGGGGGGGGGGGGGGGGGGGGGGGGTTCTATTTACAGCAAGGATATAGAATGAGGAGCATTCCGCATTGTTAGTCTTCTCGATCCATGCATCCAGTGGCCACTACTCATCTAGTGACTACAGAAAACAATCACTGGGTGGTGAAAGCCTTTATCATTAGCCTCATGGCCAAGAAAAGGAGTTGCCATGACCAAGGGGAAGACAGCACTGAGAAGTTGTCATGGGGTAGACAACCAACCGCACACAGGATCTTGGAACTACATCACATAAGGTAGTCTTGCAGAGCAGTGATTCTGACAGCCCTGGAACTTCTAGAGAAGCAGTGACACATTGTTCATCTGCTGCTATGCTTCGGGCTTTGTGACAGGACGACAAGAGATGACACAACTCAGCTGTGCTACCAGTGAGCTCTGTATACACTCTTCTATGTGAAAGCCTCCAAGCTGTGATTAAGACGAGCTGTAACTTGACTTTGCTGTGGTTACAACCTGCTTCATCCTGGTCACAACCTCTACAGTAGAGCCTGGATATCCTCCCAAGCCTTGTCGAGGCTCTCAACGCAGTCACATGCCAAGGCATTCATCTGTGTTTATAGCAAGTCTTGGTAAGACTGCAGGGACAGGAGTCAACACAATGCGAATCAAGACGACAACTCCTGCATACATATGTCACTAGTTTTACTTTGAGGCAGTGATATCTTTGGTTATCCTACGTAGACAGAGGCATCTACTAGTTCAACCATGGGAATTGAGGCTGCATCCAACAGAACACACACTGGTTCATTAGCAGTCCCTACTTGTAGATACGCGTGTCATGGCAACAGGCTTTCCCTGAAGATATTACGTATGTAGGTAGTCCAGGTCCACAACGGGCAAGCAGGCATTTCAAGGAGGCGGTGAGTCCCTAGCTTGGCCGAGACGGTGTTCTCGAACACCGCTTGTGTCGCATCTTTTTCTTTTCTTCTTACAGGTCTTACAGGGGATGCAAGTCGACGACCTGTCAAGGGTGGACAGATACATGAAGTACATCGAAGGATACCCCTGCCAGCAGCGTGTAAGTTGATTGGCGCAGGCCGGTGCGGATCCCTGTCGTTTAATTAAACGTTAGCGTGTCAAGACGCGTCTCCAAGGTGCCATCTATCGCGTCTTTTCGCGTCAAACCCCTCACCGCACTCGATGCTGCTGCTTGACTGCCCGCCCCCCCCCCCTTCCCGCCTTCTCTCCCTCTCTTGTTCCCTGGTCTGGCTCTGGCACAATCTTATGACGGCGCATATCGCGCCCACGAGCACAAATGTGTTGGGTCTGAGTGGGCAGTCATTTCTCATCGTGAAGGAGTCGTAGTTCAACTCTGAAGTCTCGAGACGCCTAGACTCACGAATCAGATGCATTTATTCGGCGCATGCGCCTCGCCAGTGTGACCGTTCACTACACACACTGATGAAGAAAGAGGGAATCATGTCTACTGTAATTGTGATTGTAATCTTGCTGAGCTCATCCCAGCAATTTGGCCCTGGTCCAACTACGTCGTCGCTGTGCTTCGCAATTAGGGGAAAGCATCGATTGGAAAGCGTAATAGATAGAGAAAGTAGCTGATGTTGTACCATCTACATTTCTCGGGATGGCAGATCTATCTCGATGGGAAGCCGTTGGCATCGATAGTTGGCAGGGTGATCTGGGGAGGAACGGTGGTATGCCGTCATCAGTGATCTCATACGGACCAGGCTGCGATACTGCTGACATCCTGGGACTCCCAGACGGAGGCAGATCTCATCCCCAACCTGTGATGGTATATCGTCGATGCTATTTCTTCAGCACCAACCTTGTCGTGGAAAATTCTCCGACTGCTCTGAATCCCAGCAAGCCACTGCGAATCCCCACTCCCGCCCTGCTGATGCCAGGTAGAGACTGTTTCATCAACTCTCCCCCGTCCTCGGGAAGATTGCCTGACACCTGATAATACTTGTCTCTTAATGGTGCGTACCTTGCTGGGGGGGGCCCAGGTGCGGACGGGTTGCACTGCAGAGCAATGATCTCCATTGCTTCTCGTTTTTACCAGGCTCAGGGCACAATCGCCCAGCAGAGATCAACGATCGTCTTTATCCGTCTGCCGTACTCCGGGTCGAGAACGACGAGGACCACCCTCACATATTGCCAAGCGCACGCAGTGGGGACGCATGACTCTTGCAGTAGGTCTGTACACCATCTCTGGGTGGTATGTACCTGACTGCATGAGGAAAAATGCTTTTGTCGCGATCGTACATGGGTGCGGGGTGGGAGAAGGAGACCAGAAGAGTCCAGACCGAGAGAAAAGAAAAAGGCAATCGCCAAACCCAAGCCCGTCCGATTGTCGAGGTTGTTGACGCCCGCCTACGAATGTCTGTCATCGGGATCGAAAAAGGGCCGCTGCCGAGAGCGAAGAGGCGTGCTGTTACTCGGGGTGACCCTGCTTCATAAGTTTGACATATCGAGAGGCAGATCGACCCGGTTTGACAAGGGAGCCAAGCGAGGTCCGGGCCAGACCGCAGACTTCAAGATCCCTAGCGCTCCCTTATTCAGAGAGACATTGAGCCATCGGAGAGGCTAAAATGGGGGGTTCATGCACCACTATTTCCAGTCGGTGTGGCTGCGCCAACAAGCGAGTAACAGTCGAGCATGAACGCCCTTGACAGCGTCTCTGAAGGGGCAAGTCATGGGTTGAGTCGATCTATCTCGAACTAGTCATCTAGAGCCGATGATGTGATCCTAAAACGGTTCGATTCGAGAACGCCTCTCGATCTTCGTGGGTCAATCGTTAGCCGCTCACGAGGCTTCCAAGTACACGATCTAGGAGGTGCGTAGTGTGATACTGTCGAGCATCCAAGGTCGAGTCAACTGGCCTTAGAGAATGGTGTGTGTGCAATTTCCAGGAAAGGTATGTCCCATGACCCCATCAGCGACAAGTGCCAAAGATAAATGCCGAGACCACACGGCGGGTGACAGATGAGAAGAGCCCGGGCCAACTGAGGTTTCCCGGTTCCTGACACAATGGGGAGGGGTGGTCTCCATTCTGCAGCCCAGGGCAATTGCCAGTAACGGCTGGGGCTACGAGGTTATACATGATCATATGAGGAATATTGCCCTTAAAATCGACGCGCCAGAGGTCTCAATTGCTGTCGGTACGGGACGCTCCATGGGATTGAACTCTGTATGCCTCCTTCAGGGAGACAACCTGGGTCAAATTGATCAAGGCTCGGCATACAACGTATCAGGGTCCGCAACGATTCTACGGAGTACGGATTCGTCTAGGGATTGAGCAGTAAATTGATCTCGAGTCAAAGGGATACTGCGAGGCAAAGATCCCCTCTCTTCCAGCTCAATACTGCCTCCTGGGAAGCAATGGCTTCGACAGAAGGGATGTATCAGTAGATTACTGACTTGATGATCCATCCATCTTCTTGTCTTACCCCCTCCTTGAGCTCCCCTCTCTCCCTGCCCTCCCCCCACCACACAGTCCACACTCGATCACTTTTGCTTCTTTTATCTAGAGCATCGGCAAGACCAGGTGCAGCACGAAGACTGGAGGGACAAGGATGGGTTGCAGAGAGACCTTGGAGAGATACAAATGAGACTGACGGGTCAGAACTGCCCCTCGAGCATTAGGTAGCAACACTATCGACTTACGAGAAGCGATACTTGACAGCGGACTGGATTTAATTACTGCAGCCTCTTTGTACTTGACACCTTGAGCAAAAGAAGTAGGCAAATTGAGCAGTTAGAGTGCATGCATGCAGGTGTGCTGCGCGTGTTTGCAGGGGGGTCGATGCCGTAGTGGGCTCTTCTGGGCGGTGGTGGTGCTGCAGGGCGGTCTGAGCTCTCGATCAATCGAGGTGTGATTGGCCCAGTCCTCCCTCTTCTCTGAGCCACAGGCATCATGTGGTCCACTCTGGCAGCGGACCTTCCCAGGTACCTAGCCAAGTACTCAGGTACCTCTTGTACCAGGCCAGGGGACCTTCAGTACTGCAAGTAGCCCTCGAGGTAGTTTCGTACCTGGCAGCGGGCTGATGGGTCTCCAGTGGAGTCGTGCATACAGTGGAACACACACACCTATCGCACGTACCCACACCTCCCGAATTCAGGGCTCTCTCTCTCTGTCCACGGCTGTTTCCTAGTCCTGGTCCAGAGATGGAGGGAGGGAAGAGCACCTGGCCAGGGAAGCCTGAAGGCTCTTATTAGGCGCACTAAGCCCCCCTCGCCCTCCCGAATCTGCCCATTCCAACAACTCCCGTAAAGCCCTTCTACTTGCTCGCTCTCCCCTTCACCTCGACACACCGGTGAACTATTTCCCAGCCTCAAACTGCTGCCCGCATTCCAGTGTCAAACGGCATTCCAGTCGGCGGCAGACAGCCCAGAGCCATTCCTTGTGACGTCGTCCGCTGCACTTGGTCGCAAAGGTCGCTGCGTCGCAAACCCTTTTTATCGCAACGGCCTGGCTGTCGCATCGCAGTCGCAAACCTTCACCTCCTTTTGCCTGTTGCGCGCAACTCTCTCCCAAACCAGAATACTACAAAGACACACAGCAACGAAGCGCGCAGGTTCTACGAGCAGATCCGACGGTTCTTGACTGCGACCACCACACCGTCACCATGCTCCTCCCGTCTGCGATCTCGTGCGACTCGGCGCAGTCGCCGCCTCCCACCCGCTTCCAGTCGGCGCTCTTCGCCTCGCCTCCCGCCAGCCCTCCCCAGCTCTCGACACAAAACGCCATTGGCAACATCTTCACCACCTGCCGGAGCCTGCAGGCCCTGCTCGCAAGCCCGCCGCTGTCTCACAGCATGGCCACCCGCGCAACGACACCCCCGCCCTCGTCGGGCGCACCCGCGCCGCTACCAACACCTCCCATGTCGCATGCGCCGTCGCCACCGCCTCTGAAGCTGCGGCTGCGATCGCGCCGCGTCGAAGCGGCGAATGCGCCTGCGCAGCAGACCAGCGAACACCCCGTCCTGGCGCGCAAGCGCATCGTCAAGCGCTCGCACCAGCCTCCGGCGGCGGGGGCGGCGGCGCCCGCCCCACGAGGACCCAACAAGCGGCGCAGGTCGCTTGAAGACGACGGCGCGGAGAGCGACGTCGACGAGGAGAGCACGCCGGCGCACGGTCTGGGCCTCGAGGAGGCGGCCAGGAACACTACCGAAGACGCGCCGCCGCCGGCGAGGCCACAGACGCCGAAGCGCGCGCGTATCGCGCCCGAGGTGATACCCCTCGGGCTCGAGCGCGGAGACTTCCACTCGTTACATCCCGACGGCGTCCCCGACGGCAGCAGTGCGCGAGGGACGGACGTCGAGGTCGAGGCGGACGGGCAGGTCTGGAGCACGGAGGAGGACCGGATGCTGGTGGAGCTCGTCCTCGAGAAGCTCAAGCTGACCAAGACGGACTGGCAGGACTGCGCGCGGAGCCTGGGCAAGGACAGGCACAGCCTCGGCCGGCGGTGGAAGAGCCTCATGCTGCAGGGCGACATTGGGCTCAAGGGGTCCAGGAGTAGTCGCAGGAGCAAGATCCACGGGACATGGAGATGAGAGTTTCTTGGGAAGAGTTCTTTTGCTTTGTTTTCTCTTCTTGTACAACCACCTATTTTGTATAATCGGCGTGATATAATACGTCATTTGGGACAGCGGAGTTCACAGGAGACTTGGTCAACGGGGACTTGGATGAGACGGTCTGGAATGATGATATCCCGGTATAGGTTACGGCGTACTACATAACTTGCTCTGCGATAGTTCAGAGAGTCTGGTATTTACATACAACGATGAAATCCAAAGAGACTTCAAAGCCTGACATCAATGGTTCTTCGCGCAACCTGACATGAGAAGCTTGGAATCAACCAGCAAGAGAAGAGGCCAAAACAAGCTGCACCCTGCGATCGTCGATCCTTCAGCCCCAGGATCCGATTCAATCCACTGCGTATCAGCCGACTGAGAGCCACCAGTGCACTTACACACGCTCGCCCTTCCACGATAGCCCCCCTTCGGAGCTCCACCTGCCCGCCCCCCTCCCTCCCTCTCACCCTTAACCACTCCGTCCTCTGCCGCCGGCTCACCGAAAGAGGTCCCCACCCCAACGGAGCTCGATAACATTACCTTTAGCTCTCCCAACTTTTCACCCCTTGCGGTGCCGAAAAAGCAAAAAAAAAAAAACGAGGACCTGCATCGAACAACCTGCGATCGAATCGCCTTTCCCCTTCACCCCCTTCCCCGCCATTTCCTGCGCTAGTTCCCAGTCCGGAGATCGATCTGGTACACTCACACACACACACACACGCACACACAAGCCTTCTCGCTTTGCTGCAAGATTAGCTTTGGGCACGGCCGAGTCTGCCAGGGGAGGTCGACGCAGGTACCCCCCAGATGTCAAAGCTGTCAACCGGGCCTTTCTGGGTCGAAGGGAGGGGCAAAGAAGGAGGTACATACACACACATACGCACAGTCCGTCAGGTCGGTCGAGCTGGATGGAGGCTACACACCGGAGCAGTTCGTGCTAATGCACTGCATGTCTTGCTCTTCCCCCCCTCCCCCATCAGTGTTTGTCTGTCAAGTGATGGTCAGAGTAGTCGACGGGATGCTAACAGAAGTACTCGAGTATGCATCCAGGACATCGGTTTTAGGTAGTGGGATAACCCTTCTGAGCTCCAGAGCAAGTATATGGTCAAGGACATCCATTGTTAACGTCGAGGTAGTTCCTGATGAGTTTCCGTCAACTAGGCATTCTGGACCCCCGCTTGTCTGTCTTGTCAACACCCCAGATCTGCCCAGGGATGCTGTACTCTCGAGCCGATCTCTGTCTTCTCCAGCCCCCAGGGTAGTGGGTCGGCACCTCTGTGAACGGCCTTCTTGTAATGGAGGGAAGGGGGGGATCTACACGTCCAAAGCACATCTCTATCTTAACAAATCTCCATTCATAGGGGGGGCAAGGAGGATCTGCTATTCCCGAAGGCCCTTTGCTTGCCGTTTTGTCCATGTTGCTATCCCACCCTCGAACTGTTTCCCACTTGACTGCTGCAAGAGGAGAGAGAAGGTGAGGAGAGGTGGAGGGTGGGTTCCTGTCAAAGCGCCGCGGGATGCTGCACGTAATCAAGGCAAACCGGGTCCAACCGCGCGGGATGTATGTTTCTCGTTGTTTCATGGTCGGTGGCGAAAGGGCAAGAAAAAGAAGGTCCGAGGGCCCGAGGACTGAGAAAAAAGATCTTGGGGAACCGCTGTATGCGTTTCAGTGTGAGTCCGCAGGCGATATGGACGGGTTGTAAAGCTTAGCGTGGGGAGGAGGATGTCCGGCAGGATGGACTGACTGCCTGTGAGTTGATATTGTGGTGTTGCCTCCAACTTTGTCCAGCATTAGGTACACCCCTTCCCGCGGCCTCACCTTGGGAATATCCGCTGGGTGTTAGTTCAAAGTCTACTTCCTTGATGAGGGCTTGTCCTCCCATATCCTGTCATTGGCTCCTGCCAGACAAGTACGCGTATTTGCACTCTCCCTACGCGAACTTGGGCAAACGTTGGCAAGTATCGCAGGAGCAGGTTCTCAGGCTGGTTCGTGACTGCAGAACACAACGCAAACTCGCGCAAACGTCGCAGGAACAGACCAAACCCGAGTGCTTGTGATGTCAGTGAGGGCAGTTGCCATCCACCGAGGTGGATTCACACTACCTAGGTAGATATTTGTAGTTCGAGGTAAACAGTGCCTCTCCCTACGCAAACAATCTTTTCCTGGCTCACTTCTATTGATATTGAACAAGGCATATTCTACACAACACATGTTGAAAACATCAACGTTCTTTGTACGCAATTCTATTACAACAACAACAACCTGAATTCATATCACACACAACGACCTCGCACCTTCGGGTAACGCTATTCCGCCCACGCACCTGAATACCAGATACAACACACATCCTTCACTAGTACGAACGTTGCGAACACAACATCGCCGTGAGAGGAGGCAAGTCAAGCCGCAAAGTGCGCAACAGAAGATTGTGGAACTCCAGAAACAGCAGACTGTGGAACTTCAAAAACTAGGATGCAAGATCAAATCATACGTCGTTTGTTATGTAACCATTCCTACCACCCGTCCAGCACCGTCACCCGCACGGGCATGCCCTTGGCCGGCCGCGCCGTCGCCCCGCCCTTGATCTCCAGCCTGCTCTCGTCGGCCATCTCCTCGTCGCCCAGCGCGAACGCGAACCGGCCGACCCAGGCCGCCAGCAGGCACGCGAACTCGGCCCTGGCGAACCCGGACCCGATGCAGCTGCGGGGCCCGTGCAGGAAGGTCATGAAGGCGTAGTTGCTGGCCGCGCCGCCGCTGGCCGCCGACGCTTTACTGTCGTCCCCTCTCCCGGAGGAGGAGGACCCCGGCATCCAGCGCTCCGGGTCGAACTTGAGCGCGTCGGGCCCCCACATCTCGACCGAGTAGTTGAGCGCCCAGGGGTAGATCATGAGGCGCGTGCCCTTGGGGATGAAGTGGCCCTGGATGGAGGTGTCGTGGGCGGCCTCGCGCAGCGTCATGGGCACGGGGCACCAGCAGCGCAGGACCTCGCTGCACACGGCGTTGAGGTAGGGCATGTGGTCGATGTCGAGGCTCGAGATGCTGCCCGGCGCCGCCTCGTCGCCGATGGGGGGCAGGCGCGAGCGCACCTCGGCCCGCAGGCGGGCCTGGACGTCCGGGTGCACGCAGAGCATGTAGACGGCCCAGGTCATGGCGGCCGCGGTGGTCTCGTGGCCGGCCGCGAGGAAGGTCATGAGCTGGTCGACGAGGTTGTCGTCGGAGAACTGGCCCGACTCGAGCGCGACGGAGAGGATGTCGACGTCGGCGAGCTCCCTGCGCGCGAGCCGCTCCTTCTTCTCCCGCACGAGGCTGTGGCAGACCTCGCGGATGTGGGCGCGCGCGGCGTAGATGTCGCGGTTGCGCTTGAGCGGGATGTTGGCCACGGCCCACTCGGGCAGGAAGACGGCCGCGAGGCCCAGCAGCTGCGCCTGCTTGTTGGGCTTGAAGAGGGTCGAGTAGACCACGTTGAGCCTGTTGCTCGGGTCCCGCAGCGAGCCGAAGTCGCGGCCCAGCCCGGCGACGCCGATGATGTCGAGCGTGAGCCGCGAGGCCCAGCTGGTGATTTCTAAGATTGCCGACTTCCCTGCCGTGCTGCCCTTTTCCGCGTCTTGTCCTCCCTGCTGAGGGTCTTTGGCTGCGTCGGCGTTGATTTGTTCCGTCATGACCTCGATGCTCTCCCTCGCCTTGTCCCAGAATATGGGATAGAGATCCTTGACGTGCCTGAATGAGAAGGCGGGCAGCAGGTTTCTCCTCTGGAACTTGTGCTCGTCTCCTTCTGCGAGCAAGATGCCCTCGCCTAGCACGCGGGCGAGGAAGAACCTCATCTGCTTCGGCTTTGTGAACTCGTAATTCTTAGTCACGAGCACTTCCGCCAGTGCCTTGGGCGAGGTGATGAACAGACGCTCTTGGTTCAGAAGTGCCAGGTACCGAATCAGGCCGTCATTGGGGACCGTATTGATCCTATATAGACGTTAGTTACCTCGAGGAGTTTTTCAGAAGATTTTCCAGAGAGAACCAAACGTACCATTCCCTCGCCGGAGCACCGCTTGTCTCCTTGGCTATCCTGGGGTACTGGCCGTTCCACCAAGATACGTTCTTGGGCTCTGGAAGATCGCGCAGCGGCGAGAAGAGCTTGGGATACAGGAAGACGGTCCATATCGCCCACCCGGTGAATAACAATGTCCAAGAGAGGGAAAAGGTTGCGACGACACTGCCTTTCGTGCCGGTCTCGTGACGCCAGGCCAAAAAGTAGGCCGCGACGCCAGAGACGAGGGTGAACTCGCGCCAGGGAAGTCCCATGGCAGCACTGTGGCAAGTTTGGCAACCTGTGTTGTGTGATAGTCTGTTGTTTGCAGTGTTCACTATTTCAGACGTCCAGAGAAGCTCAGATGCGGCGAGTGAATGAGTGAGCAGGGGCCAGCGATCTCCTTCTTGTCGAGACCACCCTAGCGTTGTACTTGTATATATTGCAGCAGCCACAGAGAGGCACACTGCTGTCTGCCCTTCGAGCACGTTGCGATTCCTTAAAGAAAAATCAAAAAGTAGAAGAAAGAAAGAAAAGGAATTCCTGTTGCAACGGCTGGAAATCGAAGAGGTTCACGGGTTGAAAGTAGGCAAGCTAGTGTCCGGGGATGCTTCAGGTGCGGGTGGGTCACACACTTTAGCCCACTTACGCCCAGAAGATCAAAGAGGCAGGGTTCTTCAGACTGTCGATGATGATGATGATGGTCAAGAATCGACATCATTGAAATATCTCTCAAGTAATTGGAGGGTCAGAAAGAAGATATACTTGTCCAAGATCTCCCGGAGAGAACACACGCGGCAGCCCGTAGTCCCGAGGAAAGTCTCCGTGTCATAACTACGACTCGGGGACTCTGGCCTTCAAATCCACATAATACGGCCCAGGTGCTTTGATAGGCCATCCAGCTTCAGGCTATGAAAGCTTAGCCTGCCAGGACGGGCAAGCAATGCGAGTGCGAGTCCGTGGGGTAGCGCTCAGATACCCCACGAGCAGTCTCAAGGCGGCGCCGAGGTTGCTCCAACGGAGGACCGGGGATTTCATATGCCAACAGCACGGACGGAGAAGGAGACACTGAGAGGAGACAGTGCGTCGACAGGTGTATGCAGTCCGCGTGGCGTTGAGACAGCGCTCGTCCGACTCTTTAATTTTTTGCACAAATCATGTTCGTGCAAGGTTTGACTCCAAGCCTCCAGTCACCGCATGCAAATTTGCATCCGATATGATCCTACGACCTGAAGATATTCATCAGGTCCCGCATCTCGCACTCGCTTCCCAGCTGCAAAGGTGGCCACCACTTGCTATGTTAGGCACAGCACCAGACATTGTACTCAAGTCACTTGATGTCAGATGGCTTGCATTAACGCGACAGCTTCTCCTCTGATTTTCACCACGACGAAGTGTAGGGAGGGACACAGGCTACTGGAAGCTTCAATGCCTTGACATTTCACGTTACTGCCCTTAACAAAGCCGCGTACGCCCAGACCCCGATCCTCCACCCGCACCACGCCGCGCCGGCCCCGAGCAGCCCGAGGGCGACGAGGACGGTGTTGCGGATCTCAAAGGCGTCCGACACCTCCATCCTGAGCAGCTTCTTCTGCTTGCTGTGGTAATACCAGCGGCCGCCCCCGTTCTCCTCGCCGTCCCGCGAAGCCCGTGCCGGCCTCCCGCCGCCGCCGTCCTTGGCGACTCGCACGTACCGGTAGGGTTGCTCCCGGTAGACGATCCGGTGCAGCCACGCCGGCAGGCGGCTCTTGTGGCGCGGCGACTCGGAGTGCAAGTGGGATCGCAGGACGGTGTACCGGAGCTCGACGAGGGCCAGCGAGAAGAGGAAGGAGACGAAAATGACTGGCGTCATGATGAGCTGCGGGAAGGGTATGTCAGTGCATGCTTTGGCAGCTGAACGGATCACCGTATTTAAACTGCGCCCGTGGTCTAGAATCTGGTGTGTGCAGGCTGCTGAATTCTCCGCCCTCTGCCAATATCCTCACCGGCCTCAAGCCATGCAAAAGTATTGATTCTCGCCATTGAAACTGTTGGGCATCGTCACTTACTTGATAGAACTTGGATTGGCGTTGCGAGGGGGCATCGCCCTCGTTGCCGGCAATCCTTACTGGCGACGACATGATGTGTGGTTCGTTGGTCAGGTTCGTAGTTGGCTTCTCGATCGCGGCCTGCAGCCGTGTCTTTGTGCAAGGCTTTCGAGCCTGGCGGTTTGCCCTCGAGTCAGGAACGCTGTACCCACGCCAGCTACTACTCGACAAATTGGTCTATCCTCAGAAGGTTTTGGGAGTGTATTTGCAACCCCATTCCCTACCAAGTGGGAGGACTCGCTATATTACAAAAGAAGTTGAAGCGTGGTTGTCTACGGCACGACTTACGTACCCTCGTACCTAGGATCTGCCCTGCCCTGACATACACGCAACCCGGTGGGTAGGGCTGTGTCAGCATTCCCGACCCTCCCGCAAATGGGAGGGCGGTGCTGTGAGATCACCAAGACGGCTTCGGTGGGGCGGCGTGGTGTTGGCGAGTCGCAGCCTGCAAATACGCGTATTTGTCTGAGAGGAGCCAATGACATCACTGACAGCTACACCTCCTGGACTCAAGGATAGGAGCTTTGAGATGAGCTGGCACACATCCTGCAGAATTGGCAGTATTGTTGTTGTTGTTTTGTCAGTTGCACAAGGAGATACTATCGGGGCGGATAGTTGTATCATCATCCCATTCCACAAAGACTCTCAACTACCAGCATTTGTCTGCACAATGAAGCAAGTATCGTTTTTTTTAATTCCCGTGAACCAAGTCAATTCCCAATTAAACTACCGTTTCTTTGTTTGTCTGCGTTAAGCAGACTCTGATTACCCTAGAGGCGGGAGGTGTTTGTACCCCTGTCAAGACTTGTCAACTCATGCCGTCCTTTCATCCTTGGAGAGCGAAGGCAAGTCTTACGGGAGAGCAGTGCACTCGATCTCAACGTTGCAGTTCGGGGGCCCGGGCAACGTCTTGACGGCAACGCAGCTGCGGGCGGGCTTGTGGGTGAACCACTTGGCGTACTCCTCGTTCATGGCCTGTGTGGCAGTTCAACCACATGTTAGATATCGTCGTTACTCAAGATATTGTCTGTGCGTGAGGGAGCTGGAACATACGCCAAAGTTGGCCATGTCGTCCAGGAAGATGTTGACCTTGACGACCTTGCTCATGTCGGAGCCGGCGGCCTTGAGGACGGTCTGCAGGTTCTTGCAGACCTGCCGGGTCTTCTCCTGGATCGTGCCCTGGCAGAAGTTGCCGTCCTTGTCGACGGGCAGCTGACCCGAGCAGTAGATGGCATGAGGGGTCTTGATGGCCGCGGTCTGGGAGCTCGATTAGCAAACGCTCGCTCGTACATGTAATCTGTCTATCGCTATCACGCAACGGTCACGTACAATGGGCGCGGAAGCTGGTTTGGCATGCAACGTTAGCTCTTTGCCATGTGCCGGGTTCCTTTTTTCCTACGTACGGGTCCAGAGCTCGCTGCTGGTGATGTGCTCCATGTTTGCCGACTCGGTGGAGGTTGTGGTTGTGACAAAATGACAGCTGTGAGGGGAATAGAAACGCTTCTATTTGGGGATGACAGGAAGGGAATGTTCGTGAGCCGAAGTTTTGAGATGAGAAGCAAGAGAGTATATGGAAGGAAATCAAAGTAATCAGGGTCCGATCGGCATTGCCGACCGATGGATCGTGGGGTAGAAGCGGAAACAGGCGGACGGCATTCTTCCTAGTTCCGCCTTATCGCTGAAGCTGTCTCATGGACCATTCTCATCTTTACAAACTTTTCCAGAGGGGAAAGGCTGCTCTCATAAGAACATCACCAGCTAGGATAATCTTGATATTCCAGTTTTATACTCGAGTGTCGATTGTCACATCGCCAAAGGCTCACCGGCAGCAGACCTGCCCAGATGACCATCGCGGAACAGCCTGAAGCGGGACACGGCCGATCCGATAAGGCCATCGGTCAAGTGGGCCGGCCGGCTTCGGTGAAGGAGAACAGAGAAGTTGTGCATGTGTGAGCAACCGTTGTTAGATGCCGCCGGTAATAAAAGTGGTTCCGGAATCAATATTTTGTGACTTTAATCGTTGATTATTCCTTGAAAACTACTCCTTCCCTATGGAGTGCATCTTCGACGGTTGCCGGTGGAGAATGCTGCGCTCGACCTGGGAATTCACAGCTGAGATTCAGAGGTTCGGCATTCTTCCGCTGTCTCGATTCCTCTATTCGCCGAACCTCAATACTCATTGCCATAAGCTCGCTACACGACTATGGAATCGGGGCGAGAGCGACCTCTTTCAAAGCTCTGATCAGTGACACAGAATGCTGGGTTTCTGGTTGACGTTCTGCATCCTTGGCAATGATCATGAGGAGCACCCGAAGAGCAAAATGTGCATCATTACCGGCTGCATGTAGCTTTTTGTAGGGTATCTCGAGAGCCTCCAGTAGCTTCTCCAGGCTGTATCTGTAGGGCAGGCTGAGAGGCTCCTGCGCTGCTTTCACGGTGTCCACAACGAAGATAGGCTGAAGGTCGATGCCAAAATTAGACAAAGCCTGGAGATCTGCATGTCCTCAGTGAACCACGAGCACGACATTTCTTCCGGAGGCGATGGTCTCGAGTCGACTCTTCACAGATGAAAGAGAGCTTGGTTCTGACAGGCCGAAGAGAAATCGCTTGGATGCTTTTCTGCAGTATCGAGAGTCGCCAATCGTGAACTGCAGGGATTGGATTGTCGGTGTTGGGCCCTTTCCAGATCGTAGAGTACCGGCAGGGTTAAGCAAGGCGCGGGAATCCAATGTCGATACACCAATATGGAACTGGTGATCCGGGAGAATTTCCGAGTACCCCTGCTGCGTATCGATATCGACAGCAACGAGAAGTACATCTAGAAGCGGTGTTCTCGATAGGTCTGCTTCATTTGTGACGGATGTGTACCCAAAGAGCTCGCGAAGAATGATATTCTCGACTCGAGATGGGAATTGATCTATCGGAGTAGTGTCTGTCTCGGGGGTCACCACCGGCACTGCCATTATCACAGCTGGTATGGTTGATATCTCGAGTCGAAGCAAGGTTACGTGCAATGCATATCCTCCAAGAGCCCTCGCTCCTCATAAGACTTCTTGTCGTCATGGTGCTCCGATCTTTTGCACCGTTCCATGGGTGTCTCGGGTTTGGTTCGGTCCTCCGCCTAAGCCAATGCCAACTTTGTGTCTATGCCTTACGCCTTTACATCCGCACCCGCTCCAACTCAATTGCTGCATAGTTGCGGTGTTGTTGGTGCAAACATTTTCCTCGCAGGTGTGGTGGTCTTGAGATTCGTGTTTCCTCCTCCACCACCAACACCCATACTAGGTAACTTAGGTACTTGTACAAGTAAAACAATTTAATGGCGGGGCGCACGTCTTGCCGTCGCGTCCCGCGTTTTGGGAGGAGGACCGCCCCACATGAGCTCTCGAGCTGACCTGTTGAAGTAGCCAAGTGTTCACAAAAAAGCTGGTACACAAAGCCAGGGCTGGGTCACGTCAGGGGAATCCCAAATCCATACCAACCCGGTACCACTTCGTGCCTGTAGGGGGCCAGATCAATTGCTACACCACCTCCTAGCCAAATTTGTATTGCCCTTTTTACGGGCGGCGCATCTCACGTCGTCAATCTAGTCTCGTCTCCCTTTCCTGGCTGACTGAGATCCTATTTTCCCACTTCCATCCCTCTCCGTCCTGGCCATTCAGTCGTGTCCTCAGGAAGCTGACTTGGCCGATGAGAGAGCTTCTTTTCTTTCCTTCACTTCTTTTGTTCTGAGTCCGTAAGTCTTTTTCCCACTTTGAATACCATTGGGTTCGTAACGTAGTAGCACTTTGCTCCGCGATCCCACGCCCTTGGCACTGGCACCTGCACCTAGCCAAGTTGATCCTCATCAAGCATCGCCATCGTGGCAGTCACCGTTGCTAAAGCATACCCCGCAGCAGGTTTTCCTAATTTCTGCCCATTATGGCGACTCCTACGCCGAACAACACTCTTCGACAGCGAAATGTGAAGAAGAACGTCGGCGTCAGCCCCATCGCGGATGCGGAGCTCGACAGCTATGTCAAGGCCAACACCACGGCCAAGGCTGCGGGATCGGAACGCGAGTATCAGCTCGGTTTCGTCGTCGTGACCGTCCTGGCTTTCCTCACTCGATTCTGGGGTATCAGCCACCCTAACGAAGTCGTCTTCGACGAGGTCCACTTCGGCAAGGTATGCGCTTCTGTGTCTCTGCCTCGAGAAGCATTGACAACATACTAATTACTGTATGGTTCTCAGTTCGCCTCATACTATCTCGAAAGAACCTACTTCTTCGATGTGCACCCTCCCTTTGGCAAGCTCCTCTTCGCTTTCATGGGATGGCTGGTCGGATACGATGGCCACTTCCACTTCGAGAACATCGGGGACTCCTATATCGTCAACAAGGTTCCTTATGTGGCATTCCGTTCCATGCCCGCCCTTCTGGGTGCCTTGACGGTCTCAGTAGTTTACCTGATCATGTGGGAGTCGGCATACAGCCTGCCTGCCTGCATTGTGGCCGCTGGTCTCGTCCTTCTCGACAATGCCCACATCGGCCAAACCCGCCTGATTCTGCTCGATGCCACCTTGGTCTTTACCATGGCTTGCAGTCTCCTCTGCTACATCAAGTTTTACAAGCTTAGGCACGAGCCATTCTCCAGGAAGTGGTGGAAGTGGCTCATCCTGACTGGCTTCGCCCTGTCGTGTGATATCTCGACCAAGTACGTCGGCACATTCGCCTTCGTGACCATTGGCTGTGCGGTCATCATCGACCTTTGGGATCTTCTGGACATCAAGAGGGTGGGCGGGGCTCTGACCCTGCCCGAGTTCGGCAAGCACTTCGCTGCCCGTGCCTTTGGTCTGATCATCATGCCTTTCCTGTTCTACCTCTTCTGGTTCCAGGTCCACTTCGCTATTCTCAGCCGGTCCGGCCCTGGCGACGACTTCATGACCCCAGAGTTCCAGGAGACTCTGAGCGATAACGTCATGCTCGCCAACTCGGTCACCCTCAACTACTACGACACCGTTACCATCCGGCACAAGGAGACCAAGGCTTACCTTCACAGCCACGAAGACCGATATCCTCTGCGCTATGATGATGGCCGTGTCTCTAGCCAGGGCCAGCAGGTCACCGGTTACCCATTCAACGACACGAACAACTACTGGCAGATCATCCCCCAGGACAACAACCAGCAGATGGGTCGCGCGGTCAAGAACTCGGACATTTTGAGGCTCCGTCATGTTTTGACTGATACCATTCTTCTGTCTCATGATGTTGCATCGCCGTACTATCCCACTAACCAGGAGTTCACCACCGTCTCCCAGGAGGACGCCTATGGGGAGCGACAGGCTGACACCCTTTTCGAGGTTCGGCTCATGGGTGGGAAGCCGGGGCAAGAGGTGAAGACTATTTCTGGCCATTTCAAGCTCATTCACAACCCGAGCAAGGTGGCCATGTGGACTCATACCAAGCCCTTGCCCGAGTGGGGATTCAAGCACCAAGAAATCAACGGCAATAAGCAGATCGCACCAAGCTCAAACGTCTGGTTCTTTGAGGACCTCCCCACTCTCCCCGAAGACGACGCCCGTCGCGTCAGGGAGGAGAAGAAGGTCAAGACACTGCCCTTCCTCCGCAAGTGGTTCGAGCTTCAGCGGTCCATGTTCTGGCACAATAGCCAGTTGACTAGCAGTCACCCGTATGCCTCGTTCCCCTACCAGTGGCCTTTCCTGCTTGGTGGTGTCAGCTTCTGGACCAACGCCGAGACCCGCCAGCAGATCTACTTCCTCGGTAACCCTGTCGGCTGGTGGATTGCTAGCAGTCTTCTCGCAGTCTACGCAGGTATCGTTCTTGCCGACCAGTTCACCCTTCGCCGCGGCATGGATGCCCTAGATCACCGTAAGTAATACACTTGCCCACGCTTGATCCACGCTTGAGCCCGTTGCACGTTGCTTACCATACATGTCAGGTTCTCGATCTCGCCTTTACAACTCCACAGGTTTCTTCTTCCTGGCTTGGGCGACCCACTACTTCCCTTTCTACGTCATGGGTCGCCAGTTGTTCCTGCATCACTACCTTCCGGCTCATCTTGCATCCACACTAGTCACTGGTGCTCTAGTCGAGTTTGTCTTCGCCGCCGAGCCGGCCGAGAATGAGATCACGTACCAAGCTGCCAAGGCCGGCAAGAAGCCGGCTGTCAAGCGCCACATCACCGCTCGTGAGCGCTTCGCCGGCACAAGCATGCTGGGCTCCTGGATAGCCGCAGCTGTTATCCTCGGTCTTGCCGCCTTTGGGTGGTGGTTCTTCTTGCCGCTGACCTACGGCTACCCGGGCCTGACGGTCGAGCAGGTCCTCAGACGCAAGTGGCTTGGATATGATCTCCACTTTGCCAAATAAATGAGTTGAAGATAGTCGCTGCTTGCTCGACAAGCGCCGACATCTACATGCATGTGCCGATTATGACATATGACCTGCCTAGTGAGAGATATTTACGGGGCGCTGGGAGACAAAGGGACTACTGAACAAAACTGGAAAGCTGGCAGGGCTTAGTTAGAATGGAGTTAGATGAAAGGACATGTCTTGTTTGACAAACAGAGTACGCTTTTTTCTATGTAAGATACAGCAAAATAAACGGATGTAAAACGTGTACTTGACAGATATCTCGTTTGACCAGCCTCTCAAAGCACAAAGTTTGGCTCATATTGTGCAACCCCTATTATCTTGATAGCCTGCATCCCTGGAAGTTGCTGTGTTGATCAAAAGTTATCAGGACAGTTCCGGCTCCAAGTTTCTACTTGAGATTGCGCGACCTCTGTTGTCTTGGCCGTTGCCTTCATCTACTCAGATCATGGATGACATGTGTCGAGTATAAAATACTACGGACAAAGGCTGTGTCCAGATATTTGGCATGACCCTTTGTATTCTCTTGTCCCCTGTTAGATCCGATTCGTTGTCCATAGATAGTCCTATAAGTTGGGCTAGAAATAGATTAAATTTTTGCAAGACAAGGAGTGCTTTGTTTTCTCGAAGAGTGACTTGTCGAATCACAAAGCAACATTCAACAAAGGCTGCAGTGAAGTCTTTCAACGTGAAGCTCAAAGAACATTGTTCACTAAGCATCTTGATTGTCTTGGGTGAAAAAGGCTTGGCCAAAGCAGCGGAAACAGTATTTAATAACTATCCGTCGAGTATCACAATATCGTGGCAAGGATCTCGAGTTCATGCACGGCAGCTCGAGTCAATTCGACAACAAGAAACTTTTCTCCCAACCACAAGAAGATGTTCCGTTCGAGCATACTTAACAGACTCTATAGTTTACTTACTACATCGAAACACCAAGCTGATCCCGTAGGGGAAGACAAAGACAAGGAACGAGACATGTGCCGCGCGATCAACCACCGCTTCGCGTGCGGGCACACAGACACGGAGCACCAGGTCTGCGAGAAGGTCCACGAGAGGCAGAAGAAGTGGGCGAGGGAGCAGGCGAAGAAGAGGGACAAGGGAGGCTCCGGGTGGTCCTGCTGCGGGCTCGGAGGCGCCGGCGAGGACGGGCCGCCGCCGCCGGAGCCGTGCCGGAGCCCGCAGGCGAGCAACTTCTTCCGCGGCAGCCAGGTCTGCCGCAACTGCGACCGGCGGAGGAGGCCGCTGCCGCCGAACCCGAACCCGCCCTCGTCGTCGTCGTCGTCGTCGAGGGCGGGGAGAGGAGGAGGAGGAGGGAAAGGGGTGCGGAGGGAGGACTCGTACATCGACCCCGAGCACGCGCGGTGGGTCGTGCAGAACACGCCGCCCGAGTCGTGGCCCGGGTGTATTCCGCGGCCGGCGCCGGCGGCGATGCCGAGTTCTTCTAAGCGGAGCGGCGCCGGCGGCGTGGCTCGTGTGCCTAGGGACGCGAGGGTGGGGGGGAGTGGCCCGAGGGGGGCAGGAGGAGGAGGAAAGTCCGGTGGCCGGGCCAAGGGGAAGGGTCGGGAGGTTGCTCGGCCGGACATGGGTGGCAAGTCGTTCTTTTGGGACGACTGAACGACCGCTACGTTGCTGGCCACCTCGACGGTGCTGAGCAGGTACCGGAGATAGGAGGCAGCATTCTCCTTGGGGTAGCAGATGCTGCTGCCCTTTGCTTGTTGCTTGCTTCTGTCGAGATACCCCATTTTTCATTTGCTATTGCATTATACGATATCAATCAATTGTTTTTTTTTTTGGTAATTATCTCTTAACAGTTCCAGTTCCTCGGGATGTCGACCTGTCGTTCCAGCAAGGAACAAACGTTGCGGTGGAAATTAGACGAGTTTTTCGAAACCGTGAAGCATCCTGGTTATTCAGTACAATGCGTTTTGTCGTATTTTCTGCTAAGGGACGATCATGATTCAATCTTCTTGTATCGATCAGTAGGTGATTAGATGCTTTGTAAGTACTTCGACCGTAGACACACAAAGATCTATTACGGCATTGTGGCATTATCGGTTGAAGTTAGCCTCTTGCCAGTATATTCGTACTTCGATATGTATGTGATGATTACCGAACTTACCAAGATCTAGGAACGAGCAAGCTGCCTACGACATACGAAGTCGCTGCAGTGTGCTCAACCTCTTGCCCCCAGATTCAACATCAAAAATAGACACACGTTGAAGGTGCATTACCCCCACCAGCCAGGATACTCTAGACATTATCGACCTGGAATACCAGGCCCCCAATAGTAATCACGATAATACCATCTAGTTTTGTTTTTTTCCCTTTCTTCAAACTTTGCCGGTCCCAATGAGCGTCAAGAAAAGACCCGTATCTCTTGCAGATCGACGGCATGCTTGGCAACCAAGGGGATCCATTGGCATTGGTTCTCGACGGCTCAAGAGTGCTGGTACCTGGATCTGGTGATGCCATCCATACGGCTCACCTGAAACAGAGACATGCAGGATGCATGCAGACTCTTAGGAGCGAGTGAGCGAGCGAGCGGGCTCGACTCCTTCACCAATGGCGTGGCCAACCCACTCCGGTTTGTCCAGACCTAAAGTACCTAAGATAGGCACCTCCCGTTTCTGGACCATGGGGCGACTCGAGAGGATCAGGTACGACAAGTTGCTAGACTCGTGTATCCAACCGTTTTTTTGCTTTTGCCTTGTTTCAGGCACCCTGATTTCTTCTGGGGGAGTATCAAAGAACCTGATTGATTCCGTCATCTCACCTTATCTGTTCTTAATCCAGGCACTGACATTTCTTCAGCTGCCGGTCGTCAGATCCAGATTGGCCAGCGCAGAGAGGCGTCCGGCGGGCCTCGTGCTGGGCCGCCGCCCCTTGTGCTCCTCCGTAGGCTGCTCGATTCTCTGCGTCTTGATTGGCACTGGGGTTTAAGCAACGAGCCAAGTTCGGGGAGAGTGGGGTTGGTGGCGGGCCTGCCAGGAGGGAACAGCACTAGCTCTAGCATGTCCGGTGCGGCATCGTCGCAATCGAACGCGCCAGTGTCCAACGTGTCCTGATTCAATCTCGGACGTCATTTCATGGATGGAAAACCTTTGTCTGGAAGAGTGGTGTCCCAAGATCAACCACACGGGCTGCAAAGTCCTTGACTGGCCTGACCGCCGTCAAACCTTGCAAGTCCTGAATGGAAAAGGGGGGGCAAGAAGCAGGGCCCAAGATCCTCCTGCGCCTGCAGATCCAGTCAAATCAGCCGACAGGATCCATGGACGGACGCTGGGCAAGAAACCAGCCCTATGAGTGGAGAAGTCCTTCTGTGTTACCTATGCCTTCACCCTGGTGGATGTGGCTGGGACAGCACTCTGTCATCATGCGAAATGAACATGATGAAACACGAAGCCAATCATGTTGAGCGAGGTATCTCGCCGAATCTGCAAGCCAGATGCATGCACGACAGGGCAGGGTAATGTGACTAGTGACACGAGAAACCCGGACGGGGAACGGAGGGGGAATCGGGGCTCCCTCCCTGAGCGGTCACACAATCCGATACCGAGAATTCAGCACAGATGACCCCCCCGTGCAGGACGAAGAACACGATTGCGACTGACGATTCGAGCCACGCAAACGTACAGGAAACAAGGGCGCGTATTGATTGCCAAGTGACGAAAGGCAAGGAAGAAGGTGGAAGTGCATCGTCAACAGCGATAACCGGTGACTTCTGCGACGGCCGTGGACGGCTTGCCTGCCGGGGTATCCGTCTAGCGGCTCCGTGTAAGTGCTGTTGGGGGCCAATTCGTAATCCACCACACGGCAGCGTCGGCAGATGGGCGAGCACCAGTGAATGGTCTCTATTCGCATTCGCTTGCGAGAGCGTGACACACACCCCTGGCCAGTCAGAGCACTTCGCGTGGCCCGTATTGAGCAGACGTTTAACTCTCGGTTGATACATTTGGGATTCCCAACGCTTGAACCGGCAGAATGCTAGGCCGCCCAGATGCGTCGGCGGGCAGAATTCAATTCCAGGGTAACATTGGCTTTGGGGGGGAAAACGTCAAGAAATGGGTACACGACCCCTGTTCACCCATTGGCCATCTTGTCTGGTCGCAGCGCTCAGCCACCCAAACCTCATTTAAACGGTGGTCATGGCTGCGGCCGGGTGAGGCTGATTGATCGATGTGCGAGGATAAGCAGGAATTGGCTGCAGTGAACAACTGACAAGCATGTCCCTCGGGAATACTCGCTGATTTGGGCCAAGTTCACTGGCCCATCAGACAGACCGCTATCACAAGGCTTGGGTCCTATTGTGGCATGATCGCAGGACCCGAACCAAGGCCTGTCTCCCGTAGAGTGAATTGATTACCAGGATTGGGACGACGCCTTCCCTGAACAGATCTCGACTGGAAAGGGCGGACCAGGGCCTTCGGTTCCGATCAAGAGCATCACGGGCGGGTGACGAATACGTTAAATATGCATATATGTAATCGGAACGAGGTCAAATGAGAATCGAGCAAACACGTCTGCCTTCGACGAAACGGGTTTCAGTGCTTGCACAGGCGACGCAATGCAGTCCGTCAGCTCAAGAAACGGGACACGGACGACACGTTTTCAGACCGGCGGGTAAATGAGAGACAAGTTGTGGGGGGGTATTGAAGGGGGAGGATTGGAAAGAACATTGAAGCATCGGGTTGAGTTGACAGGGGCGGGCCAAAGAGTGTCCCAGGCGGGCGGGGCCAGTGCAAGAAAAGACCGAGCATGAACTGCAAGTTTGCTCCGTCGGGGACGGAAGTCGGACCTGAAGCGGTTCTCAGGTTACACACACTGTACCGCGTCCTTCCTAGTGCCAATTTTAGTGTCCAGCCCACTTTATGTCTGGCGGTGGTTTCCTCTCGCGCGCCCACACTCCCACTGAGAATGGATGACAAACCCCCGTGACGGTGAGCATGGAGGGAGGCCGTCTGACAAACCCAAACCTGGGTCATCACTCTATTCCGTAACCACAGGAATCCATCCATTGATCAGCGTCTCGAGTGATCGAGTGATGCATTGATCTCGATCCAGAAAGTAGAAGGAGAAAAGAAAATAGCAACAAGAAGGGAGGGAGGAAAAAAAACCTCACATCATAACCCAATCCATCAATACAGTCTAGTCACACCAAGCAAGCACAGCTCAGCGAGGCTGTGAATCACGCCGGCGACCCTTTTTAGACGAGAAGAACTGGAGCGAGAGAGGCAGTGGGCGGACGAGGGAGGCACTGGATGGCCGGGGGGGAAACTCCAATTGCTACTGAGGACCCACTGTCAAGTCCTGAGGATCCCTGGAGGGCCCTGGTGGGTGAGGCGTAGCAGCGGGCTAATCCCCTTTGGGACCGATTTTAGGCAACCACTTTCCAACCAACAACCAAATGTCATCGCTCCCGCTCGCTGGCCCTTCTCTTCAACATCATCCGCTCTCCTTCAACCCATCTCTCCTCCTCTCCTCGTCGTTTTGTCCTCCTTGCCATCTGTCCCTTTCGTCTTTTTTCGCTCCTGAGGCCGCTCCCCCGGACGACAATTTCTGTACCCAGTCCTGGCACGACCTGAGACCGGCTCGCACGGACAAGAGACCAGGGAAACGCAGCCCCCGCTCCTCGTCCGTTCCTCGACCTTCTGCGCCTGTATATCACCCATCACGACACCCACCGCACCACCATTGTCATGCTTCCCTGCTCTTCCATCTAGGGAATTTCCATCGCCATTTGCGTTGTATCCTATTGTTCTGTGTTTGATTCATCGCCGTTGCGCCCAAAGCTTTCATCGGCCTGCTTTGCCGAGCATCATCATCAGCCATCATAAACCTCAGGACTTCCCGAGTCCTTCCGCGTTGGTCACACGCGTAATCTTGACCGACGGTCCTCTTTAAACTAGGACTGACTGGACTGACTGGTAAGGACACTTTCAAACTCGTCGCCGCTTTGGCTCTCCACTCCTCCCCCGTTTCTCTCTCGTCTTCCCGGCCGTCGTCTCTCTTCCCTCTGCCGCCTCCTTTTCCTCCTCCCGCCACACCATTGTCCAATCTGATTTGCTCCTGTGTCGTCACTATCAGACATCTTGAGACACTATTCTGCATTCGGTGTGTGAACAGCTACGCCTGTGACTCACACACCCTCCGGTCCAGCCTTATGAATGCATGAACCAGGACTGACCACGGCTACTCCACAGGCCTCTTCATCCATCGACCATATCATATACAGGACTGTTCGATCCCACCCCCACAATGTCTGGAGCCAACATGTCCTCCAATCCTCGACGGACCCCGGTGACTCGTTCCGGCACTGCGGCTGCCAATGGGTTGACCCTTAAGACCAAGATGGTCCTCAGGAAGGGTGCTACTTTTCATTCTCCTCCTTCCAGCCCTTCTTCAGAGATCTCTCTCCCATTCAGACCTCCACCACTCCCTCGTCGTTCCCAGACCAGTCTGGATGATGTCGTTGATGCTCACCGTCGTCGTGCTGCATTGACCCTAAGCGACTTTGATAAGACCCTTTCCGGATCCAACGGCTCGTCGTCGTCGATTAAAGTATTCCGAGACGAGAGCCTGCCGGTCCCGAGAGGCTTCCTTGACCACGCCGTCACCATGGCCAAGGACAATGACTCTGAGCGGCGCGTCCTGCGTCCGCGTGAAAACACTCGCCGCCCTGCACGATACCACGAGTCCGACAGTGGCCTCGGCACCTCGGTCGCCTCGACATCTGAGAAGCGCGGTGCCAACAAGAAAGAGAAGACCACCTCCATCAAGTCTTCTGCCATCACCCGGTCGGCCGCCGCTGAAGCCGAGCAGCTTCCAGGCCTCAGCCCTCGCGCTACGAACCGGATCTATGAGCACACGCTGAAGCCTCTGCTATCGAAGCCATCGCTCAAGGACTTCCACCCGCTCCTTCTGGAGTGCCCCCGCAAGATCCACAGCAAGGAGATCGTCTGCTTGCGGGATCTTGAGAAGACCCTACTACTAATCGCTCCTGTAAGTGAACTCGAGAAAGACAAAGGCGTTCGGGGAGATACTTATAGGATGTTGTGTTCAAAGGAGAGGACCAAGGTTGCCGAGCTGTATCTCGAATTCTGCATCACCTCGATCCGCTGCATCCAGGCTACTGTGGAATATCTGAGCGACCGCGAGCAGACTCGCCCCAACGACCTCCCTTACACCAACGGCTACTTTATCGACCTGGTTGATCAGATCCGCCAATACGCCCAACAGCTCGCTGACGAGAAGACCAAGCAAACCGACAAGGACGAAAAGATGGATGTTTCCGGGTATGCCTTGAACCCAATTGTGCTGCTTGATACGGAAACGTTGATCACTAACTCGCTGCCTTCCTCCAGCATTGATGAGATCAAGCTCCACGGCGGCATCACCGTCAACGGCCGCCCTGCCGAGCTTGTCCGCATGAAAGACGGCAAGGCGATCTCGCTGGCCACCGGCAAGGTTGTCGAGCTCGAGGAAGACATCAAGGGCGCCATCCGCTTCAAACGCTCTGCCAGCGAGGAGCTCGCGGATGAGGAGGAGATCATGCGCTCCATGGCCCGCCGCAAGAAGAACGCTCCTCCTGAGGAGTACGCCCCCAAGCAGTGCCGCGAGCCTGGTTGCAACAAAGAGTTCAAGCGTCCCTGCGACCTGACCAAGCACGAGAAGACTCACTCTCGTCCCTGGAAGTGCCCAGTCTCTGCCTGCAAGTACCACGAGTACGGCTGGCCCACCGAGAAAGAGCGTGACCGCCATCTCAACGACAAGCACTCGGCCAACCCGCCCATGTACGAGTGCCATTTCAAGCCTTGCCCGTACAAGTCGAAGCGTGAATCGAACTGCAAGCAGCATATGGAGAAGGCCCACGGTTGGCAGTATGTCCGCACCAAGACCAACGGAAAGGCTCGTGCTGGCAGCACCACTGCTTCGCTGCCCACCCCTCAGCTTCAAAACATCCCTACCCCCATCAGCGATCCCAGCGGTGTCAACACTCCTCCACAAGACAACGCGTTCATGCCGCTCTATGGGAACCTCGACTTCCCCACGTACATTCCTGACGATGCATTTGGCGCGCTCAACTTGCCGCAGGACATTCACCTTGACTACTCGCCCATTGACAACGCTACCCCTTCGACTGAGTCGAGCCTGGACCATAGTTCGGCTTATGATATGGGCGGCGATTTTACGTTGTATGAAGACATCTATGCTGCTCACGCGCAGCTCCCCACCACTTCCAACAATATTTACACCAAAGCCATGGCTCAGGATTTCGCCGCTTTCTCGGCGGCTGAGCTCTGCCAGCCGCAGCCTGCCCCTCACATCTCACCCACTGGCCAGGGTAATGCTATGCTTTTCACACCTGCGTCCATGGCCGATGTGGACGAGGGGTTCGACGAGTTCCCTTCGACTGGCAACAATGGTGATTTCATCCTCTTCCCAGCCACTGATCTGAGCAAGACGACCAACTACGACGGGCTTTTTGATGAGATCCCCAGCATGGCTGCGGGCTATTCTCAGCCCACGTCGCAGACCCTGCTCTCCATGGACTGGCAGTCGGACTACAACAACTTCCCTCAGCATCATTAAGAAGCTTCACACCTGTTAGAACAGACAAGCCTGAGCTGGTCATGATTTTATGATACAATTTTGATGAGAAATACAATGGGATGATTTCTATCGGTCTGAAGCTGGAACGGGTTTGATGGGATGAAACAAGCCAGGATTGGCAGTCAGATGGACATGGTCGGTCATGAACACCGGGACGTTGCATCTTCAGATTGTGAAACCTTTTCATTCTCTGTCTCAGTTCACACGGATCTTTTCACTGCTCTTTACGACTTTTGCTCTCTGCCGTTCGTCTGCTGGAACCAGGATGCAACGTTGAATTTGGCTTCAGATTGATGAGCTCGAGGAAGAATTTCAGGAAGGAACCTTTGGATAATACTGAAGACGTGGGAATCGGTAGACACAGTCCTCTCTCATGTGCAAAATGAATTGAGCATTATATAACAAACCACCTTGCATCGTGTCATCTCGTGCTGTGTCGACGATATCAATCCATGCAAGAGGCATACTCGGTCACCACATTAGTTAGATAACACGCCGACACGACAATAGATTTTGGCGTATTCACTACAGTCAGTCTCAACACCCGTTTGCTCATTCTCTTCATGAAGCGCAAGAACACTGAAACCTTGCACGTCCTCATCCACTCGTGCAGACGTGATTGCCCCGGTTGACAACGGATGGCTGCCTAATGAACATGCGAGTTTCGTGGAAGTGTGCAGGTGTAGGGTGGGGGAGACCCAATTGATTGATCCATTGACAGCAAGTCTTCAGGCGTGACAGGGAAGCAGCGACTGGGGAGGCGTGCTGTGGGGTGGGGCTCCTCAGCCGCGGCCCGTCCGCCTTCCGCCCTTGGGAGTTTTTAGTTTGTCAACGTGCAAAAATTCTCGACTGCAAAGTCTCCCATCTCTCAATCCTCCATCACTCATCGCACGAAGAGATCGGATACCCTTTTCGCGGTGCCCTTGGAGGGGTTGTCCCTCCTCGAGTGGGGTTTCGTATGCTGTTGCCTAATGCCCTTTCTTGTTGTTTTTTCTCGGACCTAGCTGGCGTCGGGTGTCTGCTCCTGCCTGTGAAGGGCGTCTACAGCAACTGCTGATCCGTCCCCATTGGGAGTTAACTCCCTGACACCCTTCTCGTCACCCATATCACGGTATGTCATGAAGTTCTTTTGCCTTTCTCTTTCCTGTGCATCTTACACGTCCCCGTCTCCATGTTACCCGGATTTTCCATGCTATCTCTTGCTTTGGCCGAGCATGGACTCTGTTTCTCCTTCACCATTCCTTCCGTGCCAACACCCAAGTGGACAACAAACACACCCGTATGATGAGATTAAACTTGCAACCCTCCTGCAACATCTTAATAGGAAGAGCCGTCTGAGACTGTCTCCGGCCCGGAGTCGGGGCTTGAAGGGCGGGGGGGATTCTTCCCCTCCTCCTCCTTGTTCCTGCCCGGCCCTTCGTGCTGCTTCTCGTCGTTGAGACCCAACCCACCTTGGCCTACACCAAACGCCTGCATCGTCATATGCTTGCCGGGGCTGGTGAAGTTTAGTTGGGGACGCGGGAGGCGGTGGGGATGGTTATGCTTAGAAATGGGGTTTCTGAAGGGTGTTTTTCTCTCTGCTTTTTTTGTCTTTGCTTCTCGGGATCGCTCGCTCGGTCAGAGGTGGACAACACGTATGTGTGCTGACGTGCATGAACCATCATAGATACGGGGGATCTGTTAGTGGATGTCGTGAGAGAATCTCGTGTAGAGTCTCTGCCTGCATGGGATTCGCGTGGGGTTAGGTAAGTTTGCATAGTTCGTTCCGATGGCATCAGGTGGAGGTGATCGGACGCCTGAATTGCCTCATGATCTTCACCGAGATGGGTCGATGACTTGAATTGTCAAATACTACTTTGTTCTGTACAATACGCTTGTCATTACTCGTCCGATACTATAGACATTTCCAGCTCACTGTGATCCTCGTGCTCTGCCCATTTTATGCCAACCCTGCGTAATCAACCCCCTAGAGTTACATTGTCATGTCATGCGCCATTCGTAGTTCTTCCGCCTTAATCACTATCGGAATCGGAGAGTACAGCAGTTCGCCTCTTTTGCCTCCCCGGTCGAGCGCGGACCTCCTCTTCCTCTTCGTCAGTCTGAGCGGCCCGATTACTGCTCGTCCTCCCGACAAGCTCGCTGATGTCGGGCATGTCATCGTCGCTCTCCTGCGTCTGCGTAAGGCGCAGAGGCACGTAGTACCTACCCTCCTCCTCCTCCTCCTCTTCCTCATCCACCACCGCCGAACCCGCGCCCACTTTAGCCTTCTTCCTCGGATGTGGATGATGGTGGCGATTACTAGGCAGCGACGGCAGGGAAGAGGAGGGCGGCGGCGACGTGGCGATGCGGCTGCTGGTCATCATCATCTCGACGCTCGCGCTGTCGTCGGCGATGAAGTCGAGCAGGTCGGCGCCGCTGTCGGAGCCGTCGCTCTCGTAGTTGTCGCTCGTGCGCATGCAGTCGTCGCCCGCGCGCTCCTCGAAGTCGTCTGCGGCGGACCGGCCGCCGCCGCGGCCGCCGCGCCCTCGACCCCTGCCCCTGCCCCTGCCTCTGCCTCTGCCTCTGGTGATCGCGCCGCCTCTGTTGGTGGCCCCGCGAGGTCGGCCGCGGCCGCGGGGGGCGGGTAGGTCGGGTGTTGCGGCTGGGTTGTCGCTGGCTTCGTCTTCGTCCTCTTCTTCTTCTTCTTCTTCGTCGTCGTCGTCGTCGTCATCGTCGTCGTCGCCTTCGATGAAGGGGTTGCGGACGCGTTTTTGAGCGGGTCGTTGTTTGGGCCTGGTTTGCTTGGGCCGGCCTCTTGCCTTTGCTGGTTTCGCGGTGGTGGTTGTGGGTACTATCGTACCTTCGTGATCCTCGTCCTCGTCTTCTGAGTGCCCATCTCTTGATGGTGAGATGGAGTATGTCCTGCGTCTCTTTCTGGAAGAAGACGTCGGCTCTGCGGAATGATCACCCCCGTTATCGGAAGGATCATCTGACGCATCCGCAAATCGAGGTACAGGTAGTGCTCTGTACCCGCTTGCGTCTTCCTTGACCGGCGTCCGGGAGTACCGTGGCGAGAGAGCATGCGGCGCTCCGAGCAGTTTGAACAACTTGACGCATCGTCGCGTGTACGCTCCATGCTTCAATTTCACCGTCGCTCTCAGTGTGCGTTGCATCTTTGGGTGTGCCGCCATGTTAGGGGGCCCAATCTCTTCGTGATCAGAGGACCTGAAGGGGAGGTCTCTGTAGAGTCTGTTGAGCGCGTCTGTCTGCACACTGTCGAGCAACACCGACGACAGCGCTGGCTTGTCGACGATAAAGTCGGTCTCAACCGGCTCGGGGGTTTTGGCTCTTGCAGCGCGAGCAGCAGCAGCAGCAGCAGCAGCAGCAGCAGCAGCAGCAGGAGCAGGACGGCCGAAACTGGAAGCCTTCATGAATCCCGTCTCTACCCCATCCGGCATGTGGAACTTCTTTGCCGACGCCTTTTTCTTCTTTGCTCGCGCGCCGGATCTCCTCGGCTCCGGTAATTCTGAAGTCTGCGTGTTCTCGATCGGAATCTCGACAAACCTCTGATCGACCTCCGGCCGTGCGTCCCTAGGCACGATCCTTGAGGACAGATCATGGCGGAAGGTAAATCGACTGCCGTCCGAGATGTATTTTTGCATTTGAGCGTAGTTGTCCTGTGCCTCTGCAAACTTGTCCTCCTCTTTTCCTTTCATCAGCAGTAAGATGATGTTGCCTGCCCGTTTTCTTCCCGTACGGCCCATGCGCTGCAGCATACGGATCGGAGATGCCGAAGCATCGTAGCAGACGATGAGGTCGACCTGTCCAATGTCGAGACCCTCTTCACCGATGGAAGTTGCGACAAGGACATTGAAGCTCCCGTTACGGAACCTTTCAATAGTCTCGATCTGTTGCTTCTGTTTCATACCTTCGCTGCGTTTCGAATCCGCCTGACCAACGAAGATCGACGCACTGATGAGAGGTTTGTGCTTATTTAATGTCTTGACGATCTCTTCTGCGCTGTCTCGAAACTCGCTGAAGACAATCGCCCTGGTGTTTGACCCTTCGCCGGCGTCCATGAAGTGGTTCAGGAGGTGGTCACAGAGATACGTGACTTTCGGGTGGCTGACGAACCCGTCGATACGCAGCCATTTCTCGACAGTGTCCATCATCTCTTGGAAGTTGGGGTCCTTGATCAGCTGGCGTTTGTATTTCGAACCTTTCTCGCCTTTCTCTTCTGTGGAGCTCCTGAATTCAACGAGGTTGTCGAAAAAGGGTTTGATGCCGTGGAAATTCAGGAGCTTGATGGAGTGCGCCAGGCTCTGGAGTATGGCGAAGATCGACATGATCATGAACTTCATGCCCTGATTCATGTTCCTACCAGCTCGGTTCATCCAGTCGGCACGGGTCTTCATAAGACCGTACGTGGTCATGGCCATAGGATCACGACCCCAGTAGATGTTCTGCTGGCTGAGCTTGTCCACGATTGGCTTCAGTGCTTTTGAAAAGAGGTCGCGGATGTGAAGTATATCATCCGATGGCTCCAGAACGACACGCTCTAACTGCCGCGAGTGGACGTATTGACGGATGTCGATGGACTCCTCGGTCCGAATCTCCACATGGGAAATGCCAAGATTGTCAATGATATCCTGGACTCCCTCGACCGTTGATCCGGGTGTGGCAGTCAGGGCGAGCACGCGGAAGCTTTTCGAGAATCTTCGGATGAACTCTATCACTTTGACGTAGGCGTAATCGCCCGTTGCGCGATGAGCTTCGTCGATGACGAGAAGCACGATAGACTTTGGGTCCGCATATCCTCGTCCCAGGTCGTTCTGAAGTGTCTGCGGGGTCATAAAGAACAATCTCCGGCTCGCCCATTCGTCTTCGCGCAGGGCGGGTGCCGTTTCTCCGGTGAGCAACGTCGCCTGCGATCTGGGAATACCCGCAACGTTCAAGCAAGCCTCGACTTGCTGGGCAGCAAGCGGCTTGGTAGGCGCTACGAAAACAATCTTTGCGTCCTTCGTCCAGCGGTAGTAATTCAGCATTATCGTGGCTGCGATGAAGGTCTTTCCTAGACCTGTGGGCAGTGCGACCAGAGTGTTGTTGAACAACCCATTTTTGACGATGCTGAACTGGTAGTCTCGTGTTGGGCCAAGATTAGTTGGGTAGACCCAGGTCTTCAAGGCTTCGTGATCAAGAGCATGGTGCGAGGGCGCTTCCGGTGGCAGGTCGGCTCGAAAGACCCTGTTGCTATTGAGCTGTGATGGGGTCGGCTCCTCATCTCTGATAGTCTGTCCCCAGAGCGTGGTTTGACGGAAGGCCTGCTGCGTCCCTGATCTCAAAGTGCCACTAGTAGACCGAGGTAGATTGTTCACGGTTGCCGGCCGTGGTGCTGGCGAGCTGTCAAATGCATCGGACGGCAGTTCATCCAAGTCAATCGTTCGAGAAGCTGGCCGTGTAGCATTGGTTTTGGGGGTTCGACGGCTCTGGGCTACTAGGGAAGTAGCCTTTGTCTGCATGGATCTAGCCGAGCTCAACACTGGCGGTACCCTTTCAGGTGCAGGATGATCCAGTGCCAGCATCAGGTCCTCATCCGCGAGATCGCATCCATAGTCGTCGTCCTCCATGATCTGCGGGACTTCTGGTGAGGCGTGTTGGTCACATAGCTGGTTCAATGGCGATGCTCGGCAGTTCTTATGCTCGCCGTCAGGGCCAGTGCGAGTAGGAGCGTCGTTGTCCGTCTCATAAAGTCGGGTTGATGATAGTCCATCTCATTGGGCAATCCACTTAACGCGTCTTGGGCGCGAGGGACGCGCAGCTGGCGCCGCTCCGTCACCAGCTCACATGATTGTGGCAGCCTAACTATGGATTTGGTGACTCAGGCATCCGGATTAGTCATGAATCAGGCACCCCCTCGTGGCTGCCTTGGCTTCTGTCAAATCCTGGTCGGTGCGAAGTGGGGCAACCAATGCTAAACAATGCTCGTCATTGCTTTGTCTTCGGGCCCTTTGTAGCCTTAATTTGTTGATCTGCCGCAAACAGTAGAGATTCTTTATTCTCCCTCTCTCACATCCTCGTCGGCCGACTAGAAAAAGGACACGGGTGCAGAGTGTATTGCGTGCCGGATTTCTACGTAGCGCATTCTTCGAAGCGCACTCCTCAAGTCCTCGGCTCCTTTCATCACTCCATCTTTAACTTTTCCTCCCCTTGCCCTTGACAGCGCATCCGGCACGTCACATTCCAAAGGCTACGAGCTTCTCATTCGCGTTACTACCTCAACACGATCATCTCTGACACGATCTCGAGCGTTGGACAACCTTCATTCGGAGAGCCTTCATTCGAACAACTCTCTCTCTTCCCTTTCGCCCTCCACGATCTCTCTGCGCCTTGGCCCTCGCCAGCCGATATGGCTCCTCCCACCGGCCCGCGCAACCCCACAACCACCCAGAGCAGAAATACTAGAAGCACTACCCGCGGTACTGCCAACACCAAGGGCGCAGGAATCTCGAAACGTCGATCTGGACCGAGTCGAATCGATAGAGATGGCGACCTGACGATGGGAGCCGTTCCCGCGCCCAACGGCGACAACAAGAAGTCAGCCACTGGTCGTGGACGATCAGGCCCGAGGACAACACGGCAGAAGGCCGTCGCCGCAGCCGAACAGAAGATTGTCAGGCATCTTGGTGGCGCCGGTTCCGACCTCGCCGCGCGTATATCCGACCTACCAAAGAAGAAAGTGCCGGTCAGAAAGGTTTTCAAAGTCCTCGGGCTAGACAAGAGCAAGGCCGCCAACAACTCCGACCGAGGAGAACGGTCGGCACTGGAATTCTTGGAGAAAAAGGCATCTCATATCGGCGGGCGAAAAGTCACAATCGTAAAGGTATGTATGCAAAATCCCATCCACCAAGGATGCGGGAAAGTCCGAAGCGAAGTCAAAAGGTCCGCACTCGTTATCAAGCCTTTCAGCAAGCAAACGAGAGACAAATCACCTCACCTACAGCCGCTCCTGGTTATCCCGTTGTCCCGCAAAGGTCCCGCCATTCTGAATCAAGGTCACCACAGCCTTGCTAACTTACATGCAGTCACACCTCGACCGTGACTTTACTCTCTTCATCATGATCAACGAACAGGACGCCGACGAAATCATCAAAGTGAACAACTTTCAGTTCGCCGGATCGACGCTCATCATCGGTGAGGTCGATGGCGGCTGGCCCTCTCACTGGAATCGAGAAATGAAGTCCAAACCAGGTCTTTCAGCAGACACCAAGGAGCGCAAGGCCCAACTACAGCAAGTTCTGGGTCAGCGGTACAATATCGAGAGGAAACTCCTTGATCTCTCCGCCCTTGGACAAGATCCCATTCTCATCGGCATGGGTTATCTTGAGGACAAGGAGAGAGCCGAGAAGACCTTCAAGGTGCTCATGGCTATCTGCGATGAGACCTTCCCCACAGCAAAGGCAAAGCGTGAAGCAGTCGAGAGCGTTAGCCTCGCGAACAACAGCATCGACTGGGTGGGCCAGGTATTCGCTCTGGCAGAGACATTCCCAGATCTGAAACACCTCGACCTAAGCGGAAACCAGTTCAACTCTCTGAAGAGTCTCGGTCGCTGGCGTGGACAGTTCCGCGACCTCGAAACGCTTCTTCTCAACGAGAACCCTATTCAAGTCGCCGAGCCCAACCACCAAGCCGAGGTGCTCGAGTGGTTCCCGAAGTTGACAACCCTGAGCAACGTTCAAGTCCGAACACCCGAACAAATCGCTGCTATGGAAGCTGCCAAGGCTGCCTCGCGTCCGTCTCCATTACCACAACATGGTGCCGATTTCCGCGATCAAAGTGGCATTGCAGAGGCGTTCTTGACGCAGTTCATTCCAATGTATGACTCTGACCGAACGCAGCTGGCATCATTCTGCTACGATGAGACCAGCACCTTCTCCCTCAGCGTTACAACCCATACGCCTCGGAATCAGGGTGAAGCAGTCCTACCTTGGGCCGCCTACTTGAGATATTCTCGCAACCTCACAAAAATCACCCACACCGCTGCTCGTGTACAGCGTCTTGTGCGAGGTGCGAAAATGATCAGCGAGATGTGGAAAACACTCCCGGTCACTAAGCATCCCGACCTGAAGACCGAGTTCGGCAAATACATTGTCGACTGCCACCCGCTCTCTGGCATTCCCGACCCTTCCGGCAATAGCCCGATGGGTGTCGACGGCCTGATCATCTCTTTGCACGGCGAATTCGAAGAAATCGACCCATCGAGTGGGAAGACAGGCAAGCGAAGTTTCACACGAACTTTCGTCCTCGGCCCTGGTGCCCCTGGCCAGAGTCCCATCCGTGTTGTCAGCGACCTCCTCTCGCTGAGAGCACACAGCCCGGTGCCGCAAGCCACTCCGACTTCAAGCGAGATGGAGCAGAAACAGCAGATGGTTGCCGAGCTATCCAAACAAACCAACATGAACCCACAATACTCGGAGATGTGTCTGAACGAAGTAGGATGGGACTTCACAAAGGCACTGGCTAAATTCGCCGAGATTAGAGTAAGTCCAGTTCTAAACTGTCTTGGCATCTTCTAAACATCGAATACACCCTTCTAACTAACTTTTTCTTTACAGCCAAATCTCGGACCAGAGGTCTTTATGGCGACAGCTTAGGGAGCGAGCAGCTTCAGCAGGAGGAGGACATCCAGGCACATTCGCTGGTTGTCTGTGGACGGCGGAAAGTGTGGTATTGTCAAGAAACATCGGCACAGGAATTCAATTTGACGGCTACGAGTCTTGCATTTCGGCATCTAGCGGGAGTTGGGAGGGGATTGTCATCGTGACTTGACCTGCTTTTTTGCAGTTTGTTCAAGGGTTCCGGAAGGATGCTTATACCAATTTGAGATTGATCAAGCTCAGCGTTTTGGCTTCTCAAGAGAAGTGGAAGCGGGTTACGAAATATAATTATTAGAGAGAAGGGAAGGGAAACTCGGGACGGATCAGCGCGGGATTAGATGTTGGCAAGGCCACAGCTTCCAGCCGCTGATAATAAAACAAACCAAAACACAGGACTTGTGTCTAAGCAAAGATAAAATCCGGAGCGAGCCATTGCGTGATTTTGTGTTGTCGTGAGCTGCAGAGCACATGCTGAACTGACGGCGCTTGCTCTGTGAATAGCTGATGGGAGATATCCCTCTTTTGATGTCAACGACTCTTTGATGTCAACGACATTGGGCAGTGTTGACTCTAGGCTCAACGGCCAATCCCCAACTTTAATGTGACAAGATCTTCGACCGTAGATCGATGCATGACTGGCCCTGCGAGGCTGAGAGCGCTAAGGTTGACAGGAAGACGATCCAAGATGATCTCTTCCCTTCTCCATCGGCACTTGCTCATCGAATGCCGCGCGCTTCCCCATCGGCCCTGGCCAGGGGATTTCAGCATCGTGGGCCTCACTCCATTCCCGGTACCAGCTGGCCAGGCAGCCCCAAGTGCCCGGTCAGCTTTCACGTGTGAATGGGAACCGCCGAGCCCTTCTTTGGGATCCTCCTCCGAAGGGCTGGACGAGACGGGTCACTTTGACAGCCCGGCGCTTACACGCACCGATCGGCCCCCCCACCACCATCCATGGACATCAAATATTCTCTTCATCCCATCTCATCTTGTTCATCTGAAAGAAGCATCCTCAGCCAGTCATCCCATCTGCAAATCACACAGCCCTTTCTGGGGGGGTGGCTTGCAGGCGGGATATCTTGCATCTCACAATCGGGGCTTTTCTGCAAAGAATAGCTGAGGAGTGGTGTGTAGGCGAGACGCCAACACAAATGTTCTCAAAATAGAGCCCCGATATCCAATACCCCGAGACTGCTGTACATTTTATTCTAATCGCTTTACGCGGTTTGCTGTCGTGACGTGATGGCCATTCATAGATTCCCAGGGTTCTGGTAATACTGCGGCGTAGACTGAGTAAGCTACCTGTTTCTTTACTCGTTCTGAGGATTGCTTGACAGAGGCGGTGACGAAGGAGATTGTTATACCCTGAGTTGCTATTTTCAGAGTCCTGACACAAGCCTGGACCAACACTAGAAAACACTCCGTACGTCTGCAGGATGACGAGAGAGAGGCTATCCCTGTCGTGAACACACACACCATCGAGTCCTGACAGCTCAAAACGACAAACAAATCTTGATAGAACAATTATAGCAACCCCGTTTCAAGCCCAAAACACTTGACGGCTCACCTTGGATGGGCCGGGCTGTTTCCACCGAGCCAGGGATGGGTAACGTGGTCCAGCTAGAACAAACTAAAAGTGAACTTTGCTTTACGCCTTGCTTCCGGCGGCGAGACTCTAGAGTAGCTTAGGTAGCTAGGTATCTTTAAGGAAGAGGGTCGAATTCACCCCTTGATAGGGCTTTTGCAAAGACCGTGGAGGTTGTACATAAGGCCGGAAATAAACCATCTCTCTCCACAAGTAGGAAGTGAGAAAGAACCGCGGTGTAGTCTGTGAAATGGAAATCATCATCAATAGCCATGTGAAAAATGTGACACGACGTCATCGCTATTCCCCAGAAAAGGTCCTGGCCGTGAATAACAAGATTGGCAGGTCTCGTGTAAAGCGGAACTCTGTGGTGGTGATCGCAATCTTTGTCGTGTTCTGGAGGGGCAGCATCTCGGCCCGGCAAGCCAGCCAGGCCCTAGCCGCTAGGACCGATGACGATCGCCAGGTGGATGCAAGGCATGAGAGAATCTTTTCCATCTCGGTTTTCTAAAGTCTGTCTAATTGCTTTTCACGATACCTAGCTGGACGGATCGGGCATCTGGCCTCACTGACATCACAGGTGCGAAGCGCCGGCGGTGAGCCAGTGATATCCCTTACCTGCAGGCGCGCGATACAACTGGTTGCAGCTCAACAAGTGCCCAAAAGAACACACAACCACAGGCACGACGATCGGAGGGAACAAACAGAGACACTTGACAGGTGAGCCGGCGAATGGGGAGCCAAGGAGCGAGCCCAAGAGGGTCGCTTCTCGGTGGTCCAGGCACAGCGCGCTAGTCCAGGGGGGTTGACCATGGCGCGTTTCAGGCAGAGAGGACAGGGCCCATTGCGGCGGAGCTAACCCTTCTTGCCTTTGAAGGCACCTACCTACCACCCCGGACAGCGCAAAACAGTGGGGAGTCCTTTCTTTGCGGGGCGCTATGTCCCAAGTGCTGGGCGGATTTAGCAGGAGAAACAAGCTCGCGATTCTGGAGCGTTGAGTCTCCTGACAGCATTCCAATGCCAGTACTGGGTTTGGGTTCAGAGGCTTGCTGGTATGGGAATCAACTCGAGTAGCGTGTTCTTGCCATCACTTCTATTACGCGGTGACGCGCTGGCTGGCAAGCGTCGTCGAAGGCGTGATAACACATTCTTGTTTTTTTTTCTTTTTTGCCCGGGGCAGGGTGTCGTATCGCATAGCATCTCCCCCCGGCCTTTTTATATGAGCTGGGGAATCGTGCTTGATGCCATTGCCAGACCATGCCACAGGTCCCATGCCGACGAACCAGTACCTTCCCAGCCCCAGTTACGACCGCGGGGCAAGGAGAGTGAAAAATCCTTGGACAGACGCTTGCACCAAGCCTGAAAACTAGTTATCCCCAAAAAGGACACTCAGGATGCTGCGATGATGCCCTGCGCGGTGGCACCGCATTGGCATCGTCCCGCCCGTTCTTCAGTCCTGTTCCCCTCCAGCTGAGCGCCGCAAGAGCAATATCAACCAGAATCAAGCCGAGCCGTCGAGGAACGCGGACATCCGTCCATGTAATTTCTCTTGTATTCTCGTGGGCGTTATGGCTGACCTTTGTGCGGCTTTGTGCACGGGTTCGATTGGTCTGCAGCGGGTTGCGAGATGTCCTTGTGCCTGAGACGCGCCCCACTCACCCCCTTTTCCTTTTTCCTTCTGACTGGAAGTGAGCAGAAGGTGCAGCGTGCATCCACCCAGCCACCGTCCAATCCTGGCCAACCCCTGGCAAGGTACCATTCCACGGGGCAGGTACCCCGCCCGACACGCCAATCTGAGTGCGCTGCCGCCCATTCTTCTCGTATCCTGGCGGCACGAAGATACCTGGACGTGGGAAATAGCGTCCCCTACCTGGAGGCATTGGGGGCTGCCATTCGCTGGGAGAACCCTGTGGCTATCCTTGTCTGTCCCATCCCTGTCCCTGGTCGCCTGTGCCCGTCTTCCCGCACCCCTGTAACCACCCTTTCCCTCGTGGAACCGTTTGGCTCGGACGAGAGTGAGCAGCTGTGCCTCTCCAACAAGTCTCATCCGCCGTGTTGCGCCTCGCTCGCTCGCCCGCCGCCGTTGTCCTCGTTCCTCTCGTCTTCTTGCGGGAGGCCATGGGTCAATGGTTGTGCATGTAGTTACTTTTGCAGACGGCCTCGCGTACCTGTGCATGTGTGTGTGCCTCTCTTTGTCCGTGGCAGTGTACCTACCCCGGCGTTGGTCTTTCCACTCCTCCTTCTCGCGCGCTCTCTCGGTTTCTCCCTTTGCCTCTCTCGCCTCTTCTAGATCCTAGATTCTCTCGACCCTGCTCCTCCATACGGAGTATCTTCTTGCAGGAATGATCCCGTGTGCTTGACGTTCTTGCATCAGGACGCTACAAGTACTTCCTTCCAGCAACAACAAACCAACCCCGGCTTGTCGTCCCACGAGGGGACCCCCCCTATATCATCCACCCTATTAAACTCGACAGGGGATCATTGGGGCTCACGACACGCTCAAAGAGATTAGCCAAAGCACAGAGCGAACCACTCAGTGTTGGGCTCCGCTGCACCAACCCCGGACCTGCGACACCAAGCCCGTCAGGAGATCAGGGCTGTTGTTTCCTTTTCCTCCCTCCTCCACCACCCTCCCTCCTTGGGGATCTACCTATCATTCCGAGCCACGGAAACGTTTTCTGCTGTTGTTGGACAAACAGCAAAAAGTTTGTTCTGTAGATCATTCCTGCTTGCTCGACAAGGGGCCGGTCCTCACCCTTTCTCACCTTGCTTGCTATCCGAGTAGCTCTTCCTCTTGCATTTGCACTCGGCAGACAGCACCACGGGCGCGGGTGCCGACGACCACGACGACGACGACAAACCGCTCGCCTGTCCCTTCTCTTCGACTCCGGATTGCCATTTACTCGTCTTTCTGCAGCGTCGGCAAGCAATCGCGGCAACAGGTCTTGCACTGTCTCCGGCACAGACGAGCGAACGAACCCCCCTTTTTCAGCAGACGCACTTCCGAGAACCGCACGACAGCTTGGTTGGATCGACATGCTGTCGCAGTGATACTCGCTTTCAGTCAATCGACGACATCCTCACTCCTGAGGTGGAGGTATTCCCAACTCTGAACATCCTCGACCCGGACTGGATCACGACCACGACAGACGCTCAATAGACGCCATGTCTCTCCCGAAGCCCGTTGTCCCTCTGGACAACATTTGTTCGGTCATTTTTCAAAATACCCTTTACACATTCTCCGCGGGAGTCCTTCAGTCTCTGGAGCTGGTGCCAGGCGCCAACTGGACACAACTCGCGACCGGTGAGCCGGTGAAGGGAGGTGCCTGTGTCGGTTCGACCAACGCAGACCAGGCTGGGTTCTGGGTCGTCGGCGGTACTGGAGCTAGCCCTGACTACAAGGGCCTTCAGAAGTTTACCTACTCGACTAAGAAATGGGAGAGCATAAAGCCTTCGACCAACGACTTGCAGGGAAGGCTCGGGCACGGAGCGGCATATCTGACCAATACGAACAGTATCGTGGTCTACGCCGGCGTCCAGGGCGGAGCTCCGGGCGCTTCATCACAGACCTTTACCGTCTCTGCGTCAGCTCCGTACGGTACTTGGTCGGTGCCAATGCCGGCGAATGCACCTCTCCCCGCGCTGAACCCCATGTTGCTCCCCTGGACGGCTTCACAGGTCGTCCTGGTTGGCGGGAGTGCCGAGAAGCGGCTCATGCTCTTCGATTCGGGCAGCGGATGGATTGAGTCGGGTGCCACATTGGCGGCACCGCTGGCTAAAGACGTCAGCGTCATGAAGTCCGTCGTGATGACGGGCGATGACAACTCGAAACACCTCTTGACCTTTGACATGAGCGTATCACCCAACCAGGTTACGAGAAGTGTCTTGATCGATGGAAAGGGTCTTCCCGTCCACAACTCAGGAATTATCGTAGCAAGATCGGAGGACAAGGAGAGCCGACACAGGAGCCGGCGAAACTCGAGGAGGCAAGCCAAGTCTCTCACTTCAGGCGACTGGCCGAAGTATAACGCGACCCTCGCCCCGACGGCGACTAGGAGCAACTTTGCCCTGGCCCAAGACTCCAGTGGTCTGGTAGTCGCTGCTGGCGGAAACCCCGAGGATATTCTGTGCATGTTTGACGCTCGCACAAACAGCTGGCAGAACGCCTCGGCTGAACTCGCGGATCAGAAAGTCTTCGCGCAGTCGATCTCGTCCAGCTCATCTTCTACGACCTCCACCAGCTCCTCGGCCTCTTCAACGACGACCTCTGCTCTTTTGACCTCATCTTCAACCGTTCCCGCATCCACTTCTGCTACCCCGACCCCGACGGCATCAGAGACCGTTGCTCCCGTCGCTGCGGCTTCAACAAGCGGTATGATGTCGGCGAACACGATGCTCGGCATCGTTCTTGGATCAATTGGTGGTCTCGGCGCGATTCTTCTCATCATCTACATCTGCATCCGGAGGCGACGCGCAAAGAGGCAGAACTTTGCTGCTGCCGGACACAACCGCCGTTCAAGCGGCGCCTCTTCGGGCGAGAAGGACGGATTTGGCTTTGCAAATGACATCCACCCTCCGGGTCCACGCGGCACGTATCGGGGCGGGCACCAGCAGCAGGGCTCTGAGAACTCGTTCTCGTCCATGGCCATCCTCATGAACAACGTCAACCAGAACAAGAGCGGCCTGGGGAGAAACAACAGCAAGGAATCGAAGCGCAGCTCAACGAGCAGCATCTTCAACAAGGCGTTCAAGAGCACTATCAGCAAGCCTATCCCGCAAATGGCCGAGCAAAACTATACTACCTCGCCAACGCGGTCCGCGCCCAGGGAAGAGAGAGGGGTTGTGTTTGGCGCGGACGTGGCCCAGCCTCGTCCTGCCGCCAACCGGGCTGACCCTCAGGATGGCACAAGACGGTCTTCCGGCTGGAACCGCTACTGGTCCGGCGGCAGCGCCCTAAATATACTTGGATTCGGCAATGGGAACGGGAACGCTAACAGCGCATCGAAGCACTCCACGGTGCTCAGCGACGAGAGCAGTCAGTACTCGAACCAGCATCGCATCACCCAGGACTCTGCCACGGTCCCGCCGCTGCAGATCCCGCCTGTGATGCCGGAGGCGAAGCCGCAGTTCAGTCGCGTGAACTCGGGCTCGCCAACCATCTCCCGATATGATCCCGGTGCTCTGGCCATGGACGGAATGCGCGGCCACATTGAGCGGCCCAGCAGCGGGGTCTCGAGCTTGTCGGCGTACTCGAGCGGCATACCCGCCAGTGTCCACGAGGCCTGGGACCCGACGTCCGTTACGGACTCGAAGCCGTGGGGCACGGAACGGGCGCCTAGCAGCGCGTATAGTGGAAACAGCTTCACTACTCCGCTGGCGCCGGCGTCTGCCTCTAACAACGCCAAGCCGGCCGCTCCCTCGGGTGTCAGCCGACAGCCCCAGCTTGCCATGGCCGCCACGTCCTCTGACATGAGCTGGTTGAACCTAGGAGATCAGACGCGCATTTGAACGGAAGCGTGAAGAAGAGAACCCTACACCCATGATTGACTCGATGTCATGACCCTACGAGAAAAGACAGATGCGCAACGCGCCACAGCATTGTTATACTTCCATACACTCCTTGAACCAACCTTGACATATAACCCGGGGCTTTGAACAGCAGCTCTGGAAGGCCTCCTTTTTTCGGTTTCATGACGACGGATTCAACCTAATGATGACAAACCTTGATACCCCGGCGCATGTACCACGAGAGGCCGATTAGACAAATCAGTCACACCCTCCCTTGCAAAGAGCCCAGTGCTCGCCATGGAAAAAGCAAGACCTTTTTCGACAACCAAGGCTTCCGGCAAGATCCTCTCTCTCACCCTGAGATACCACCAGAATATGCACATACACACAACAACACCAACCCTCGACCAAGATCTAAAGACGGGGCCACTATCACTGCCTCGGCTATTTCTTACACCACTTTTTCCGTCCTTTTGCGATGCATCTTCTTGTACATGCTAGACCATCTTTGCCGGGTACTGCCCGAAGCCTCGCAGAGCCTTTCCTCTTTCGTGTTTTCTCTCTCTTTTTCTCATTCTTCCCTGTCTCAAATCTTCTTTTTCAACTCTTTTCTTGTCCAAGATTTTTTTTTCTGATACTCAAGCGCAAAACCATCACTCGCTCGCCGGTTTTTTTCTTCTTCCTCCAACATGATACCAAAAAGCTTCTTTTTTGGCGCGTATTGTATAATTTGTATGAAGCAGATGAAGAAGAGGAGGGGGGGAAGATGCGGGGGAGTCTGCGAGGAGGAGAGGGGAAAGGAGAGAAGATCTGCCCAGCTGCGCGTGGACATTTTGTTTCTTTTGATGATGATTAGTTGCGGCAGAGCGGCAGGGAGAGTACGTTGACTTGGGCGACAGCCCAGTGATAGGCAGCTACATTAGTCGACCGGCCGGCTGGGCCGTGAAGGAGGGGGGCCGAAATGAAGAGAGAGAGATTCTTGAAAACCAGTACGCATTGGGTGATATGTTGATTGTTCACATGTGCCTGTTTTGCCTCGAGTACCGTGATCATTATTACCTGGACACTACAAAGGAAGTTTCCCGCCATTGGGTGTCCCTTCCATCTGCCAGATGCTCGCCCGTATGGCCGTCCTCGGGTTCAGCACTACGGGCATCTGGCGCGCGTAGCGACGAGTGAGATGTATTTTCGGATCACTACCCATCGCGTGTCCCCTTTTGCGCTTGCAGCGTCTAAAAGCCACTCTTGTGCAGCATGAGGCTGGGGGGCTGAGGAGGTTTGATCGTCGCCCGCCAATAAAAATAGGATCATCCTTCTCAAAAAGCCTCCCCCCCCCCCCGCGCTGTTCCCAGATCCCCCCCCAAAGAGTCTGGCCAGGCTCCGTGCTAAGATGTTCTATTTTCTCTCGCTGCGCTCGCTGCGTATAAGTAGGTCTGCTGAAAGGGAATATCCCGCGCCGATCGCTGACGATTTGACAGGTGGATCGACGAGAGTCGGGGTCTGGCAGCTGATTCGGCAGGTACATGTACTCAAATCGATGTTTCAGTCTGGTCCCTCGACGCGAGGCTCCCACTGGTGTCGTTCTCGGTATGCTTGTTTGGAGTCTAGCTATGTAGTTAGGTACCTACGTCCAGCGCAGAGCATGACTCCGACTGGTGCTACGCTTTTGGGGTTGGTCTTGTCATCGTGTGAGACATGAGCCCTTTTGACATCCTGCCTCATCGAGCATGGTCTTATCTTGCCTTTCCAATCTCGTCTTGGTTTCAGGTTTGAGATCAGGTAGGGAAAACTGGCACTTGGGAACTAGTTGAACAATGAGGAGTCAGCGGAGAGCTGTCAGAGTTCTTCTCTCTGCCTCCTTGGTCCACTGGTTGGCAACGGCCGCTTGTCTAGCCTTGGGATTGACCACCCTTGTGTGAATTCATCGCTGGGGTCAACTCAAGAATCAGGAAGACGCAGGTCAACAATCCCCTCTTCCTCGAACAGGCTTGGAACCAACCTGGACGTTTTGGGGCCGCTAACTGTTGGCCAGAGCGCCGTCGCCCGGATCGACATGAAGATCGTTTACACGATTGGCGTCTCGTACATCGCACAGCGGGGAGGTCCCTTTGTGACCTAGGCAATTTCAGCTCCTTTGCCAAGTTGTATCACCATCAGGCACGGAATTGCCAGCATCTCCTGACAAGCCCCCACGTATTGTCCGATGTTGGTGTGTCTGGAGGAGGGCGTCACGGGCTTCTTGACTAATGTGGCTTGCTCGAAGTCATTCCATAGGGCTCACCATTGGCCGCTTCGTGATGGATACTTCTCCCGTCCTTGGGCCTTCTAGCTCCCGGACCGCGACCTTCTGGAAGGGACCTGTCCAGGAGAAGGAGGGGCCAGCCATGGCCGTGTCTTCTGTTCAGCTCCCCAACTGTACGAGTGGAGCGAAATGGTCGGTGGCGTGGCGTACACTATGCATGGAAGATGGAAGTTGGTGCCATCAGGACTTCCCTGCATGGCGACCGAGGTAGGATTGGTCCTGCGGGAGCTCGGGTGGACGCTGTGGTACGCCGAATGGCGCGCTCTACCAGGGTTGCTGTTGCATTGCTCCCCCACACTAGATGCAAGAACGCGCTGCGGCTTCTGCGGGCAGCTGCAGGAGGTAATATGAGAACGGCATGGTTAGCTCTGTCCGTTCTATCCTCTCCGGCGAGAGACGGACGATGCAGAACAAGGTGACCGCGCATTCTGAGACTAGCTGCTTTCAAGCGATGCAGCGACATGCGTCGGTATCTTCGGTCGCGAGTTATGAGCGGTGAAGATGAGCTTGTCAGGGACTTTTTCGTCCAGAGCACAGAGTTCCCCGAAAGGTACCTGCAGAAGTCGGCTTTTGCTGCAGCCTCGACAAAGGTAGGGACCCCCACGACCAGCCCGTTCTCAAACCTGCGACGGCATGAAGTCGTGGGGTTTTCAGTACGTCAGCAGCCCGGGGTTCATGTCATGGGTGCGTTGGGGGAACGAAGCCTCATGATCATCATCTCAAGTCGCCTGGTCCGAACGAAGAGCCTGTGGCACATTGACGGCCACAAGCTGCCGAAGAGCAGAAGTATGGTGTGGTCAAGTTTAGATGGTGTGGAATGTTACCCTGCTAGTCGCCTCTGTGGTCCCAAAGATCTCTCCATCTTACTCCGTAGGCCCAGACAAGAGTCCTTTCCCCTCGGGAACTATTGGGGGACGGCATCTCTGTCCAGCTTGGTGCTAGTGCTCCTTCGTCGGGCAAGATGAGATAGGGAAATAGAACCGGGCAAGCGGGCTTTGGACACGACACGTGCAACTGACGGCCTTGTTCGGTGGAGTTTTGCGAATAAGGTCGGAAGGACTCCGTGCTCCGGACAGGTTCTCTGGGTGCTGGCGAGTGTGCCACCACCAGTCAAGACTCAGGACCAACGAGCCCATGTCAGCGACGGCCTCGGGCACTAGGCATGCCGGCGGCATTTTGGACGCCTCCTTCAAGTGAGCGTACTAACGATCCTGACAGCCTTTCAGTTGGGATGATCTCTGGGCCATCGTAAAGAGGGGACAGTTCAAACCGTTAGCTCGACCCAGCCGAAAACGCCATACAGAGGCATCCACAGTGAAGGTCGGTCCCACACGGTCTAACAGGCCATCACTAATTGGGATAAGTTGCTCATAAGGTAGGAGAGAAAAAAAAATTGTGAACCGGGTATCGTCTGAAGGCTTCCTGGTTGACCGATGACCGTGAGAGTTGATGGACGCCCTCACCGAGCTGGTGGCCCGTTCACTGTACTACATTTACAGGAACTGCATTGGCCCAGAGTTAACCCCTCAAGGCATGCTCGAGATGGGTTAGAGGCATGTGAGACGGAATCATGGAGGGTTGGATGCCAGATGGACTGTGGCTAGGCATCCCGGTCTCTTGGTCGCTGATTCGACAGGCCTAGTGCAAGTTGGAAAATGGAAGGGTCCCAAGATGCAATGCAGACTCGGTGGCTCGGGTGGGTGCTCCTCTTTTATTTTCGGGGCTTGCTGGGCTGGAGGAGAGCAGGAGTGGCAGGTAATCCCACCCGCCCACAGCGCCTTTTTAGGTAGTCCCCTCTGCAATACAGTGGGCGAAAGCCGAGGAGAAATGGGAGTAAAAGGACGCAGGGCCTTTGAGAGAGGTACGGAGTACTTGTCGTCGCGAGAGAACCCCCACCATCGTTCTTTCCCAACCCACCACCGTACCGCCAGGCCGCCGCCGCCGCCGCCATTTCCCTGCCCGCTCACTCCCTCCTCGCTCGCTGCCTCGAGGGCTCCAGTCGAGTCGGTCTCGATCCGGTCACACTATGCGCCTCTCCCCCCATCTCTGTCTCCCAGCTTTCAATGTCTGATTTTCTTCCATTCGTTTTGTCGCCAATTGTCATCAAACAACGTCCCTGTCAATGCGATAACACCACTTCCTTGCTCTCGCCTTTGGACAAGAGCTAGAAGAGCCAGAGCCTTGCGAAAGACGCCCCGCATTCACAATCAGAGCCTGCCTCCCTAACAGCACCAGACGGCTGCCGATTCATTCACTCCCGATACCCGCCGATTGCGCCCGTGAGGACTCGAAACTCTCACTCACTGTTTGCCCTCTCAACCGCAGCGAGCAGTCCACCTGCCCACCTGCGGGCAAAGCACCGTGATATCGACCTCTTCGACTTCTTTCGTGGACCGGCTCACGACCGGCTTGAGACGTGAAACCCCACGGGATCGTACAGTGCGAATTCTGACTGCGAAATGGCCATGATGGGGTCCAATAACTGGGAAGGCCCGGATCATGGCTTGCATTTGGGTGGCCCAGATGACGAGTTTCAGCAGTTTCTCGACATGAACGGGATGGGGAACATGGCAGATGGCCTACACTTCGATTTCACGGACTTCCAAAACACAAATGGCGGCCACATCCCCCAGTCCCAGTCCAGGGAATCCATCGACACCACCATGGGTGGCACAGACAACGGCAACATGATGCCGCGCCTTGACAATGGCATACAAGGCCAGATGCACAATGTTACCACTTCAACGCCTCTGTCTAGTATACCCGCCAGCCTGATGCCACCGCCCACGCCCAGCGAGGCGATGGCCGAGATCGACGCCCAGATTCAGTATCTCCAGCAGCAGAGAATCCAGCAGGCACAGCGACACATGGAGGAGCAACAGGCCGCTTTCTTCGTCCGGCAGCAGCAGCAAAGTCGCATGGTTCCGCCGACACCCCAGAGCCTTGAACTCCAAGCTGGCACTCAGTTCTACAGCCCGCATGACCAGAACCGGCAGGCCATGTATGACCGTTACTCGCAGCTCAAGGAGCAACATCAGGAGGTATGTTCCCGCCCTACCGCAAATGATTCATAAGAGCTTCGCCTGATACGAGATCCCATAGTTATCATTTACTCCTCTTGTCTCTCCTGCGGTCACCCCGCTCGAGTCACAATTCGCAATTGACACGCAGTTCACCGTGCCGGGAGCTTACTTCAGCCCTCTGACATCTCCCGCTCTCCATGCACAGAACGATGCAAACGCAGGCTTCGACCAGAGGCTGTCAAGTACCAATTCGCCAGTGGACATGGAGTTGGAGTCGCTTCCGGGTCCTGCTGCCCCAACTTCGGGAGAAGTAGTCAAGAAGCTGAGGAAGTCAACCACCACCAAGACGAGGAAAAGCACGGTCAAGTCATCTCCTATCACCAAAGCGCAGAGGAGGAAAACGTTGACTACGCCCATTATGAAGTCGCAACAGGCGCTGAATCAAGTTGTCGAAGACCTTGAATCGCGAGACCAACAGATGTCTCAGCTGCCACCTCCTGCTCCTCAGTCATCTCACGCGACCGCGTTCGGAGGCACCACCGATTCCGAAAATGGCTCCGTCTCTCCCCAGAACCTGAGCGATATGCCTCCGCCTCCGGTGCCAAAGTCAAAGTCTGCCCGCCCTTCCCCGTACATGGGGCCGCAGAACGGGGCCGCAGCACACAATCTTGCTACTCTACCAGGCCATCCTTCTCCAGCCACACCTGCGTCATTGATGAAACTGCCCTCACCCAAGGCAAACAAGTCAAGTAGTAGGGCAACGAGCCAGGAGCCGGCTCCGAATGAGCACATTGAGATGTTTGAGCTTCCCGAGTCTGTCAACTCGACCTTCCAAAAGCCCAACCCACGGCCCATTGAGACTAGGTCGCAAACTCAATCACCCGCTCTCTCGCCAATGTCGACAAAGACTCCCGGCGCTCATCCCGCGCTGTCTCCCGCTACGTTCGCCAAGCCTCCCGCCCCGGGATCGGCGACTGCCAGCCCTCAGCTGACCCCAGGTCCCCCCTCTGGGTCCTTGCGAAAGACGCCACAGATGCTTCCCCGAGGTAGCAAAAAGCGAGGCAGCATCAATTCCGTGCACGTGTCGCCTGCTCTCCGGCCCAAGATCTCGCCCAATATCAAGCCTCTGCTTCCGGGCGGCACTACAGCTGAGGACACCGCATCGCTCTTGCTCGCTTCCAAGTCCAACTATCAGAACATTCTTGAGGGAAACAATGTGCCTGGTGTCTCATATCCCAGCGAGCTATCGACGAACCTTACCTCGAAGAGGACGTCTCACAAGATTGCCGAACAGGGTCGGAGAAACCGGATCAACTCGGCTCTCCAAGAGATCGCAACCCTGCTCCCCGCGGTCCCTCCCAAGGATAGCGAAGGCGAAGGCAGTGATGGGAAGAAAGAGGGAAAGAACGGAGCCAACAGCGTGCCCAACAGCAAGGCGAGCACGGTCGAGCTGGCGATCGAGTATATCAAGCAGCTGAAGCAGGAGGTCGAAGAAGCGAACAAGCGGGCCGAGGAGGCTGAAAAGAAACTTGCTATGCAAGCGTGACAAGAGCGACTGTGGAGCCAAGTGACGACAACATGACGTTGCTTGCAAACACACACACCAGGAAGAAGTTTATACGATTTCGAGGCGTTCCGGGTTCTTTTTGCGGGGGTGCGTATGATTATCTGATGCTTTTGCTGAGAGCAGAGAGATAGATGGGCGGGAGACATCTGGCAACATCTGCAATATCCATACGGGTCGCTTTACTTGTTGAGAGGGTTTTCTTTATGCACCGGCTTCTTGGACTGGCAATTGCTACAGAGGTGTGCGTGGCTTACAGACAGAGGAGGGTATAGTGTGTGCTGCAGGAGTTTCACGCGCACAAGAAGAGCTCATGAATGCGTTCAAAGAACGATGGGCGGTAATTTGCTTTGGGAAAAGGCGAGATGGGTACTCGTGCAGCTCGTGTATTTGCCTGCCTTGTAGAGATATCATATATTTTGGATAAACCACCCCCAGTCCTCTTATTCTATAATGACTGCGTAGACATAGACTTCATGATAAGATACATGTATAACCTGATTCAATGATTACCCCTTTTGGAAGAATATCCATGATATCAGATGAGATGATTTCCCCAGAACACCAAGGTGGTAACTACCTAATTGGCTTGTTGCTTGCGTACACCCCGCAGAGGCTGTGCGTGGCGAAAGGCTAATAGTTGATGGTCAGGGAGAGACAAACGCCGAGTAACACGGACGAGGGAATTGAAGACGAAGCCAGAATTGAAGAAAGGAACATAATCGTCCCTTATGGAAGCCTTTGATTTCGATTTGCGACATCAATGATAGCGTGCCACCGAGGAGTAGAGGAGTCCAAGCTCTCGGGCCCGAGACCTGTCAAAATGTCTCCGGCCAGTGTCGGTGCGTCGGGCCTCAGCAAGCGCCGCTAGCTCTAAAGCCCGTGCCAACTCCCGCAAATTTCGCCCAACTCCCGTCCCTCCTTTTCTGCCACACACGCACACAACACAACCCGTCACTAGGCTTGCGCGGCCGAGTGGCAACCTACCTACCTACCTTGCCTGGCCCTCTCGCACTCACAACCTTACTTTAGTTCCCTGTGTGTGGGAAGGAAGGTGTTAAGCCCCGAGTACTTCGAGGAGCTTCTGATGGGTTCCTCCAACGGGGTTTACGTACACCCACACACACGCGTAGACCACCGTCAGGCCACTCAGCTGCCTAAATGACTGACAATTGCGATTTGCCTCGCCCGAGTGACTGGGGAGCTAGCTTTCATGACATGTGCATCCATCATAGCAGGTATGTTCCTAGGTAGGTAGGCAAGGGAAGGAAGACGCAGGTGGGTGGCGGACTACGTAGCTCGTCTGTATGCCTTGCGCATCCGGTATATACAGCGAAGCTTTCAGATGTCTATATAATCTGAACACCCTTCTCCTGCCAAATCTCCTGTTGCTTTTCCTCCTTCCCCTTCATCGATCAATTCGATTCTCACCAATCTACACAACTACAACCCCCTTACCGATATTCGTTTATTACCCGCAATCTGATCCGAGAAACAAACAAACAAACAACATTCAATAATGGCTTGGAACGGACCCCCGCCTCAGTACGGCCCTCACGCCAACGCCTTCTGGGACTTTGCTCGCGCGTTCGACCCCAGCGGCCGTGGCTTTGGAGGCCCCGGCGGCGGCGTCGACCGCACTCCCGGCGGCGGTGACCCCCGTAACTTCTTCTTCGGCGGCGGCGGCCCGGGTGGCCACCCGTTCTTTGGCAGCTTCGGCGGCCCTCCCCCCTTCGGGACTTTTGGAGGCCCTTGGCCGCCCCGTCAGAGCAACGAGGAGTCCGAGTCCGAGAACGACGAGACGGCCGCCCGGGCCGTTCCGTCCGGGACACAGCAAGCAGCGACTGGCGAGGAAGACGTCTCCATGAACGAGAAGGACGGCTCCCCGGAGACGGTCCGCGAAGGACCCACCGAGGGCGAGCACCCGGCCCCGCCGCATCATCCCGGTCATCACCATCCTCATGGGCACCACGGCCGTCATCACCACGGCGGCCCGGGCCCCAACCGCGGCTGCCGCGGAGGGCGTGGCGGTATGCGCGGACAGTGCAGGCACGCGCCCTATGGCGGGCCCGGCCCTCACCACGCCTGGCCTCCCGTTGGGGGCGCCTGGCCCCTCGGCGGCGGTGCCTGGCCCTTCGGCGGCGGCAACGGCTGGTTCGGCGGCGGCGGCGGCGGTCGCGGCGGTGGCCGTCGGGGCGGCCGAGGCGGAGCCTGGGACTTTGACCCCGTGATCCAGGCCCTCGCGTCGCACCCCTACGCGCAGAACCTGCGCGACTACATCGACCGGGCCTCGCAGCGGGCGGCGGCTGCCGCGGAGAACAGCAACACCAACAACGAGGAGAGTGGTACCAGCGGGGCCGAGGGCGCCGGCGCCGTCGACGACGACGACATCGAGACGTTCACGCCGCCCGTCGACACCTTCCGCACGTCCGAGGGCGGCTGGGTGCTGCACTTTGCGCTGCCCGGCGCCAAGAAGGAGGACGTCGGCGTCCACTGGGACGCGGACCGGGGCACGCTGACGGTGTCGGGCGTCGTGTACCGCCCGGGAAGCGAGGAGTTCCTCCGGGGCCTCGTGGCGGGCGAGAGGAGCGTCGGCGTCTTCAGGCGGGAGGTCCGGCTGCCGCCGCCCGAGAAGGAGGAGGTGGTGGTTGCGTACAGGGAGAAGGAGAAGAAGGAGGGGGAGAAGGACGAGGTCGACGGGGAGGGCATCACGGCCCGGATGGAGGACGGGGTGCTGCTGGTCCGGGTGCCGACGGTGGAGAGGGAGTGGACTGAGGTCAGGAAGGTTGATATCCTCTGAGAGACTCGGGGTTCCTTGCCGAGGATGTGATACTATTTCTCGTTTGTTGTGAGGGATAGCTAATGTACCTGGCTTTTGGCGTTTGGTGTTAGGGGGTTGCTCGATAAGTCATTAAGGATTATATTCCTGATGAACAATCAGAGAAAAAGATACAACCTAAAAACAATATACGATATTTGATTGAATACTCTTCACCATTTTTAATTATGCCTGTGCCTGTGCCTGTGTGTGTGTTGTGATGTGATGTGAGTACCCATATGATGCTTGTGGTTGGGGAAAAAAAAAGGGTGATTGAGTACCTGGTACCCCAGAGGGCTTATGCGGTTGAGCTCTGTCTGTTGTACCCAGGGCTCGATGGGATGTCCCTTTGTTAGATACAAATGTCTGTGGCTCGCATTTCCCCTCCAGAGAGGCTTCATTTCACTTTGTGAGTTTTTTTCTCTTCAGGTGTGAAGAACACGGTACATCAGCGTCGGGGGTTCGAGAGCGACTCGAACCCGTGTAGGTTGACAGAGGTCGGTGATCAGGCGACCTCGTCCTTGTACCACTGCGCCAACGGGCTCATAACCTGTGGAAATAACACAAGGCAATTCTAGCTGTAGGGCTACCGAGACTTATATGCCAGTACCTCCAAAGACGGCTGCAGAACCTGCAGTAGATGGCTTGCATTGCCAGCCGCACCAAAAGATGTGAACGAGGTCAATACAAGGAACGAATCTTGAATTCCAGAGGCCCCCAGAGCCTAGGCCCGCCTCTTTGTGACCAGGATATCTGTACTAGAGGAGAGTTCGCCACCTTGCTGAGTCATAACTACAAGTTATTTTGTTAGCAGCAGTGGCTTTTCCTGTGGCGTGAGTGGCGTCTTCTGGCCCAAGCTTCCCAAGGTTCCCTCTTTTCCACCCCTGCTGGTTCCCGTGCCCCCCCGCTGTCAATCAAAGCAGAGACTCCCTATCCTCCCTGCAAATAAAACACGGGTTGCTACAGACAACCAAGCTAAACCCTCTACATCATCAGAATCAACAGCAGGTCAAACCCTTCCCTCCCCACCTGCCACGCTGTTCCATCTGAATTGCGCCATTCTTCCATTCCGATTCAATCGCATCCGTGCTTGGAGGGGTGCTAGGTCTTTCAAAGAGCGCAAGCGGGCCTGTCGCAAACCAAGCAGAGACATACCTACCGAGTAGCTGTCAAGCTGATGCTGTCATCATCTCTTTTCTAGGCGCTGACTAGCCAAACCCAAAAGGAGTGCTTCTTCCCTCTGCTGCTTGCTGCATTCTCGTCGGTCTGGTCTGTGAAGGTCTGCTTGCTAGGCCTGGCGAACGACCCCTTGTCATTCCCCTCGCCCAAAGAAATCATGTCGGATACCGAGAGTGTCGACTACCTCCAGACGGGCTTCGACCCCAAGTCGCTGACCGTCCCGAGGTTACGATCCATACTCGTCACCTACAATATCAGCTATCCTGCCACCGCCAAGAAGCAGCAGCTCATCGACCTCTTCAATGAGCATGTCGTACCGCAGTCCAAGAAGATCCTCAACCAGCGCGCCCGCGCAAAGCGATCCAGCCGCGGTATTGTCGATGTTGAATCGCAGAGCTCCGCGAGCTTCGACGACCACGAGCTCATGCCGCCTCCAACCGCTACACGGGCCAGATCGCCGCGGAAATCTACGAGAGTGAAGCAGGAGTCGGAAGAACCCGAGCATGCGCCCGAACTGCGAAGCCCGCGCAAGAGGCAAGTTCGCTCCACGAGTCGGCAGCTCGCTCCGACGTCAGACGAAGACGAGCTGCCCAAAGCCGAGAGCGCCAGGCCAGGTCGCAGATCCAGGACCAAGACTCCACAGGTCAAGGAAGAGGAGTTCGACGACGACCATGTGCTCCGGGAGAGCGGAGAAGATGAGAGCGTCTTTACCAGCGACAACCCCTTCCAGAGCGGTAGCTCACCACCTCCCGTCAAGACTCCGAGCAACCGGCGCAGGACCACGGGCGCAGAGAGCACAAAGGCTACTGCCAGCTCGACGACGAGGAGGCGGACTGACGGACCCGTGACCTCGAGCGATAAGTCCTCAAAGTACTCCAAGACCTACGAGATTCCTCTGGCCAGAAAGTCTCCCAAGACCCCTGAGCCAGACGTTGTCGAGGCTGGCGAGGAGTTCACTCCCGACGAGCAGCTGGAGCTCGCTCAACAGGAGGCTGAGCGCGGTCCTCTGGTACGGCAGCCGAAACCGGCACGGCGCGGTTCAAGTCTCGCAACCCCTCTCTGGGTCCTCGTCCTCACCTTGCTGGGCGCTTATGCTGCCTGGTACCGGCAGGAGAAGATTGCTGTTGGATACTGTGGTGTGGGAAGACCGGCGCAGTCGATTATCCCCCCAAATATCCGCCTACCAGCATGGGCGGCTGATAGCAAAGTGGCCGAATGGCTATCTGAAGTCGAGCTTCCCCCCGCGGTCCTCGCAACGCTGGAACCCCAATGCGAACCTTGCCCTGTCCATGCGACCTGCTACGATGACTTCTCTGTCAAGTGCGACGATGATTACATCCTGAAGGCGCATCCACTCTCGCTCGGTGGTCTGATCCCGCTTCCACCAACCTGCGAGCCCGATGGCGAGAAGGTCCGTCGCGTTAAGGCCGTGGCTGACAAGGCTGTCGAGGAGCTGAGAGATCGTCGCGCCAAGTTCGAATGTGGTGAACTTGTGGACGAAGAGGGCGAGGAAACCAACACGCCTGCTATCAATGAGCAGGATTTAAAGGAGGTCATCAGCGAGAAGAGAAGCAAGAAGCTGGACAAGCAAGAGTTCGACGACCTCTGGGCGTCTGCTCTCGGAGATATCAAGGAGAGGGATGAAGTTGAAGTCGAGGTTCAGCAGTAAGTTCAAGACCCTCCCCCGCTCCTGGTTGTTCCCCTGTGTCGCGTTTCCCTCTCCGGGCAAAGCACACCTGCCCTGCATCCCTGGGATATGCTTCACATACAAAACAAACATTTCTGACCCGAGGCCGACTAACCAGCCCCCCCGCTGGCCCTGTAGAACCCCCGATTCCGGAGGCATTCCAAACACCCGACTCTCGTCCACCTCTCTCGCTCGCCTTCCGATCACCTGTGCGATCCGCCGATCCCTCTGGCTCGGATTCGCACGATTTCGACTCTATCTTCTCCTTGTGATCCTGTCCACGGGCAGCCTCTTCTACGCGCGATCTCGGTACCGGTCCCACCGGGCCACCGTCGCGCAGATCCCGGCCCTGGTCGATATAGTCATGGACAAGCTGTCTGCGCAGAAGGAGATTGCTTATGACGACAGCACCGAGGACCCCTTCCTCTTCCTCCCGAACCTGCGAGACGACGTCCTCCGGGCGATGCACTCGCTCGCCGAGCGGGAGCGCGTGTGGCAGCGCGTCCGGCCCGTCGTGGAGCAGAACAGCAACGTGCGGACCGGGCAGCGCGAGGGGCGCAACGGCGAGGTCGGCCGCGCGTGGGAGTGGATCGGCCCGACGGCCAGCCTCACGGCTGGCGGTGGCGAGGCCAGCGCGCGCAGACGGCGCAGCGCGCGCGTCTCGTTTGGGCCGGGCGTGAAGAAGGAGGAGGAGGATGATGAGGACGTCAAGACGCCCGTGGCGGAGATGGTGGAGAAGAGCCAGGACCGGTCGGGCATCCACAGGCGGTGGGAGGAACCTAGGCCGATCTATTGAGTTGGGATCTGTGAGAAGAGGGCGACTGCGTCGTTTGATTGTGATTCCGATTCATTCGTCGATGTGCGGGTTGGGGGGCCGGGGTTAGCCTCTACATCTGTATTTTCTTTTGTAATCACTTTGACGTATGACACTTTAACTTGGAACGGGGTTTCAGTCGACTTTTACTGCTTGTCTTGCTCTTTGGTACTCGTGCTACTCACTGTCTGGCGAGAATGCTTGATTGAGGTGCCACATCTGTCACATGGAGCATGTCCGTTTTGACCGAGTAAACGTTGACTGACCTCTTTTGAATCCCGTTTGGTTCTCTGGTCTCGGTGTGATACTTTTGTGTTCTCAGAGGTTCTGACACTGAATCGAGTGGTTGGGTTTCCTCTGACCTCTGCTAACTTAGATAGATAGGATAATAATCAAATTTTATATCAAAATGCACCTGGATATGCGCGAGTACCGGGTATTCCCAATAATTAATATCGTGCTAGCCCTATCCTGGATATCCATCTATATATCTATGCATACATACACTCGTAAAGGAAAATCGGACGACGTTTGCGAGAGACTCTATGGTACACACACACACACACACACACGTGCGCGATCATTTCACAATGACCAAGGGTCATCAAGGGGGACATGCAGCAGCAGGCTCTTTTTTTTTTTTTTTTTTTTTTTTTTGCTGTATCACATGCTCTTGAGCTTCCTCGTGGCCCGCGCCGAGCCCAGGGCCGCAATGGCCCCGATGAAGAGGCACACGGCGATGGCGTTGGGCCCGTCGGCGGCGGCGCTGGGCGGCGGCGGCGGCGTGTCCTCCGACAGCTCGGGGCTCTTGCCCGGCTCGAGGACGGCGAAGACCAAGGTGCTGATGAAGGTGCCGATGAACTGCGGCAGGGTGCTGTAGATGTTGAGGATGCCAAAGTAGACGCCCGAGAGCTCGCTCGACGCGTCGCCGCCGCCGCCGCCGCCGCCGCCGGAAGATTCCGTGTCGCCGTCGACCGGGCCCATCTCGATGTTGGAGCCCGTCGATAGGCGGCGGTATGAGCCGGCGTCGCCGCCGCCGCCGCCGCCCGTCATCTTGTTGACCTCGACGCCGAGCAGGGCGGGCGGGGCCCACATGAAGATGGTCCAGGGGACGCCGCACAGGGCGACGAGGCAGGTCGCGAGCCGGAAGCTCGTGGCCCAGGGGGCCAGGAACATGGCGGCCGAGAAGACGAGGTTGGAGGCGAGCCAGACGGAGACGAGGTCGGGCCTCCCGAAGCGGCCGCCGAGGCGCTCGACGAGCGGGCGGATGCTCTCGGGCGGGCGGCGCGTGAAGCCTTGGTCGTCGGGCCCGCGCACGAGCAGGGGCAGCAGCCAGGCGCCGAGGAAGGTGACGACCGAGTAGACGGTCAGGGCGGCGCTGCCGACGCGGCCGATCTCGCCGAGGGCGTCGCCCGAGGTGCGGGCGTCGGGCGGGGCGTCGTAGCGGAAGTAGGTCTCGCCGACCCAGGTGCTGCTGTAGAAGAGGAAGGGGAACCAGCCGATCCAGGACCAGAAGACGGCCCAGCAGATGGCGCGCACGCGGGGCGGCAGCGTCAGCAGGGTCGACCAGATCTGGCGGACGACCTTGAAGCGCCTCGGGGGGCCGGCGGCCGAGGAGTGCCGGTCGGGCCGGGAGACGAGGAGCACGCGCTCCGTGACGGCCCAGCAGGTCAGGAAGGAGGTGGCGAGCATGCCGGCGGCGGCGATGACGGTCAGCTGCTTGAACTGCGTGTCGCCGAGGGTCGTGCCGAGGGTCTTGACGAGGTCGACGGCGCCCGTGCCGTAGCCGATGACGGTGCCGATGGACGCCATCCGGCTGGCCCAGGCGGCGCCGGCCTGCTGCTTGGTGATGGGCAGGGTGTCGACGATGAGGCTCCGCGAGCAGGACATGACGGCGTTGATGGCGAAGTCGGTGGCGTAGAGGGAGAGCACGGCCAGGCCGATGGTCGCGTACTTGGCGGTCGGGGGGTCCGGCACCAGCGCGGCCACGATCTCCTTGGTGAAGCCGAGGACCAGGAGCCCGATGGCGACGAGGACGGAGCATATCGCGATGAGCGGCCGTCTGCGGCCGTACTTGGACTTGGACTGGTCCGCGATGACGCCTACGATCGGCTGCACGATCAGTCCTGACAGGGGGCCGGCGATCCAGACGAGGGAGGTCTGGCCCTTGGAGAGCCCGAGGGAGAGGAGGTATGGCGTGCAGTCTAGAGGAGCGATCTGTGGTCAGCGATTGCGATTAAAGAGTCACGGCATGAGAGACTTACACGTCATCTCGACGCCCCAGGTAAAGCTATAGGAAGACGCGTGTTAGTTGGACTTTGTAGCGAGTATAAGTAAAGCGGAGGGGCATCTTGTGACGGACGTGATTCCAATCGAGTTCAGGGTCAGCAACATCATCCGCACCGTCTCGGTGCTCCCCTTGATGGAGGGTGTGCCCGACCAGCTCGACATGTTTTCCGGATCTTGTGTAGGAGCTGCGTTTCTAAATGCATGCCGCTGTTCCTCAAAGCCGTCGTCCTCTTGATCCCAGGCTCTGTCCCAGTCGTCGGCGCTGCTGTCGCGTGCAATGTAATTATAGTTGTTATCTTCCGGGGTGGTGTCGTGTGCCTCGTTCAGGTGCCCAGAGTGTGGTCCTCCCAGTTCTTCGCGCGTTCTGCCCTTCGTGACTTCGGCATCGAGGTTGTTGGAAGAGGAGGAGGAGGAGCAGGAGGAGCAGGAGGAGACGGAATGCGAGGAAGTAGGGAGAGGGAGAAAAGTCGACGGGCCAGCCATCAGAGATAAGGCAAGGGGCGCATTCTGTAAAAGACACTTATAAAAGGATAGGGCGGCAGGGCGTGTGGGGATCTGGTGCTTGAGCATCAAGACAGGTGGAGCTGCCCAGTCGCTCCAGAGCAGGGGAATGGCCAGCAATGCGTCGTCATCTCTCTTCTTTTTTTTCTCTCTCAGTTGTCAGTACTCTTGGCGAGTGCTGCGAAGGGAGATTGGCAGAGCGGTCGCACAGGCCAAGATGTGTTGATGGTGGGTGTGTTCCAAGATTAGCAGTACGAGCTGGGGGCGCGCGCCGCATGTCTTGGTGTGGAACAATACAGGCTGGCTCTCGCTCTGTACGCAAGGTTCACTTTCCCTTTTCTCTCTTCATCTCTTCATCTTCCTAGATGGTGCTATTCAGCAGCAGACTGGACACGTAGGGACTTACTTTCCTTTGGTACTGTCATCTCATAGACCAGCAGCTCGAGAGCCGACTGAGAATTGTCTCCTCCGTACTCCGTATGCATGGCAGAATTGCTCCATAACTGCAACTCAAAACTAGGTAGCTTGCATTTCTCCACGCGCTCAACGTGGGAGACAGATAGACTTTGTTTGACACACGAGCAACGTCGTGGCCGTTGGGGACTCTAGCCTACATACCTAGGTAGTGGAGAAGGTCCCGAAGCTGAGGTTGAGTGATGGATCCGTGGATGTCAATTCATCTGAAGGGTGGGTAGCGGGAATGTCAGGTACGGAGTACAAGTACAGAGACTGAGAGCCAGCTGGAGCCATACAAGTAGACAGAAGAGGCAATGTGAGGGAAAAAAGAATAGTTAACTAACCTTGAAGGTACCCCCCCCACATCACCCACGAGACTGACCTACTTGTAGTTGGTTGTAACTAATTAGCCTACCTTACCCCACTGACGAGTGTGGGCGTCCAGTGAGCAAACTCCGATACAGGAACGTGCCGCCAGTAAAATCTGTATGTGGTGGTCATTATCATTGAACACCATCAAAACACTCAATATAACTCGACCTAAACCGTTGTCGAACCTACGCAATTCCGGTCCGGCGCACCACTCTGCACGACAAGCTTTGAGTCCCGAGCCAATTGGCAGCTGGCCATCCTTGTCCCGGCTCCTGTCGACGTGTCCTTGCCGCCCGATAACCCCTCCATCAATCAGTCGTGCATCCGGAGCTCGCAGTCTTGTTCGCGATACTTACCCCACCATCACCTACCGCATCTTCATTCTCGACAGCATTCTCTGCGTAACGCAGTGTCGCATCACAGACTGCACGAGCGCATACTCGGCTCCCGTATTACAACACCTCTGCTTTCCTCGTCTGGTGGCTGCCCGACCCATTTCCGGTCTTGGGCTCCGTGATATTAGCCATGGACCTCGTCAACTCGTCAGTCTCCTCCCTCCTCGACAGCAACCCCGTCCCCTCTTCAGCAGACCCTGTGCACTCGTGTCCTGAACAAATATTGCAATGGCTCTGTCTCTCGTTGCCGTCGAAGACCAAACAACTAATCTAGCTCCTCTTAGACTCGGCGGACGCCTGCTCTTCGCCATCCCAAAGAGTGAGTCACCCCCACGCGGTACCCCTACGGGGACAGAATGCGACTATCCCAGCACTGCTCGACGGGACTGCGACAAAAGCTAACATTGTCTTCGCAGAGGGCCGTCTGCAACAAGCATGCTTCAACCTCCTTGAAGGTGCCGACATCCAGTTCCGCCGCGAGAACCGCCTCGACATCGCCCTCGTCAAGAACCTCCCCATCGCCCTCGTCTTCCTCCCCGCCGCCGACATCCCCACCTTTGTCGGCGAGGGCCAAGTCGACCTCGGCATCACGGGCTTCGACCAGGTGCAGGAGCACGACGCCGGCGTGCGCTCCCTGACCCGCGCGCGGAGGGCCTCGGGCGAGTTCACCCCGGACCAGGTCGACGGCCGGCCCAAGGGCTGCGAGACGGTGCTCGACCTGGGCTTCGGCGGCTGCAAGCTGCAGGTGCAGGTGCCCCAGAAGGGCTCGTACCGCGAGGCCAAGGACCTGATCGGCAAGAACATCGGCACGAGCTTCGTCCACCTCGCCGCCGAGTACTTTGCCCGCCTCGAGGCGGAGCAGGACGGCCTCGAGGACGGCACCCTGACCCCGAGGAAACTGCGGACCAAGATCATCGAGCTGAGCGGTAGTGTCGAGGCAGCTTGCGCCCTGGGTGTCGCCGACGGCATCGTCGACCTCGTCGGTACGTAGCTGCTTGCTGTTTGCTTGCTCCACACTTCTATTCCATTTTTGCTAACTCAGGGGGGGGAAAACAGAATCGGGCGAGACCATGCGCGCCGCCGGCCTCATGGCCATCGACACCGTCGTCGACACGACGGCCATCCTCATCAAGTCCAAGAGGCCCAGCAACCCGGAGCTCGTCGAGCTCATCGCCGCCCGCATCCGCGGCGTCATCACCGCTCAGCGCTACGTCCTGTGCCAGTACAACGTCGAGCGGTCACGCCTCGCCGAGGCCTCGGCCATCACCCCCGGCAAGCGCGCCCCCACCATCACCGCGCTCGAGGAGAACGGCTGGGTCGCCGTCAGCTCCATGGTGGAGAAGAAGAAGATCGCCCTGGCTATGGACGAGCTCACAAAGGTCGGCGCCACCGACATCTTGGTGCTGGATATCCACAACAGCAGGACCAGCTGAAAAAGTTGATTCAAGGCTAGAGGTGACGTACGTGGGGAGAACGAGATCTTTTGTGAGGTTCCGCCTGGGGCAGCAGGGCATGCATGCCCCCTCTTCAGATTGGTTTTTTTTTCTTTTTGGATCATTGGAGTGTGAGCAATTAGACTGGCTTATTGGGAATGGTTTAGGATCATAGAAAGCTACAAAAAAGTTTAATGGTTCCAAAAACGAAAGGCATTTGGTCCATGCTGGCAATGCCCTTTGTACATGCCTGACACCTCAAAAGCGAGATAGTGACGTGAATTCGGCCAAATCGTGTGATATTGTATTTATTTTATCTAGTCTAAATGCTCCAGATGACAAGTCTTCCATCAACGCCGCTGGCTATAAGCCAAGTTAGAAACACTTGTGTATTCGATCAACGATACAATGCGAGGGTGTACACTTACAGCTGAACTTGCTCACACCCGAGCCAGACTCCTCGTAGGGCCGGATGGTGGTGATGGTGTTCTGGTGGACCGTCTTGAGCTGCGTGTCGTCCTTGGCCTTGCCCTTGAGGTCCATCTGGCGGAACATGTTGAGCGCCGACTCCTCGCGGGCGTCGCCCAGGCCGGGCCGGCCCTTGGACTCGACGGTGCCGCTCAGCTGCCAGCCGTCGGGGCCGCCCCGGAAGCGGAAGGCCTCGCAGTCGTAGCCGGCGGCGACGATCTCGGACTCGCCGTTCCAGAGCAGGCCCTGGAAGGGCAGCAGCTGGGTGGCGACGCTGACGACGGCGCGGGGCGGCTGGTCCGGGCCCGAGGGGTAGACGACGGTGACGGAGCTGTCGTGGGCGGCGAAGGCGAGGGCGTCGCCCGAGGGGCTGAAGGCGACGGCGTGGACCCAGCCGGCCGAGTTGTTGAGGAACTCGCCGCAGACGGTGTTGAAGGGCAGGCGCTCGCCCCAGGCGGACGGCTCGGGCCGCGCGTCGACGCCCTTGATGAAGCTGCTGAAGACGCGGGCGTGGGCGTCGGTGGACCCGGCCGCCAGCAGGACCGAGTTGGGGTGCCAGGCGACGGTCGTGATGGTGCTGCGGATCGGCTTCTTGAGGTGCTTGGACACCCACCAGTCGTTCTCCTCCTCGAAGTAGCAGACGGCGATGACGCGGTCGCCGGAGCCGACGGCGAACTTGGTCTCGGAGGGCGACCAGCGGACAAAGGTCGCCGCGCGGTTGATGCGCAGGAGGACGAGGGTGGGCTTGTAGCCCTGCGGGGTGGGCTCCCAGACGATCGCGTTGCGGTCTGCGGCGTGGTGGCTCTCTCTGTCAGCGGAAGCAGGTTTGAGGAGGCGGGGGGCGCCGACGAGGAACGGACTGACCTTGGGAGCAAGACACGATGCGGCCGGTGTTGGGCGCGATGTCGACGCTGGTGACGGTCTTGTCGTGGCCCTTGAGCTCGTCCTTGACCTTGAAGGCGTTGCCCACCTTGCCGTACAGCTCGACCGACGAGTCCCGCGCGATGGCGACGATCTTGCGGTCGGCCGAGAAGGAGTGGTCGGCGATGCGGTTGTGGAAGAGGTGGTGGACCTCGGGGGCGGCCATGGTGACGGAATCTGCTGCGGCGCGTGTGATAGGAGGAGCTCTCTACTATCACGCAGCAGGGAGGTTGGTTGTTATTGCAGGTGAGGATGGGTTTTGGTGGTGAGAGTTTCCCTGAGCTCTGGGAACTGACGTCGCAAGCTGGGCAGTGCCAGTGTGGGGATTGAGGGGCAGAAACCGAGTTACATAAGCCTCTCTGGCAAGGGTTAGGGAATTAATGTGGGACTTATTGCAGCGTGCCAGCCTCCACCAAAAAAGTCGGCCTTGTGAACATCGCCAGAACCAGGTCGCGGTCGCCCAGACTTCCTTTGATCCAGCATTGCGCCGCCAAGTTACGTCTTTCTCGCCTTTTTTCTCCCAGAAACTCTCGAGTTTCCTTGAATACTTTCTTCGAGAAATACTCGCAGTCAAGATGGCGCCTCCTGCGCCCCCAAAGGGACCTCCCCCAGCTGCGGGCTTGCCCGCGAAAGTCCCCTCCATTCCCCCAAACCAGACGTGAGTAGTCCTCCAGGAATGCTGCCGTGTGCGGTTCACTAATCCGTGCCTCACAGCCTCTACGTGCGGAACGTTCCCTCATCAAAGATACAAAAAGACGACTTGAGGACCGCGCTTTATATGCTCTTCTCGACCTACGGACCCGTCCTGGATGTGGTGGCATTGAAGACCCAGAAGATGAGGGGGCAGGCTCACATCGTCTACCGTGACATACAGGCATCAACACAAGCCATGAGGGCACTGGACGGATTCGAGTTTCTCGGCCATGAGCTTGTAGGTGTTTCCTACAGCTTCGATACATCTATGTGATGATCCCATCCCTGCTAATCACATAGTCTAGAAAATCTCCTACGCCAAGGGCAAGTCCAACGTCGTCGCCAAGCTGGACGGCACCTTCAAGATGGTCAACCCCTCGGCGGCCGCCAATGTCGAAGTGACCGAGCTCCAGCAGAGCATCTTCAACGCTCCTGTTCCGGGTTCCGCTTCGCAAGCAAACTTGCCCGTGAAGCCCAATGCTGGACCAGTGGATGCTGCTACGCCGGAGAGCAGGGGAGTCAAGCGCGGCCGCGACGATGAGGATGAGGACGAGGAGGACAGCGACGTGGCTATGGAGGAGGACAGCGACGACGAGTGATACCCCGGATGGCGTTAAGGATAGGCTGTAATTTTCTGGGGCAGGAGGACTCTTCGCGTCTGGGCTGGGCAGTATACCCTCCACGACAAGGTTGCCCATCAGTCCGGTCAGCCAATCGCCATCTCCTTGGGCACCCAAAGGCCGACCGTGGGGCCGACGAAACCGAGCCAGATCATGAGGTAGTTTTCACGGGTGCAGCGAAAGCTCTGCATGGCTTCGCCGAGGACACAGGGATGGACGAAAAAGCACGGTACTCCCGTGACCGGATGGTGCTGGACGGAGCTTGGAGTTAGCATAGAAATGGTAAATGCTACAAAAATTCACACGAGCATTTCTGGGGTCTCTCCATTGACCACGATCACAGTGCACAGACTTACGTCGGCGGAGATGCCTCCGATGCCCCCTGCTGACCGAAGGACGTCTTTGAACTGGTCTGGCACGAGCCGCCGGTAGACGGTATCGATGCTGAAAGCGACCTCGTCCACGGGAAGTCCATGAAGGCTGAACCAGAGACAGGGAGCTCTGTAGGTTGGGTGGAGATGGATCTCATATGTGACGTGTCCAGAGGTGTGGACCTGTCTGGGTTTCTTCACCAATGCTGCCTATGACATATCGTGAGAAAGAAGATCGGTGGACACCTCATATGTGAATTTAGATTACTCCAAAAGACCTACCTCATCCATATCCTCTGCCTCCACCATGTCTTGGTCTCCCATCACCATCTGATCCGCTTGGTCCGTTTCGGACGCAAACGAGAAACTGCCTAGATCAGCAGACAGATCTAGGTCAGGCTGTTCCTCGAGAGGGCGTGTAATCTGCACATAGGTCGTGTAGGCCGCATCATCGAAGACGAACGTGGTGTCCAGAGCGGTACATGTGCTGAGCCTCCATAACCGCCTGACGGGGCCGAGGGTGGCCTGCGTGTACCGTCGATCTAGGTGGTGACAGGCCTCCGCAAACTCCTCTTTAGTAAGAAAGGGGTAGTCTTTGATATCTCCGGAGATGCCAGAGTCACTGGTCATCCTTTGATCGCAGACCAGCAGCCCGGCCCAACTCAGGGAAGGCGGGAAGGTGCCAGCAATCGCAGTTCAGTTCCGCAAATGTTGTTGAAGGCGTTTTGAATAATGTCCAAGTCTCTCAAGCTCGTGGAATGACGGGGTTTCCTGTGCTCAGTTCTCCTTCCCGAGTCTAGGGTTTTGTTGTTGGGCACCCTTTGAGCGAGTCCCTGAATTTCATCGATGTTAGGTAGTGGGGTCCTTGGCCGATTAGAGGACTTCTCCAGATCCCAGCACGAGAAGGCCAGTAAATCACCAGGAAGACATAACTATACCAGGGCAACCGGAGGTCAACACAGAGAAGACACAGCATGTCATGTCATGGCACCAGTCCACGCTACCTAAGGTACCCTTAACGATAAATGTTTTAGTACCAGGGCGATCTGGGGAACCCGTCCATCGGTAGCCTCAGCTGAGAACGCCACTGTCGATACCTAGAGCTTCTCCGCTGATTTCAAGAACCCACAGGCTGGGCGCCCGCCGAAAGGAGTTGCAGCAATTGTCTAAATCCCCCACAACGAACCGAGCTTAGCCTGAAATACGAGGGTCTTAGCGTGCCGTGATTAACACCAAGCTGTCCTCTTTCCGTCCGTGATGTTCGCGAAACCCTGCACGACGCACGTTGTCAAGGGATAATTAGTCTTTTTTAGACACTCTCCAGACTAGCGAAATCCGAAGCGTTGGAAAGACAACCCCTTTGTCTTCTCAACAGACGTTTCGGGAATCAGGCGGGTCAGGTAGAGCAATGCTTTACCCCTAGACCAGAGCAGAGTCGTCGCGGATGAACGTCCGAGACCCCTTCGGCCTGCACCGAAACACAGCTTTCGACATCCTGCGCACCACCGCGACCCAGGCGGCCGCCGGCATCCGAGACAAGGCGATCGAGGCGGGCGCGACTGCCATTGAGCGCAGCAAGCAGGCGGTCGAGGACATGTCTTTCACGGTCCCCAAGAATGTCCCCTCCTTCAACAACCCCCAGCGGCTAGCGGAGGACTATCTTTGGCATCACAGCTCGGGCGGGCCCACGCCTCGCCGAGGAGGAGGAGGAGGCGGAGGAGGAGGGCAGCACCAAGGCATCTTGGGCGGCGTGCAGGACAAGGTCGGCGAGTTTCTGTCGGACGCCACGGGCAACAGCAAGAGGACGCTGCCCATGTACAAGGACAAGCCGTATGCGTACCCGCCGTCGCAGCGGTTGCGGCCGATCTACAGGCGCAAGAGGGTGCTGGGCTTTCTGCTGCTCTTCGTGCTAGGTGTGTTGTACTGGACGGGCGCGTTCGAGAAGCACAAGGAGAGGGTCACGGTGCCGCTCAAGAACCTGAGCTGGCTCAAGAAGGACGAAAAGGCCAAGACGAAAGCGGACTGGCTCAAGAGGAGAGACCGCGTCGTCGAGGCCTTTGAGCTGAGCTGGGATGCGTACGAGCGATATGCCTGGGGTAAGGATCCCTTCTCTGGAATTACAAATGCTCTTGCAGAGCGCTAACCATACTCTGCGAACAGGCTACGACGAGTTCCACCCCGAGTCCAAAAGGGGCAGGCAGATGGCCGCCAAGGGCATGGGCTGGATCATCGTGGATTCATTAGACACCATGATCCTGATGAATCTCACATCGCGACTTACACATGCGAGGGAGTGGGTATCCAAGACCCTGACGTACGACCAGGATCAGGACGTGAACACGTTTGAGACGACAATCCGCATGATGGGCGGTTTGCTGTCGGCGCACTACCTCTCGAACGAGTATCCCGAGCTGGCGCCGTTGAAAGACGACGACCCTGGCGCGGCAGGAGAGGATCTATATCTCGAGAAGGCGAAGGACCTGGCAGATCGGCTGTTGTCGGCTTTCGAGAGCCCCTCTGGTATCCCCTACGCCAGCGTGAACCTGGGTCAATATAAGGGCATCCCTGCGCACGACAACATGGGTGCATCGTCGACAGCTGAGGCGGCGACGCTTCAGCTCGAATTCAAGTACCTTGCCAAGTTGACTGGGGAGAAACTCTTCTGGGACAAGGTCGAGAAGGTCATGGAAGTCCTGGACGGCAACAACGAGTCTGAAGGTCTTGTGCCGATCTTTGTTAATGCCAACGATGGCAAGTTCCACGGAAAGAACATCCGTCTGGGCAGCCGTGGGGACTCCTATTATGAGTACCTCATCAAGCAGTATTTGCAGACGAACAAGAAGGAGAAGGTGTATGAGGATATGTGGTACGAGTCGCTGGCCGCTGTCCGAAAGCACCTCGTCACGTACACGGAGCCTTCGGGCTTCACCATCATTGGCGAAAGGGAAAGTGGCCTTGAAGGCACACTGACCCCGAAGATGGACCATCTGGTCTGCTTCATGCCGGGCACGATCGCCCTCGCAGCCACGGGGGGGCTGACGGAGAAAGAGGCGCGGAAGCTGAAGACGTGGACGAAGCGCGACGACGAGGACATGAAGCTGGCTCGCGAGCTAATGCACACGTGCTGGGGCATGTACAAGTACATGGCGACGGGCCTAGCCGCCGAGATCACCTATTTCAACGTCGCCAACCCGCCCCTGACGTCTACGTCGCCGCACAAGACGCCGCCGGCTGTGTTTGACCCGAGCGAGGATGCCGCGTGGAGGAAGGACTTTGAGGTGCACCCGCAAGATGTGCACAACCTGCAGAGGCCGGAGACCGTCGAGAGCCTGTTCTACATGTGGCGCATCACGGGCGACGTCAAGTACCGCGAGTGGGGCTGGGAGATGTTCAAGTCGTTTATGAACTACACGGCCGTGGAGGACGGCGGCGGCTTCACGAGCCTGACCAACGCCAATGTGATCCCGCCTGTGTCAAGGGACAACATGGAAAGCTTTTGGCTGGTAAGTTGCCGATCCCTCTGTATCTGCCCTGATGGCGGTTGGATCTGAACCTAACAATTCTTCTAGGCCGAAACCCTCAAATACATGTACTTGCTCTTCTCCCCGGACGATCTCTTACCGCTGGACAAGATTGTGCTCAACACTGAAGCGCATCCACTCCCGCGTTTCGATATGGGCCAGTTGTTCTCGACGGGATGGAAGAGGAAGCCGAGAGACGCGCATGGCAACGCCATCAAGTCGGAGGCGGCCGCGTGAGTGTTCATAAACACTATTTGTAACTTGAACAGACCTGCATGGACGGAGTTTTTAGACCATGTAAAACGATCCATCAAAGCTGGCGTATGATACAGCTTGTAATACACCCTGAAGCCGATCCGGCGTTTAGAGATTGCCTCTGACCTGAAGTGTAATACGAAGTGGCATGTGAACAGAGGGAAGTGATAGCTTGTCGGTCAGAGTACGCACCTCGTAAACAACCCTGGCTGTATGAAATTCACCAAGTCGGTTGCATCCATAGCAAGGCCATTATAGGCGGCTCGCTTTGCAGTTGGCTGTCTCACTCAGTGACTGTGTGCTCTAAGGTGCAATCCACTATGCAAATGAACCTCTGCGCCGGGACCGTTGTGGTGGGACGGCAGCCCGCCTCGCCCGCGTCTCTCCACCCGTGGACCTCCTCTCCGCCTCCACCGCCAGCACCACCCACCCACTAATCAAGACCCCTGTCTCCAACAATGATAAGCCTCGACTCTCTCCATGCTGGCCCCCCCAGCCGCGCCGCGCCCCCTCTCCCCACGCCCCGAGAGTCAGCCAACAAGAGAGGGTGGCCGCCCAATTCCTTATCGTCCAAGAGCAAACCTCAGGAGAGGAGCAGAGAGGCTTTTTCCGTGATCCCGAAGCACAATCACATTGCGCAACTACACGCCTACAGAATCGAGAATTCTCTACACCGACATCGCATTGCGCCTTGGGGGACTCGATTGCGCGCGTGCAGAACATGCGCCGCGCCGACTCGCCGTCCCAGCGACCGTTGATGACGCTCGACGTACCCCTTTCGCGCTGCACGAGAGCAACGGCATAACTCGACCTCGATCGACGACCACGCTGCGGCAAGCTTACGAGAGCGCCGATTACCTCGCCAGAGATCCAGCAACACATATCGATCATTGGCTTGCACTACGTGTTCCTCTCCGCAGACACGGGATCACACCGCTCTCCATCGGAGCAACACCAACCGCCCGCTTTGCTCAGCCTCTCTCGTCTCTCACACGCATATCCACACTACACGAATGAACCTGTCCGGCACCCGATAGAGCAAACACATTTGATATTTTCCCAGCCCACGACACGCCTTCCACCACCTTTCCAGCACCTCCCCCCCGGCCTTTCACATGGACCGCGACGTCGAGCTCAACAACATCCTCACAGCCAAGGAGGACAGCATCACCCAGGGCTCCGTCTACAACATGATGCAGGAGCCCTCGCTCTTCGACGGCGAGCGCCGCCGCCGCCCGGGGCCCCGAGCCGCCCGCAGCGCCGTGGGGCGCTGGGTCGACAGCTTCCGCCGCGACCCGGAGCGGCGCGTCACCATGCCCGCCGCGGGCGCCTTCGCCAAGCCGCCGTCCATGTCGTCGCAGCACCACCAGCTCCAGCAGCAGCAACAGCAGCAGGGCGAGCCGCTGATGCGCGAGCACAGCCGGGCGTCGACGTCGGGCGCCAGCAGCGCCAACGGGCACTACTACGACCTGCACGGGGGTATCATGGCCACGGCCAACACGGCGCTGGCGCGGGAGCTCAAGGGCAGGCATCTGCAGATGATTGCCATTGGAGGGTCGATTGGTGAGTTTATTTTTTTCTTTTCTTTTGAGTACCTCCCGCCCCATGCAGGCGGTCATGCTTCTCTTCATAGTAAGCATGTCAGGATTGGCTAACAGAACTCGGTACAGGCACTGGCTTGTTTGTCACATCGGGAAAGGCTCTAGCAACGGGGGGCCCGGCGTCGCTGTTGATCGCATACTGCTTCGTTGGAGTGATGCTCTATTGCACGGTCCACGCCCTGGGCGAGCTAGCTGTAGCTTTCCCTGTTTCTGGTTCCTTCTCTGCGTTTTCAACTCGCTTTCTCGACCCCTCTTGGGGTTTCGCCATGGGGTGGAAGTAAGTCGTGACAGCATCTGTCGTTCCGGCCACCTCAAAGCTGACCGTGCTCCTCTAGTTATGCGCTCCAGTGGCTTGTCGTTTTACCATTGGAAATCATCGCCGCGAGTATCACCATAGAGTACTGGAATAGCTCCATACCGAGGGCCGTATTCGTCACGATATTCCTCTTGGCCATCATATCGATCAACCTGTTCGGCGTCAAGGGCTACGGTGAAGCCGAGTTCATCTTCGCCATCATCAAAGTGACGGCCGTGATAGGGTTCATGTAGGTGGTCCACACCTGTTCCCCCCTAATTCTACCTCTAGACCCAACACAAGTTGTACTGATCTCGCTTTGTTTCTTGTAGCCTTTTGGGGATCGTCATCAACATAGGCGGCACGCAAGACGAGGGCTACATCGGCGGCAAGTACTGGCACGACCCGGGCCCCTTCCAGAACGGCTTCAAGGGCATGTGCTCCGTCTTCGTGACGGCCGCCTTCGCCTTCACGGGCACCGAGCTCATCGGCCTCGCCGCCGCCGAGACGGCGAACCCGCGCAAGTCGCTGCCCACCGCCATCAAGCAGGTCTTTTGGCGCATCACGCTCTTCTACGTCGTCGCCCTCACGCTCGTGGGCCTGCTCGTCTCGTCGGAGAACCCCAAGCTGCTGGGCAAGTCGTCGGCCGACGACGACGCCGCCACCGCCGGCGCCGTCAACGGCAACAACAAGGGCGACCACTCGAGCAGCGGCGACTCGTCGGCGTCGCCGTTCGTCATCGCCATCGAGAGCGCGGGCATCGCCGTCCTGCCCTCGGTCATGAACAGCGTCATCCTCATCGCCGTCATCTCGGTCGGCAACTCGGCCGTCTTCGGCTCCTCGCGCACCCTCGCCGCCCTGGCGGACCTCGGCCAGGCGCCGCGCGTGCTCAGCTACGTCGACCGCCGCGGGCGGCCCCTCGTCGCCATCGTCTTCGCCTCGTCCCTCGGCTTCCTCGCCTACCTCGCCGACCTGCCGCAGCAGGCCGACGTGCTGTCCTGGCTCGTCGCCATCTCGGCCCTCTCGTCCATCTTCACCTGGGGCAGCATCTGCCTCGCGCACATCCGCTTCCGGCGCGCCTGGGCCGCGCGCGGCCGCTCCCTCGAGTCCCTCGCCTTCCGCTCCCAGCCGGGCGTCCTGGGGTCCTGGGTCGGCCTCGGCCTCAACGCGCTCGTCCTCGTCACGCAGTTCTGGGTCGGCGCCTGGCCCGTCGGCTACGGCGACAAGACGCCCGCCGGCAACGCCCGCAGCTTCTTCCTGCAGTACATGGCCGTGCCCATCCTGCTCATCATGTGGCTCGGCCACAAGGCCTGGTTCCGCACCAAGGTCGTGCGCGTCAGGGACATGGACCTCGACACGGGCCGCCGCGACTTCAACCTCACCGTCCTGGTCGCGCAGGAGCACGAGGAGAAGGCCATGTGGCCCCGGTGGAAGAAGATCTATAGGTTTTTCTGTTAGAAGGAGGGGAAAAGGAAAAGGGAGGAGGAGGAGGAGGGTGGGGGGGCCATGTGTGTTATCGGTACGAGCGAGGTATGGGCCATCTAATATCCATGTTGGGTTTGATTTTCGTTAGCCAGGTGTTGATCAAGGATCTGGAAATTTGGGCTTGAGCTTTGCAATCATACGTTTGGGTAGTAGGCATCTTGGGGGTTTCACGGTCCCTATATTGCGCTCTTGGAGAGCAAATGTCACCACCACCGGCATCTTTTATTGAAAATGCATCCAGTCTCTCTCTCTCTTGTATGAGTGTTCTAATGACAGATCGATGCCACCACTCGCTCGATCTTCCGCACATACATCCCGCACGTTACCAACACACTCGATAGGTTCACGGCTAGGCTCAGAGAGACAAGACAAACTGTTTTATTGACATAAAAATCGAGTTTCATCGTGTTGCGCGTGAGCGAAGAAGCTTTCTGGCAGCCAACAACCACCCAGACCAAGACCCCTCCAACCGTGATCGACATACAAAGTACAACGTACATGTAATCATAAACAGGCATACCTCCGGGAGGCAGTAAGAAAATGGGCATTACACGTCAGTCCCTGTCAAAGACACCACGTCCTCGTGTTTCCCGTCTGGGAATTTAAAAGTCCCAAAAGTCGCTGGCCTTGTGAGCAGCGCCCTGTTTCCGCGCAGGTGCGGCGGGCGTGGGCTCCTCGTCACTCTCGCCACCGATCGACCAGCCTCGGCCGGCGCCCTTCTTGCCACCCATGCCATTGCCCTGGGTGTTGATGCCGCGGTCTTCTCCAGTCCTAGCCGGAGCCTTACGGGGATTGTTCTCCTTCTGCGACGCAGGAGACGAGTCGTAGGCAGACCAATTGGCCTCCATCATCTTGACCGCCTTCTTGCGATCGTCGCTCACTTTAGCACTGCTCTGCGCGGCGCGATTCGGCGAGTCGTCGGCCATCATGAAATGTGAGTCAAAGTCCTTTCTCCGGTCCTTCAGGTTCGTGATGTTACCCAAAGCCCGATCATCGCCAGCATCGGCGTCAGCAGAGCCGTCCTCGCCAGTGACCTTGTTCTCGTAGAGGCCAAGACCTGAGTTGTGGGTAGCACCACGCGGGCGGGAGACCAGACGAGGTTGTCCCGTATCCTCGCCATCGTCCACAAATTCGAAATGCGGCTCGGCGTCCTTCCTGGGCTTGTGCTGGGCAGGCTTCTTCTCGGGCGACTCGTGGCCGTCGTCGTCCGTGTTGCCCCAGTGGCGTACATCTTGGGCCCGGCGGTTGATCAAAGGCTTGGGCTTTGCGGGGGTCACAAAGTCCTCAAAGTCCCATTGGCTTCCATGCTTGGCGCGCTTGATGACTTTGTCCATGGGCTGGCCGGGTTGAGGGGCATCCTCGGGATTGGCCGCCAATTCAAAGTGGTCAAACTTCTTGGGGTGCGGTCGGTAGAAGCGGTCGGGAGACCTGTTTTCATGAGCGTCCTCCTCTACGGGATCGGAGCCATCACTCTCAAACAAGCGGTTGGGTTGGAACTTCTTATCGGCACCGGCTTTGGGGGCAATAGCCTTGGTTGGCGATGAGGGCCGACCCCGCGTGGGGGACTCCGGCTCCTCGTCCTCTTCGTCGCCAAGGATCTCGGTGAAAGATCGCTGGCGTGGTCTCGCTCCCGCATAAGGAGTCACGACCGCACGAGGGGTCTCTTCCGAGTGTTCCTCCGAGAGGATATCGTCAAAGCTTCGCTGAGGAGGTCGCTTGCCAGCATAAGGGGAGACGGCGTTGGCAGGGTTGTTCTCAAGCTCTTCACGAGGACCGAAAAGCGATAGAGACGCATGAGGGTCTCGAAGGATGTTGGTGGAGTTTGTGCGCGAGCGCGCCATAGCATCGGCAGCACTGGGAGGCGGCACATCGCCGGCGGCAGCAAGCGACTTGGTGATCAGCTTGATCTGGTCCTTGCTGTCGCGGATGGGCCAGTTACGGCCGCTCTTGCCGATGACATCGACCTGCTTGAGGAGGGCGCCTTGATCCCAGCTTTGCCGGATTTGCGAGATCTTGCCCTGGTCGTCAAAAGTGACCATATGCGTCTACGGTGTGTACTTGTTAGCCTTTCGCACGACTGTTGATATTGCGCATGGGGATAGAGGCTCTGCGACTCACGACAGGGAGCTGCACGGTCCTGTCGGCAAGGAAGTTGTCGTCCAAGCCAGGAAGGTAAGGGCCACCACTTGTGACAAACTCGAGGATAGTGTCTACCTCGACGGCGATGGCCTTCTGGCCCTCGACGGCCTGGAGGACATCCTGCTTCTTCTTCTTGATCTGGTTGCGCACGGTGTTGAGGTGCTTGATGATGTCTGTGGAACCACTGTGAGACGTGGTGGAGGTGATGTAGTGTAACGACGCCGTCGTAGCCAGCGCGTCCGAGTTGGGGGCAGCGAGAAACTGCGTGTATGCACGCTGGAGCGCCATGGTGGCGGATCAGAGAGCGAGGCGTGCTCTGTGTGCGAAAGCGATCAAGCTGCTGCGCGTCTCTTGGACTTGAGGCGCGACTAATGGCGGGGTCAAGTTTGCGCCAGATGTTGTAGAATGCGAGGTCAAGACAGCAACGCGCAGACTCGGAGTAGAGAGTGATGGGGGAAAAGGCGAGACTCGTTGCAGACGAGAGAAGAAAAAGAAACAAGAGGGCTTTCTTGTTCGAGCACCAGGGGCCGCAAAGGAAGGTACGAGGTATTAGTCGGAAGGGGGGGCAGTGTCATCCCTTCCCATCTAACATACCATACCAGTAATAAGGCAGTTACTCATGCGCGCGCGCAAAATACAAAAGTGACACGACGCCCGCCCTGGTTGCTCCCTCCCCCGCCTGTTTGCTTGTTTACATTGGACAGTGCGCGCTCGACACGGTGTGGCCCCTGGACGGGCCGCCCCTGACGTAACTAAAATAGCTTATTAGGGGGGCCAGCTAGCGGTACTTGTACTGTCTGGATTGCACTTGTAAATAAGCCAAGGGCAAGTTTGGAGATACTCCGAAATCTATTTGTTTATTAATTTATGCGCTCCCTTACTAGTTCGAATATCTACTTGTATATCTAGGTGGTGGGCACAGATCCATTGGAATGATCACGGTCTCTTTTCCTGTGTCTCGAGAACTGATTCCATACGATCCGTAGAATGAAGCAGACTACTGGCTGGAACAGCAGCATCCATCTTGACACTGTGTAAGAGGTCTCGTTTTTGATCCACTTGGCACTCCTTGATTGATGAGGAGGGAGGCTTGTTGCCGGATTTTGCCAAAATCAAGGGATGTACAAGTACGTAGTCGAAGTCTGGGATGGCTCTTCAATGCTGTTCCTCGCCGCCCAAGGAAAAGTATCGTACGTTGTGTATGCAACAAGCATCCGTACATCCATCCACCTAGGACCACAGTTCGTTCAGACAGGAAACCCAGCAACCATCGAGAAGGACGCCTGCTAGGATCCCAGTCGATCGACTTTCGGGAAATAATTACATCCCTTCCAAGGTTTCTAGATGACTGCCCAGCATCGAGATGCTATCCTATCTATATCTACGTCCCCTGAACTTAATAGGTGTCCAACGCATACTTGTATATCAAATGATATAATCATACTTTGGACAAGCAGAGTAGCATGGACGAAGCCCGGGGGGAGGGGATTATTTCCAGAAGCCCTTCCAATGGTCACCTTCCAGGCTCTGTACCAAGATAGCGTGTTTCAGGTATGGCAGGGATGCGCGTTTCAAGCGCGACAAGGGATTAGATTGGGCCCACCGTCTCTTCAAGCCTCATGTAAGTAGACAGGTACTTTGTTACTTTTGTTCGATAACTCCACAACCACATGGTGGGATCAGTTTGACAGGCGGTTGTGGTGCGGCCGACGATGATGACGACGATGAGACGTGCCGCCCACTCTTCAAAGTGCCTACGTACTATCTTCTACTTGTATTGACAAATGAGTCGGGGGTCTGTGTAGGTAGCTGCGGAGCTCGTCCATCTCAGCTCAAGTCTGACGCCTGGTTCCACCCTGCATGTGCACCGCTAACATGAAGATGTCGAGATCTCGCCCAACACCCTCGGTCGGCCCAGGACTCCGCAGAACAAAAACGTCACGACACTGCTAACGTGTAAGAAAGTCAACCACCTGCTGTAACGGCTAGGCACTTAGGAGACCAAGGTCCTGGAGGTACCCAGCTGTTTTCCCTCGGATACCTGATCAAGGCAACAGCCCCGTGGCATTCTTAGAGTCCTCTCTGTTGGTCACATCATATACATGCCTTTTCGTCCCTATCGCCACTCTTGCCGCGTATCCACAACCCGAGGTCGTAAGGCTGAACGAAACACACTGACATAAGTTACTGCGCCGTGCCCCGCATAGTATCTGGGCAATGGCCAGCCTGCATTCCTGGCTCCATGGAGTGAACCGACGACGGACTATGACACATGTGGGCACATATATGAAGATCCCATGGTAATTGGACTGAGTCCGCAGTCTCTCAGCTCACAATGCCAGCCCTACCAGCTTGTAGTCCCGTTTCAGGTCTCGCAGATGCCGAACCTCTATGTCTCTCCTCTCGCCGCCTTCCTCTCGGGCGAGCTCCGCAACAGTGATCTGCGTCTGATTTGAGATAATCCTAGAAGGCTCACCAGCATACACTGAAAAATGCTCGCTTCGCGTTTTGATTCTGCGTAGGAAGGCCGTCTATGGTTCGGGGAGGAGGAGGAGGAGGAGGAGGAAGAAGCAAAATATATCAAAACAAAAGAGCGGAGAGCATCAGGCTGCCTGTTGTACAACATGTCTCCCCCCCCCCCGCCTCCTGTCTGGCTCATAAAGCCCTTTCATGTTGCTGTTGAAGAGTCCTCATAGACGCTTCTTCTGTCTTTCATATCGAAAGAAAAAAAAAAGTATATGGGCCAGCGGGAACCTGATCTTTTGCATAATATAGACCGGCAGTTCCAACAAAACTTCCACTTTTTGCTCCAACACCACCGACATCCCAGCTCAGAAAATATGACACTGGTCCAAACATCCGGCACGACGCAGGCCCAGCAACCGCAGAGACCACGCGGCCTCCCCAGAAGACCCCAGGTGCACTCCAGCAAGCACCACCACACATACAACGGCGTCCGCTCCGTCCCCAGCGCGACCTGGGTAAGGTCCCAGGCCGCGCGGCAGGCCCAGCCCGAGTCCCCGATGAAGGAAGAAGCCCTGGTCGTGCACTACGAGGTCATCCTCTACTACCCCCGCAACAGGGCCTGCACGATACACCGTACCCTAGAAGACTTTGAGCAGTTGCGGCAGAGCATGCCGGAGCTCAAGGACAGCAGCAGTGAGGCCTCGGCAGATGGCGACACTCTCGCAAGTCTGGATTCGTTTCTCCGCAACGCTGTACGAAAGAGGCGTGACGCCGTGGCCCTTGAGTACTTTCTGCGTAGGAGAATAGGAGACTGTCAGTAGCCTTTGCAAAGACCAGGCTGATCTGGAGCCAGGAGGGCCTGTGTTCATGGGCTTGTTGGGTCTTACCACGGACACCCTATCAAGAACTCAGAGGCCAGCATGGATTGATACCATACGGGTGGAAAACTGTGCAACTGAAAGATCCCAGAGGAGGAGAGGAAGAATCAAATGGATATAGAAGGACAGAAGAGGATAAAAACGAAAGTTAAGCTTGCCGTCTACGCAGCTTGTGGATTAGATAAGTGTCTAGGTAATCGTACAGAAGTAACGTCGAATGGGTCTACATCTCCAAGGGGGCCCCGTTCGTAATGATGCCGTATTCATATTCGGTGTAGTTCCCAAAACAAGCCCTTTCAAACTGAGCCAGCTTGGGCATCTCCTCCTGCACCTTGAGGAAGGTCTCCAGCTCGCACCACCCATCTACGCGCGACGCATCGCACTCCTTGAAGCTCAGGCCCAGCGGTATGGTGCGCTGGTTGAGTACAAAGTGGACATACTTGGTCTCCTTGCCACCTCCGTTCTCGTCAGATAGATAACCCGACCTGTCAGCAGCCAAGGGCTTAGGCGCCCGGATGATCTCGATGTCGAGACGGGCGCCAAAGGGGGTGATGTGTGACACGGTAAAGTTGTGCGGTCCTGGGTACTGGGCAGGCTGCAGGTTATCGGCAAACTGCGTCAGCCCGAAGGCTGCGAGGTCGGCAACGATGTTCGTGTCGTGGGAGAAGTCAAAGTAGAGGCTTTGATTCAAAGGAAAGGTTTCAGTGTTGCTGTCCAGCGTGACGTTGATATTGGAGCCGGAGTAGCCCAGCGTATGATTCTTGAGGCGAGCAATGACCTCCTGCTGATAGCCCAGACCGACCGCTCTCTGGAGGGATATCAAGTCAGTTCACGATGCTGCAAGCAGATTGAGGACGTCAACTTACGGCGCTTGACGCCTGGAAGCCTGCGTTGCCAGAAAAGGATAGATCGATGGCGTAACTAAAATGAAGCCATTCCTCGTATGTGAAAAGGTCGCAGAAGCGGCTAAAGCCATAGGCAACCTAGGGGACAGTCAGATGCTACGCTTCAAGCTGACTTTCAAGTCGGTGCGGTGCCGATAGTCAACTCACGGTCTCATAAGGGCACATGTTCTGTGCAGCAAAAGTGTCCTCGATTGTCCAATCGTAGCCGTCAATCATCTCACGGAAACGAGCAGTAGCTAGGCGTACTGTCAGTGTTGTTCGACCAGAGTACGACAAAGACAAGAAGCCTTACCGTTCTGAAGGTAGTTGTCCACCCAGATCTTCTGCGCCTTGTCGCCAGCCCTCTCCTTGTTGGCATTGGGGCAGTTCATGTAGCCGGCCAACGAGTTATTGAACCCTTCTGCTTCAATGATCACCTCGATGGTGGCGTTGTTGGTCCACTCAAGGCCAAAGAAACCGGCCATAAAGTTCTCAGCCGACTTGAGCATGCGGTCTTGCGTCGTCGTGCGGACGATGATCTTGCTGTTCGGGTTGTACAGTTGAGAGTACATATAGGAATGGAGGACGCCCGAGTCGTAGAGCTCCTGTCGTCCTCTCGGGACGAGAATCTCGGCGCCCATCTGGTACTTCCAATCGTTCAAGAACGCCAGGGCGCCCTTCGCCTTGAACTTCCCGTTGGCATCTGCAAGGCGCTTCCCGAGCCCTTCGACATCTGCGCCGAGGGTCGGGTACCGGGAGCCATGGCGGGAGAGCATCTGAACCTGAACAATGTCTGCCCCCGGCGGCAGCGGGTACTCACGCACGCCGAAACCGGGCGAAGGCTTGTACGGCGACAGGTAGCCCATCAGGTTGAAGATGCTCTCATCCTTCGTGGTCATTCCCTCCACAGAAATGGCGGTATACAGAGGCTCGTTCGGCGTGTAGGTTGCCGTGGGGTTGAACGTCACCGTCTGAGCCATGAACGCCGCCTTCCCTGTTGCCGTCGGCCCCGGCCACAGATTGGGGTCGGTCTGGAAGTACTGCGGCACGTCTGACGGTAGGCAGGGGCACTTGGGACATGTACGCCCCCCGATGCCGCCTACCAGGCCATTGGCGGAGGCGACTTTGTAACCGACGAACAAAAGGACAAGCGTGGCCAGAGCGAGCAGAAAGGCTCGGAAGCCGCGCGAGGAGAAGAGATGGCCGGCACCGGGCCCGACATGCCGTACAGTCTCCGGGGGCGGTGGCCTAGTGACGGGGTGTTCTTCGTTTGTGGTGTCGGCCGAGTCGCCGGCGGTCTCGTCGGTCCCCACCAGATGGTACTCCTGGCCCCGGTTCTTGGGGCCGGACGGCCCTGCAATGGCCATCTTCTGACGAGATGCTAAGGTCTCAACTCCCGGGAGCAGTCAAATTGCATCAGAGCCACATCGCTCGGCACACTCAAACTCAAAAGGCCAACTTTTTGGCACCAGAAGTGAAGAAATTGCCGTTTTGTTCTCCTGCCGAGACCCCTTAACGCGCGTAAAGCTGGGCGTTGAGGCGTGTCATCGATTCAGGTTTCGTCGATCTCGCACGTGACCCTGCTTACACGCACGCCCCCAATCGCGAGTAAACCCACTCCCCACTTACACGAGATAACAGGGAGAAGCATCACCAACAGTTCGTGGAACAAAAGTACTCGAGCTGGAGTTCAGGCGGAGAAGGATAAGGGTGGTTTCTTGATATTATCTCCAAGTCCAGGCAGACGTACTACGATAAGATACGAGAGCCAGCTGTGGCGTCGGAATCGATTGTCTGGTCTGCTCGGATGAATAGTGTTGCAATGTACATACACTGTAACTTCCATGGCTGTTTCAATAGAGAGAATAGCTTGAGACTGAAATGTAGGGTTATTCAATGGGTGAGAAGACGCAAGATACCCAGTCAGTGTATCAATCATATCTAGTAACGTGGAACCCAGAGTAGAGGCCTTTTGCAACGGTATCTCGAGTCGATTTCAGCCAGCTTCAGCATTATCGTCAAAGACAACATAGGATCACGAACCGGTATGCAAGCGAAGTGTCGAGAGCATTATAGCTATGTACATATCCAAGGGCCTATCTCGTCCTTGCTCCTCCATGCACAAGTCTAATCAGCACCAGCAGGGGTAACAGAGCCCCAGATTTGGCTAGGCACGTGCTACTTGGTGTCTGCCACGGATGTACCCATTCTTCTAGAACCATAGCTCCCCAGAACCGTGTTTCAAATCCCCTTATGCTGCTGAAAAATGCCGTTTGGATGGACTCCAATGTCCTTGTAAGTGAAGCAGTGCATGGGCAACAGTGATTGGCCCCACCCGGGCCAAGGCTCACGTGCGGCCCGCAGAGACAGCCAAGCTTTCTTGGTAGAAGGGCGCCAAGTCTGACAGTTTGGGTTGAACAATCCATACTAAAACGATTGGCTCTCGTTTCAAGATAAGAAAGAGGCAGATCTTTTTGGCGCGAGTCTGCACCCAAACCACCCAAACTCCACTCGGCCGCCCGAGAACTGCCTCTACAGCCCTCGGTTTGCGCGCGGAGCTGGGCAGTCAAGGGCTGGGGAAGCATGGCGCCGACGACCCTCGCCAATCCCTGCGAGGCTGTGGGAGCCAAGCGGACCGGAAGGGGGGCTGAAGACGAATAATTCCCGGAGTGGCACGAGAGCTGGTCCCCGTACGTACGAGACTCAACCCCCAATATGACAAGCTGGGTCACATCGCGAGCTGAATTGACGCTGAGCGAATAAGGGACAGGGACAGACAGATGCCCCCCTCGCGCCATCATCCCACACCCGCAACGCCTGTGGCTTGCATGGGGTGACCTGGATCCAGATCAAGCCAGAAGAAGTGCTGCATCATGGCTGTAAGCGCGAGATCTGCACATTGATCAAGACCTGCGCCAGAGCAAACGAGGGGGATCATCGTCGCGAATAGAGCACCAAATCGCTGCTCCGATGCTCACTGTTCATGAGCGGCGGAGGCACCGATGTACTGATCTTGAAAGCACGAAGCGTGTCTCGTTGCCGAGTCAGTGCAGACTCGGCTGACTAAGAACTCTTTCTTCTCCCGCTGTGCCTGCTAAACTGGCTTGATGACGAAAACTGGACCAGTACCTACACAATTCTGTGCAGTCTCTTCCCCACGAAGAGATCCTGGAGTCCTCGAGAGTCTCATGTACATAAGACGAAAGTGCCCCCCTTTCAATCGCAGAGCATTACACCCAGTCATTGAAACCTCGAAATCCGAGCTGCAGGGAAGCTCTGGAAGCCATCAATGGATCCATGGCCCTGAATGCGCTGGTGGAGCATTAGCACAGGCCAGGCCTCCGGGGAGGGGACCCTGAAAGTCGTGTGGATCGGCGCTATCAATCACAGCCGTGTTATCGGGCGGGCTGGATTGGCCGCAACAGCATTCGATTTCGTAAAAGAAATCAAGGCCCCTGGCCCGGTGGGTACGATGAGGCTCGAACGCATCTCCCCGTGGTGGGCATGCAAGCATATGCCTAGACCTGGGGCTGCAACAGGTACCCGTGGCCCATTTTGTGATGTCAGCCCCGTTGGTCAAATCAGTCCAGTCCTAATCTTTTTTTCTCCCCTTCCCTCTGACCATTGTCATTGACTCGACGAAACACCCTCTCTTGGTCAGTTCAAGGGCCAGTCAGTCAGCCCATGCACTCAACCCGACCTCCGGGTTCGGACTGCCGGAAAGATGCGGGCAGGGGATTATTCACTCCTCTGGCTCCTGGCATGTGAGATCCATTACGCAGAACGTGTGCCCGCGACGATGAGCACGCGAGCTGTGGGAAAGTCGCGAGCCAGCTGAAGCAAGATAGCGGACTGGCCGGGGATGAGCAGCATCTCCTTATATATCAGATACGCATTGGTACTTTTGATCTCTTCGCTCACTGGTACGGGAGTCTCGCTCTGCAATGCGATGCTTGTCGTCGTCAATTGAGCAAAATCCCATGGTGACGAACACGCGCCTCGGGAGCCATCTTCTCTTTCAGCCCAAGAGACTTCGCGGCACTGCCGCCGCGCTAGGAACCAACCAGTGCTCGGGCTAACCTGGTCGGCGATCTAGGTACCTAGCTTGCTTGCTTTGCAGCCTGACCAGTGCCTTGCTTTTGGCTTATCAGTGGCCACCCTTGTTCCTTTTTACAGCCATACCGAACGACCAGGTTTCTTTCGCTTTACGGTCTACCGCGAAGTATTGGACATTACGGCGTCCTTGTTCCCTATAGCTGGGCTGCTCTGAGCTGCATTGCCGTCTGAGCTGGCAGAGCTGGCTAGATCAAAGTGTGAAGCTGAGAATGATGCAGAGAACAGGGCTGTCGAAGCGTACCGGAGTTCCCACAATGTCGAGATGCGATGCCAGTGGCTATCTCGTGCCCATGACGGAATGCCGGTTACTTGTTTCAATCACATATCCTCGGGGACAGGGGAGCACCACGCGAGGGCTTGCTCCCCCACAGACTTAATTACAGCCCGGCAGCAAGGGTAGCAGTATGTACGAAGTACCTGGATACTGGCTGCGTGACGAGGAGCACAAAATGTGCCATCATGTACCTCTGGAGCCGTTTCTCGTCAGTACGGCGCCGTCCACATGCTAAAAGACTCACATGCATGTACCATGGGGGACGCGTCCGGGGAAAGGCGTCATGGCTCTATCTCCTTTCTTCGCAGGACAGCCTCGGACTGGGGACTCGGGTTACGCAGGACCAATCCATGGCCTCTTCCTGCCTGTGCAAGGGGTCATGCATGTATCACAGGTACGGGATTCTTACAGTTGCACGTTCCTGCTTGTGCTCTTGTCAGCAGAGGCCGTGGGGAGGAGACAGTGATGCTTTGCATGGGGCGGCGGCGGGTAGTGTGGCACCATGCCATGGATGTACTTGTAGTCTAAAAAGCCATCCTGTCATCATTGCGGGGAGAAGGGAAGACAAAGGACAAGAAAAGTTGCTCGTGGCTCATCAGCGAGTGTACGAGGCACCTATGATAGGAAACCGGATCCACGGTACTCATGTCGACCAACATCCCACGGACAGGCTTCGTTCAGCTCTGGCTGGCAAAGCAGAGCAATCGTGTGATTTGAAACATGAAACCCCGTCCTCGCCGTTCGCTGGCTCCGTGGGTGGTCGCGCGCGCCGTAATAAACTCTTGACTATTATTATTACCAAGGGGAAAGGGGGGCGCCATGCCATGTCGTCGTTAAAGTAGGTACATAGAGTAATGCTAGTAAGAGGATGAAAAGATAAGAGTCAAGCAGTGAGGTAAGGCGCCTTAGTCTCGATTTTCATTTTTTATCGTAAAGGCGCCTGTCTACGTACCTGTCCCTCTTTTTTTTCGTGCCCTTACTACTATTACTAGGTAGGCTTGGGGGAGGGAGTACCGACTAGGCCCTGCCCGTGGGAGCCGGAACCGCAGCAGCGGTGGCGTGCAGTTCCAGTTCCAGTCCAGTCCAGTCCAGTTCTGATCGATAATAGCCTCTCTCCCCACTCTTCCACTCTTCCTCACTTACACGCTTACACGGGATGCCTGACTACCTCGATACATTCTGCTCGTCGACGAAAAGTCACTCTCCACCACCCGCACTCCCTCCCACCTCCCCTCCGGTACCGAAACCTAAGTCTACAGAGTCTCCATTTCATATATATCTCTTTCCCGCTCCCGTAGATCCTCCTTGACTTTGTCCCAATATATACTTTTGTCTCTCATCTTGTGGTATTTTTCTTTTTGTCTTCGCCATTTCTTCTTCATCGCCCGTGATCTGTTACGATAGCCCAGATCACTTACGCCAAACTTTAACACACTTCTTCCCTGGGAAAACACATTCCTTATTACACCTCCCGAATCATACCTATCGAATGCTCTGATCGCCGACGACACACGCCGCCCCTGACCAACCTTGTTCCTGACTGCCTGGCAGTCAACCCTCTCCAGCCATGTCGTACTCGTGGATTGGCGCGCCGACACCATTCAATGGCACAAATACAGATACCGGTGGCGATTCCGGTATGTCTCACACCCTTGCTGGATTCGACTCGAGATGTGCCTTTGCCCTCCTCTAACATTTGCCGTTCTTTAGCTACCGAGAACCTCAACCAATGGTACCAGTCCGGAGACCAGGCCTTCATCATCGTGGCCGCATGCATGGTCCTGGTCATGATCCCCGGCATTTCCTTCCTCTACTCCGGTCTCGCTCGAAGAAAGTCGGCCCTGTCATTAATATGGGTCGTCATGATGTCCTTCAGCGTCGTCACCTTCCAGTGGTACTTTTGGGGATATTCACTAGCTTTCAGCTCCAACGCGACCAACGGCTTCATCGGCGACCTCAAGCACTTTGGCCTCATGAACACCCTCGGCCAGCCCTCGCCCGGATCCCCGCTCATCCCTGAGCTCCTATACTCGTTCTACCAGGTCAGCACACTCTTCGAGAAAAGCAGCAGAGGGAAAAATGCACTGGAGAAGGGCTTTTTTCACTAACAGCAAGTTTAAATAAACAGATGCAGTTCTGCGGCGTAACGGCAGCCCTCGTGGTCGGTGCGACGGCCGAGCGCGGACGAGTCATCCCGGCCATGGTCTTCACATTCTTCTGGGCCACCCTGGTCTACTGCCCCGTCGCCTGCTGGGCCTGGAACGCGCACGGCTGGGCCTTCAAGTACGGCGTCCTCGACTACGCCGGCGGCGGCCCCGTCGAGATCGTGTCGGGCATGTCGGCCCTCGCCTACTCGTGGGTCCTCGGCCGCCGCAACGAGAAGATGATGCTCAACTTCCGCCCGCACAACATCTCGCTCATCACCCTCGGCACCATCCTGCTGTGGTTCGGCTGGCTGGGCTTCAACGGCGGCTCCGCCTTTGGCGCCAACCTGCGCGCCACCATGGCCTGCTGGAACTCGTGCCTGACGGCCATGTTCGCCGCCATGACCTGGTGCCTGCTCGATTTCCGCCTGGCCAAGAAGTGGTCCCTCGTCGGCTGGTGCTCGGGTGTGATTTCGGGTCTCGTCGCTGCCACTCCCGCCTCTGGCTTCATCACCCCCTGGGCCAGCATCATCCTCGGCGTTGCCACGGGCATCGCCTGTAACTTTGGCACCAAGAGTGAGTTTTCTCTTTCGCTTTGCCTTTTCCAATCCAAAAGATTCCTAATAGCTGACAAACTGTCTCTCTCAAAACAGTCAAGTTCCTCCTCCGCATCGACGACTCGCTCGATGTCTTCGCCGAGCACGGCATCGGCGGCATCGTGGGCCTGCTCTTCAACGCCCTCTTCGCCGCCGACTACATCATCGGGCTCGACGGCGTCAACACGGGCGCCGTGACGGGCGGCTGGCTCAACCACAACTGGAAGCAGCTCTACATCCAGGTCGCCTACATCGTCGCCTGCTGCGCCTACTCGTTCGTCATGTCGGCCGTCATCGCCAAGCTCATCGATCTCGTGCCCGGCCTGCGCCTGCGCGCCTCCTCCGAGGCCGAGCTGCTCGGCATGGACGACGACCAGCACGGCGAGTTCGCGTACGACTACGTCGAGGTGCGCAGGGACTACCTCGCGTGGACGCCCGCCGACCGCGAGCAGAAGGAGGACGGCGCGCGCATCGTGCCCCAGCACGGCATCGAGGGCCACCGCCACCTCGCCAACGGCAGCGCCGGCTCCTTCGCCACCGCCAGCCACCACGCCCGCGACGACCTGCCCCCCTCGGCCGAGAAGCCGCGGCCCGAGACCGAGGAGCCCGAGCGGTCCCCCTCGCCCGACTCGCACCGCGCCGTGCCCGCCGTCGAGACGCAGGCGTAGAACGTCTGGCCTCGTCTGGAGATGTAGATGCGTGGGGCCTGTCTGCGGCGGCTTTCTCCTTTTTTCCCCCTTTCTTTCTGGATACGTCTATTATCTATATAACAAAAAGGGCCCCGGGCACATGGGATATATGCCCCGGAGGAAAACGGAAACAAGTCCGCCTCCGTTGTCGAAAGAAGAGAAAACCGGGTCTACCGCACCCAGGTGTATGACGGGGAGAGGATTTATTGATTTTGGCTGTACTAAGAATACCCCTTATTTTGTTTAGCTAGCGAGCGTTTACAGGGGAAAAAAAAGATAATTTTCTCTATGGATAGAATCTAAAAAAGATATCTTAAAACATTCCAATCTTGAAGCCTTCCTCCGTCTGAATGAGTGAGTGGTTGAGTGTGTCTTGACTATGGTCAATTAGCATGTACACACCGTGGGGTGTGCATATCAATCGACCTCAAGGACCAATGTTCTTCTGCCTGGCAAGTTGAGCAGGCCAATCTGCGAATACCTTGCAAATTTCAAAGCTACCAATCGCCCATAAATCTGCAGGTGTAAGAATACTACCAGACAAGTACGAGAGCAATGCAGAAGTCACCAAATTTCAAACGCCAGTCACACAAGTACCAGTTGCCAGCGCAAAGTCGTCAACCTTGGAACAACGGCACGCACCAGATCACGACGACGCGCTCATCCACATAGGTTAGTATCATTAGATAGTCATGATTGTTAAGGGTATCTCTAGGTACTATGGACGGTAGAAGCGAAAAAAACCGTAATGATAATGCACTATACCCCCTCGCTGCCGAAAAAGATCGCCACCAGAAACAATGCTCTGAAACAATCGCTAGTAAAAGCCAGATACCCATACCCCGACCCTCAAGGCAACGAATCATCCCCGATGCAGCATCAGCATCAATGGGAACCGCTCGGAGCGGCCCCTCCCCTCATGCCTTCCTCGCTAAGGATAAGCCCTCTCTCACACATCCTTTCCAACCTGTCGTGTCTTTCAAGACTCTTCGCACGCACGGACGGACGGACGGACGGACGGACGGCGCCGCCCCGCCCTCTCAAAAGATGAGCGAGTCCTCCGCCCTCGGCTCCTCAGCCTGGATCGTGTACTGCAGAATCGTATGGTCGACGTAGTGCAGCAGCAGCCTCCACCTCCGCGGGTACGTGGGCAGGCGCGGCCGCCGGTGGGGCGCGTCCGCCCGCCCGGGCCCGCCCGCCGGCGCCAGGTCCAGGCCGCGCGCCCCGGGCTCGCGCACCGGCGACACGGCCATGCCCGCCAGGCTCACCCGCGGCCTCAGCCCGCGCTCCTCGTCGCTTTTGCGCGGCAGGATCCACTCGATGCGGAAGCCCGCGCGCGGCAGCTTGCCCGGGGGCGGCCTCGTCAGCCGCAGCAGGGCGACCCGCCCGCACGAGGACCCGGCCACGACGAGGTTGAGCTCGGGTACGTGGAGCAGCATGTACAGTTGTTCCGAATAGGTATCCATCCAGTCCAGCGACATATCGTCGTTTTCTTCCATGTACTCGGACACGATCTTATCACAGAAGACGATCGGGTCGCGAGGATCCAATGTGCTCAGCTCTGCAGACAGGTCATAGGTCCGGAGAATGACCCAATTTTTCAGCAGGTTGGGGCTGATGCTGCCCACGGGAACCTTGCCGAGCGTCGAGGCCGTCACCTGTCCTTTCCTGTCTGGGGATCTTTCAAGGATGTTGAGCAGCTGGGTCTTGTTGTCAAACCGGTAAGAATAGCCCAGATTCGGCACCGCGATTAGCTCCTGACGATACCCTTGTTGAGCTTCCAGGTCAAAGTCAATGCAGGCCTTGCAGATATCGCTGTGCCTATTCCTGACCTGAACTTTATGCCAGCGAGCGTAGGAATCATCTGATACAAGGACATCTCGTTCGTCGGTTGCTTCGCAATCCGACAATTCCATCTCCTCACCGATTCGTGGCGAAGGATCTATGAAAGGTATTCCTAGTTCGGATTCCATGGTCGCAAGACGGTCACGAACCAAAAGCTGTGATGTATTTTCATCAATATTCAACAAGCTGGATGTCGTGTCGATGATCTTAGCACAGTCCTCCCGTTGTAGACGTGGAAAAGCTCGAGGATCGGCACCCAAGCAATGCGATCCACGCGTGGTGGGTAGAAAGCTGGACAACGGCAAGACGAGTACCCCCCAGCCTGTGTGGCGTCTTGGGAGAGGCGGCCTTTCCGTTCGAGAAGGAGGTCAGCCTTTCTGTTTCAAAAGAAAGCTGGCATGAGTGAATGAGACAAAAACCTACAGGCGAATGGAGGTAGGTGGCAGCCGGATGGTGGTGCTGCCGACCCTCCAGATGTCGAGCAGCCAGCACGTGCCAAATATGTCATGAGCTGCAATCCTCTCCGCCTCGCCATCCTCGTCGTCCATGAAGCTGATGGAAGAGAGGTTGCTCCCATCCGTCCCAACAGGAAGGAGGATCCTCCAGGTGCGCTCACGAGATCTCAGGCGCGTCTCCAACTCACGAGGTTCCAGGACGCAGAGGGATTGGGATGGTCGATTCGAAGACTCGGCCGTGGGCACACGGGTTTCCAACCGATCCGATTTTTTCCTCTTTAGGGCAAAAGCAAACACCGTCACTTCGTGGAGATTAGAGCTAACAGCAATGAGGCGAGACTGCCTATGGATGGCAAGACCCCACGCCGACTTGCCAACCGTATCACAGAAGAATGGCTGAGGTACCGTCGTCTGTGATCGGCGCTCTTGCTTGCGCGTGCAATATGTAGCGATGGCAGATGTGTAATATGCCACGACGTCGCCATCGTCAAAGGCATATAGAAGTACCTCCTTGTTGCCCAGCTCTCCGACGATGAGATGATTGACTTGGTGGTGATGATCCACATCAATATGCCCGCCCACCTGGCACGCCGCCGGACTCTGCTCCGGACTAAGGACAAGGAGCGGACGACCCAAGATCTGAAGAGCTTGCTGTGGTTGGTATACATATATGTCCTTCTGGTACGCCGCAAAGTAGAGCTACATTCCCCATCATGATGGAATTAGCCAGCTATTCCAGCAGGCATTCTACACTGCCTAGTATCAAAGGAAAACTCACATCATAGTGCTGGGAAAGGGCCGTCAAGTTGATTCGACGCCGCGCTATGATGGGGATCTTGCGTTTGCCCGTTGACCGGGCGCTCCCAGAAGAAACGGTATTACTAGCCTCGGACTGTTCGCCCCCGGCGTCCAGGTGGCCCCCGGACCCTGCAGTCTGCTCGGATCCGTTGCTGTCTTGCTCGTCGTTATCGTCATCGTCCCCGTCGTCCGCGTCGTCATCGTCAGATTCATCGGACTCTGCATCTGCCACCCAGGCCATTGCTTGCACGTTAAGCCTCTGCTGGATTCGCCTGTGGGCATCGGGTCCAAACTAGTGAGGGAGGTCCTGTTAGCTACCCGGACGAGGACTACACGAGGGCGTGCAAGATTCTCGGTGATACGTACCCTGTTCTCACTGGTCTGCCGCTCGAAGGTGTCGATGTAGAGCTTGCTGAAGCCCGGGCCCCAGTCGGTGTGCTGTATCTTTTTTCGTCGGTCCTCCGCCATCTCGCACCCTGCAGAGCGGATATGTTATCACATAGAGAATGTCCGGCTTGCCGCGAGCTTTGAGCGCCTTTCATACACAAGCTTAGGAGGATAAAAAGGCTAGCGGTATCAAAGACCGGTAATTATGCAAGGTGGCGAAAGTAGTCCAAGGTAGAGTAAGTAAATACCACAAGCCAGGCCAAGAAGGAGATGCAAGCCTCAACTAATGTAGTCGATACAAGCACGATGCATAGCTCTGTGCTCTCAAGCTTCGGCACCTGATGCCCTTTCCTTATCGATTAGCGAAGGGCTTCGTCATGTCACATGGCATCGCTGACAGCAATGGGCGGGGTAGGCACGCTGAGGTAACGCTCGTAGGCTCGCCCCGTCTACGAAGTAGAGGGCAACAACAGGTGGAGTAGACCGCAAAGGCTAAGCTTCCCGCTCGCTGGAATGGCGTTTTTGGGGTAGTTGGGGCTAAAAAGTTCAGTGGCTCTCAGCACGTCACCAACCCCCGCTCCAAATTAAGTATCATCCAGATCGTCAATGTCAAGATCAGTTTGAGTGTAGATATCTTCCATTGAGGCTATCGCTGGCGCCGTATGTTTTTGTTTTCCAATGCAGAAGAGATTTGAAGAGCTCATAACGGCCGACAAGGTATCAAGAAAAGCAAACGCCTCCAACACCAGAACCAAAGAAAAGTAATGTACCCAGAACCCGAATGTTCGCGATGCTCCCCATTGTAGTCTTTGTCGGTGTCGATGCCAGCAGATGGGAATTTTCAAATCGTGCTCGCACGCCAGAATATCACGCAGTAAATGTCGCAGTATGTTTTGTTGGTATCGTGCAAAAAAAAAAAGATCGTCCCCCTCCCCAACTACCTACGCCCTCATGAGCTCCGTCATGTCCCGCATCCGGTAGTCCAGCACGGGCGTCACCCAGTCGTCCTCGACGAGCGCGTACGTCTCCTTGGCGTCGTCCCTCGGCTTGCGGGGGTTGATGGCCCAGTAGCCAAAGTCGGCGTCGATGGCCTTGAGGTAGCGCAGCAGGTTCTGCCAGTAGTTGGCGTCGCCGACGCTCGGCTCGTGCGGCGCGCCGAACTCGCCCACCCAGACCGGGTCGAGGTTCTGCTCGACCAGGTACGCCCAGTTGTCGCGCATCGCCCGGGCGAAGGACGCGTACCCGCGCTTCGAGTACCGGCCCTCGCGGCTGCCCCAGCCGGACCACGCGTACACGTGCGCCGAGTAGACGACGCGGTGGTCGACGTCGAGGCGGACGGGCCGCCGGGACACGCCCGTCAGGTCGTTGCCGGACTCGGTGCCGCCGACGACGATGAGCCAGTTGCGGTTCATGCGCAGCAGGCGGTTCCCGCACTTCTCGGCCGCCGCGGCCCAGCGGTCCCACGACATCGTGCCCCAGAGGCCGCGCACCTCGTTGCGCAGGTCGGCGCCGATGACGTACGGGTTGTCGACGAAGCGCTCCATGACCGTCTCCCAGTGCTCGATCCACTCCTCCTCCGTCTGCCGCACGCGGCAGATCGGCCCCAGGTGGTCGTTGGCCCAGCCGGCGTCGCACGGGTCCGCGCCGCAACACCAGGTCGCCGTGGTGATGTGGTTGTTGACTATGACCGAGATGCCCTCCTTGGTGAGGGCCTCGACGACGGCCTCGAGCACATCGAGGGCGCGCAGCCCGACGAGGTCCGGGTTGGCGGTCAGCAGGTGGGGGAGGATGATCGGGTTCGTCATGACCAGCTCGTCCGCGTAGGGGAGGCGCACCGAGTTGAAGCCGAACTCGCGGATGGTGCGGGCGATGACGGAGCGGTGCTGCACGTCCAGTCCGCCGGGGACAAAGAGCTCGTCGCTGGCGCCGTACCAATTGACCGACGAGAGCCGGTACCTGCGGCCCTTGGCGTCGACAATGTTGCGCCCCTTTGTGCGCAGCGGCAGCTCGTACGTGTCGATGAAGGTCTCCTCGAGCGGCGGGAGCAGAGGCCGTTGGGCGAAAAGCTCGGCGCCGGGGTCCGGCGTCCAGGGCACGCCCAGCGCGGCCTCCGCCTTCCACATGTAGTGGAAGAATCCCCCCAGGAGGAGGAGGGCGACGATGAGAATCATCCGCGAAGTGTTAGTCTTGAGTATGCGTGTGGAGGACATGGAGGGCAAAGACACAAAATGATACTGATTAGGACCCTGCAGTTGCCAGCATCACCGCCATGTTCAACCAGCAAACAGGGGGAAGGGAACTGAGGGTGCACACGGGGGAGGCCAAGGTGGTTTTATTACGGCGGCCTAATGGGTCATGGATAAGGTGAGGGTATCAAGGAGCGCACACTTACAGCAGAGAGGTACGGATGTCTCGGTCAATGTGATCGTTCGTCAGGATCACTTTCCTTTCTCGACCATGCGGTATCTGGCTGGCCTGGAGAAAGCTTAGTGCATGTAGCGCGAGCTTCAAGGCTGGGTTTAACTCCGTTTGGCGGTGCGCGGTGGGGCTCGGATGGGGAGCCTTCAGTTGGGAACGCCCGCTTTCAGGGCTGCCCCGGGCACAGCGTCACCACCGCTATTCGCTCACTCCATGCCCGGGAACCCACACGACAACCTCTCGCCGTCCTGCCACCCACATCAGGTACATAAGCACGCACTCAGGCAGCATCCAAAGTCGCCCGTTTCGCTCCTTTCAGATAAAGCAAGTATCTTATTAGGCAGTGAGTATGGGTACTTTGGGTGAAGTGCATAATAGATGCCTGTTAGGATTCAGCGTAAATGCACTGAAGATCGTCCTGGTGCATGCCGTGCAACGCCTGCCACTCGCCCACTCGTGTGACTGGCCCGCCGCCGTCTGACTGCGATGCACGTCTGACAAGCACGGCATCCAAATGAATAAGTCAGCTCGCATGTCGTGTAAGTCCGAAGGGAGGGGGGGCCGGTGTACCAGGATCACCCTACAATTCGCATGTTCGCACAGCGAGATTTTCGCGGGCGCGAGATGGGATGTTGGTCATAATAGTCCGAGCCTCCCGGTCGATCCGCCGTGAGTGCGCCAGGTCCGCGGGGAATGTGCACATTACAGCAGCACCCCTTCCCTTTCCTTGTCTTTCATCCTCCTCCAACCCCGGCCCTGTCTCTCTCGGATTCTTCGGACTTGACGCAGCTATCGGCACGCACGGCATTTGTAGTAGGTAAGACATGCAACATGCAACATAAAATCACTGACTTTTCCAAGACATCCAATGGCTATCTGGTCGCTGTGAGGCTGGTCCGGGGCGTGGTCGCGTGTCCATCTGCCGGCGACTAGTCTAACTAAGTCTTTTTGGATAGAGTGCATGCCTACCAAAATGCATGCATACCCTACGATCGGCTTACTCGCTCACACAACCAGGTGGCCCACTTGACGAGGAGGACTCGGGTTTATCATGGACGTGAAAGGAATATATATTCATAGCAGGTTCTTATAGTCTATATACAACAGAGTATTGGTATCAGTTAAAATGATCGAGGTATGATCCACCATCCCTCCTCCGCGATGAGAGGCTACACTACATGTCGCCTCGCTCAAGGACATCAAAAGGATCATGATGAGCCGTTGCCCAGTTCACAGCCGGCGTATCGCCTCCCCAGAAACATCGGTGCCTATCCCAGCTGCTCCAGCGTCGACAGAAACGTTGCTGCCTCGCCGCAAGGTTGCACCACCACCACATCATTACATGATCGACCTGCCTCGAGACAGTCGACCACGCGGCCCCGACATTGTCCTCCACATCCCCTGAAGAAGTCGTGATTCGTCCCCCACATCGTCGTCGCTCTGTTGAGAGTCTCAGGCCCACGTGTCCTCCATTGCTGCAGGCGATATTAACAGCTGCCTGGCATCCCGGATCGTCAAGTGCAAATGCTTCCAGGGCCAGTCGTTTTTTTTTCTTTTTGAGCGAGTATTTGGTGCCTTTTTTGATACAGAAGCCCAGCTGACGCCTCGCTAATACAAACAAAAATATGAAAGTGGCACGGACAACAGATAACCCCGCCATGGGATCACCCGGGTCCGTGTTCAACACCGAAGGGGTTTGTCCGAATGATGACGGGGACTCGAAAGATAATGAATACGTAGGTCGTAACAGCGAAGGAAGCGAAGAGGAAGAAATATGCGGCACGTGGGTGCTCTGTCGATAACGCTTTATGGAGGTCCCGGTTCTCAGGTTTGTTCTTGGTCGGATGTGGGTTGTCATCACAACTTCTCGCCCCGGCTTGGATCTTTCATATCCTGTTCATTCCGAGCGGGTTCATGTGGTCATAGTCGTTCCCGTCGCCTCTCGCATACGTTTGGTTCTCCCAGGATACTTGCTGGGGTGGTCTCGGGCTCGAGAATGACCGAGCTGGGGTGTGATACCGGGCGGTCTGACCAAAGTAGTCCGGGGTCCTTCGCCCAGACGGGCTCATGGGCTGACTCCTCATGGCCGACGCGAGGGGGGACACTGCAGGCGGTGTTACTACGTCGTCCTCCATATTCTTTCCCGTATCCCGGGAGAGCATCTCGTACGAACGTGGGTCTTTCTTGAGGTCGTCGAGTCGAGCGTCGACTGACACGAATTCCTTTCGCTCAGGTCCCTTGCGGAACATGTCGATCCATCCCGTCACCATCGTCCACCGCCCAAAGAAGAGGACGAGCCACAGTCCGTTCATCTGGGAGCGAGTTAGTCATTCTGTCCTGCCGAGAGAAACAGGTCCACCCAAGGGGCGAGCTTACGGCTAAGAGGAGCAACACGGCGCCCACGGTCGCTTGGTTGACGACCAGGACCTTGGCCTCATTCAAGCACTTGTCCTTTGCATTGGCATTCCTGATGAGGCACATGAGGAAGTCTAGAGCACTATCAGGGTTCGCCTTGACAGACTGAACCGTGTTGTCTTGGAACACGAAGATGATGGAGAAGAAAATGACATCGGCGATAATGAGAATGACGATGGCAATGCCTCGCCACTGGAGCTGGATCACTCTGCGCACCCTGCGGTACGCCTGGCGCGGCGTCATGGTGCGGATGCTGTTCGTGTACGAGGGCATTCCGGACCCCTCCGTGGAGGCGCTGTTGTCGGCCAGGGACGCAAGGTAAACCTTGATGCAGTAACCGAAGGTGGCGAATTGAATGATGATGGTGAGTCCAGCGAGGACCAGAAGTGGGATCCAGAGGTCCGCCAGGCTGTTCTCGTGGTTGATGTGGCAGGTGTTACCGAAGCGGAACGAGACGCCGCTGAACACGAGGTCCAGCGTCAGTCCCAGGATCGGGATGCCCCAGCCCAGAGCCTGGGATGCCCACATGAAGTTCCTGCCGACAACGACTTGCCAGCAGATCTGCAGGTGAAGCGATAGAGATCGCAAAAACACCCACATCACCGCCGAGAAGCCGCCGAGGATGACAGAGGCTCCCGAGGCAGCACAGACCGAGTTCGACTTCATGCTATTCGGGGTGATCTTGTCTGCGCACTGCGGAGGATTGCCCGCCAACGGGATGACAAAACCAAGCTATCACACAAGAAGCTCGTGTTAGAAGGACCAAGCCGGGTGCTTCTGGAATTGTGACGATCAACTTACGCTCAAGATGGCTACTGCACAGGTGAGGCAGATGCTGAGGTAATGTCGGTGAGTCTTTTCAACGGGCAAGACAGCGTAGGAGGCAAGGAGAAAGACTGCGCATATCAGGGAAACGACGCCGACCCATCCTGCTACAGTGCCTAACGTGTTGAAGGATTCCGGGTAGACAAAGTCGGTCATGGGGCAGGGCAGGCAGCATGAGACGTCGCCCAGACTTGCACAGAACCTCCCATCGATGTCTGGAATGCGATCAACTTCTGTCCAAAGGGTCACCATGCAGAACCAGATATGCACTTACAGCCCGTCGAGTTCTGGAACAACGACTCATCCAAGAATGGCGGCAGGCAGGTCTTCAGACCTAGGTCTGCCAACCCAGGCTTCTTGCTCATGTTGAGTGATAGTGAATAGAGAAAAGAATCCCAATTGCTTTTCGATTCGACGCCGGGCCAGGCAGAGTGTCCACGCAGGGATTCGGCCCGTCGTCTCCGTACCCGTTGTCAAGCCACACGCCGCTAGTTTCTCGGTGACACACTCAGAGGCAGGTCTGAGATGCGGTTCGGAAGTCGGTCTCTCAACAGTCGCGCGACTCCGAGTGCATTGGGGATTGTCCGAGTTGATACAATGGACACCTCGAGGGTTCGTATGCTGGACTCGGCTCGGACCGCGTCGAGAGAGCCCTTTCTGGTTGGTTTCAGCAGCGCCAGGCAGTTAAGCCGTTCGCCTTGGGAGCAGTATGGACGGGAGGGTGTAGGTTCAAGGAGCGTAGTGGGAAACAAGCAATGCCAGCTGCCAGATCCAGAGCTTGTTGGTGTTAAAGACACATTCACACAACAAGACTGCACATTCGAGTCGAGAATGGTGAGAAGAAGGAAAAGGACCAAAAAGAAGGAGGACCCTCACGGCTGGGTCGAGGGTAAAGGAGGGTGGGACATGTTATGTATCTATGCATCCTCACAGGTACTTGTCGCAAGGTGGTATTGCCCATTAGGAAAATGGGGGGGACCCCGTTGAAGCTTCGAAAGGTTACGGAGTACCGCCATACAGTCAGATCTGCCTCTGGATGCATTGTGGACTGGGTCCCGGGGCTGGATCCTGGGCAGACCACCACTTGGACGATGTACCATTGTACGTGCGCGCCGATGCCCACCACACCGAACGGCGAATCCAAGGATCCAGGACCAGGAACAGTACGGAGTAGGTACATATCCAGAGAGGAGGGTGGACCGCGGAGCGTGGGGATGATGGAGAGTTTCGCTCTGCTCTCTCTCTTTCTCTCTCTTTCTCTCTCTCGTTTCTCATAAGAAGACACTTTGTACTACCCAGGCCAATTGGGCAGGCCCATGTGAAATCCATGTGAATGCGCCACCCCGTTGGCTCGGTCGGTCAACAGTCGAGCAGCGTCCTGCCAGATGGGACTAGCCTCTAGCCTCTCTGCGCGCAAATTCTCCGCGTCGAGCATGGTGAAGGCGGATGTGATTGGGGAGAGGCGGACAACTTCCCTGGCGATAGAAGTCGAGTCGGGCTAGGGGTAAGCGTCCAGTCAAGTGGGCAGGGGAGGGGTTAACAGGGGATGCCGAGGCGGGCCTGGCGTGTGCCATGTGAGAGGGGGACCTCTGCCCGTCTTGCCAGTGGCCCTCGACCGACCCCAGCATCACCCAGAATACCAGGATTAGCTGCACCCATGATCCTGGTTCTCTAGCAGGGGTGCCGCCTTCACTAGCGCTTCTTCCGCCCCTCCATTATTGCGCGCTGTGCTGTGTACGGAGTATATGTGTGTGTGTACATCCGGCCATACGTTGCCTCTCGTCTCACCCTCTCTGGATACGGATGGACTTTGTTTCCCCAAGAGTCGCACCAGGTCCGGCAATATGGGACCCGGGGAAGCAGAAGAGTCTCCTGGCCTCTGCAGACGAGAGAACATGTCAGGTGTGGGATGCAACGGCCTGCCCAAATTGTCAATCTCTCTCCTGTACCTAGCGATTCCATCTACGTACAGGCTACCATGCCAGCTCTACTTGTCCTTGTACAAGGCTTGCAGGCAACCGACTTATCACAGAACTCGGAGAGCATTCATCGACAGAAAGTGTCTCTACAAAGCTGTCAGCCCATGCTGCAGAGTTGCATAGGGCCGTGCAGCTTCCTGGCCAAGCAGCTGAAGGGGCCAGATTCAGCCACAATGCTCGGCAGTTCGATGTCCTTTGACTCGGATTTCGCGCATGCTGCATGTATGTCTCTGATCTCTGATGCAGTGACACCGACCCCAAGTCCCAGGTGGGCGAGCATTGTCCCAGATGATGTCTCATCAAATCTCAAGAGAAATGCCCAAAATCTGACTACGAATAGACCCGTGACAGGGGTTAGAATCCCCCCCTGCTCAGACATTCTTCTTCGAATCTTGGTACAGGAGTAGCTAGCTACTTGTATTTCATGAGGAATGACACCTTGCAAGAGCATCTCAACTGATTCTTCCTCCGTAGGGCTGGCGAAGATGGTGCACATAGATGACCCAGGCACCATCTCGATCTTGTAAGCATCCGAAGATTAATTTCTCTCCCCAGTGCGACTAGCAACTTGAAGGAAGACATCCTTGACAGTCATTGTCCTAGGCATCTGGGATTGGACGTGACGGTCCTAGGCCGAGTCTACAGACCTTGAATGGTCTCTTCAGCCTTTGAGAGGCTTGTCGTGCTGTCATTGCTCATTAGATACGCGCCTGCCCAGGTGTAGCGTTGCCCTATCGTCTCGCCACGCCTGGACCCTCAGCTCCATGCGCACCCATGCCACGGCAGAACTATCACGCAATGGAGCCCTTGGCAGAGCTATAGATTCTCGTCACGAGGCAGTTCTATCTACTTGTAAGCGACAGCTCGCCCGTTGTTGTCTGAAAAGGGACGGCGTCAGTGGGCGTGAGCAAGATGGCGCGCCTGATTTGGATTAGACGACAGTTCCCTCCCGTTGCAGAGAGAGGCAGCTATCGGTAGGTACTTTGCTGGCGCGTCACTGAAGACTGCATGAATTACACAATTTCTAGGGTTCCAGCCAAGCACTGTACAACCAGGACAACAAGTGGGCGGTGGTCCCCTCCGGGGCTGGATCCCAGCGAACTAGCCCGTTAAGCTACCAAAAACCGACGCTTATTTGGCTTCTAGTTACGCGACCCGTTGGTGGCCTTGAATCTGCCCGAAAGATGGGCCAGGCGGCCGCCGTGAGATGTACCGTCTGAGCGAGCAATCGACTTGCAAAAGGCCGGCGAGCATATCTTGTCCAACGTGCTTTAGTCGGGGACAGAGCTCAATAGATTAAGGGGTAGTTCATTGAGGTCAATCCTGTGGCCGCTCTCGTTCTCCCGCTGTTGGATCAGAGATTTCCGGTCCTTCGCCCCTGTGGACCTCTGGAATTGGCCACTCTGGAGCCGATGAGCTAGACAGACTCAGCACGCAATGGCAGGTAGAAATCTCAGCTAAGAAAAGCCCTGGAGGAATGCGGTACGGCGCGTGGTACGGGAAAGGTTGGAGCCGTCGAATGAGACACCACAGTCGGCACCAACAAGGTTTGGCCGTCGCGCCAGTGGCCTCGCTTCGCAGCACTGTGGCCGTTGTAGCCTGCTGGGCTGATTGCAGCCAGGTTGTTGCGGGGTGTATTTGGGCCTCTCACAGGCGAGAACGCCCGTCTCGACCTCTGACTGGCCCAGAAATCCTCGAATTTGCACCCATACAGAAGCCTGGTTCGGCTGTTTGTAGCACGAGGCACAAAGCCTCTGCTTTTCTCGGAAAATGCTCGATCGACCCGACTTTGCAACCCCGTGCTGTGCCGCATCTGAGAGAACCACCATTCACGATCTGTGCCAGGCTTTCCTTGGAGATGATACATGTCTTGTCCCGGGAGACTGGTTGCAGCCAACGACATGCCAACCGACAGGCTTCCAACGCTTCGTAGGATCGTTTTACGGCCTGGATCGTCTCTGCCTGCATAAGGTAGTTGCTTCACAAAGCACTCGGCATTGACCTTGTGATCGGCCGCTTCCTCTAGTCATCTTCTTGTTGCTTGATCGATTCGATCCCTTCGGTCACTACTCGGTCACTCCCCGCCAGCCGGTCTGCGCTCTCAGATCGCGGTTCATCAGAAAGGATCGAAAAGGGTACAGTCCGAGCTCATCGACGCCGGCTATCGTGGAGAAGTCATTTGGGGAAATGACGCTCTTCGCCATCTAATCAAACCAGACGCGAAGAAGATACGTCATTCCTGTACGGCTGTCAGCTCGCGGCCGGCGCTCGCTGCGAAGAGGATGACCGAAGCTTACCAAGTGATCGGCAGCGCCAAAGGCCAACGCCAGTGTTCAAATGAGGAGAGAAACCTCTCCAGATTGGCTTCGGAATACTATCCTTATCGAGTTAAAGCATCACTCTTGGCCTGTCAACACTATCAACGACGCTGTTCGTAACCTAAACCACTTCGGGGTCGCGTACCTGTCAGAATCCGTGCACCCGCATCACTGGAAGTGTCTATCCCTGACTGCGGATTCTGACGCTCAACGATGTTCATCCTCGATTGGCCCCCACTCCTAACCTCGAAACACGGCCTCCGTAGCCCCTGGTGGGTTCAACCCACCACCTGAGGCCACGATGTGAGACATGCATGGCACTTGTGTGCCACTCTCAGCAACGACATCTTGGCTTCGGGGACCATCTTCAACCTCGCCATGAGTGTAGTTCAAAAGTCCAATCGCATTCACCAGTCTGGTCTGGTCGGCCGTCAAGTTTCCCTCGGGCTTCACGCTCTGACGAAACCTTTTAGGGGAAGCACAATCTTGGCCTTTGCTACCCGTACCCTGTCTTGGAAGGTCTTTCCACAGATGGCGCCTCTTGGCTGCTCACCTTGGTCAGTGGCTTTTGGACTCCGCTTCCAGCCATCGGCTGTGTTTCCTCATGCTCTGCTCCTGGGTACCACGTCCACTCACGATACTTTAGATATGAAGCCCAAGTGTTTCAACTAGGAGGAAGCCTCCTTATCACTGTTTCGGTGACATGCAGCCGGGCCATTACGCGCGATACCTACATACTTGGACCATGCTAGCGGTGAGCAAGCACGGAGACGTCCTTTTACAAGTAATGATGGACATGACTCGAATGCCGTAGTTACGCGGCATCGGCTTTCGTGTTGGCACAGGGCACTTGATGGAGCCCGGGGAGTGGCGCGGTATGGTTCCGCTTTGCACCCTGTGCTAATCATGAAAGATCAACGCAGAAGCAAACCCCCTCTCAATGTTCTTAGACTGTGCTCGTTGTGTCGATCTGAATACACGGATACGTCTACGAGAAAACATCAAAACGTTTCTGACAACTTTGACGAGCATCATCGGTGCGGCTCGGTGCCCGGTTTAGTGGCACAC